GGCCCGGCCCTAGATGGCCTGAGATTGAGCTTAGTAATGCTGTATCACTTACTGGTGTCTTCTTCTTAGTCATTCTATTCTCAAAACCTGATATATATATATATAATATAAAATTAAATTGCTACGCAATAATTTCTTTCTCTGCAACTCTATTAAAATTTTAATTAAAAAGCAAGGGAATTCTGAACCTCCCAGAAATGTCAATTCATGCTCCCATATGTCAGAACCCCTGTTTTAAGCCTGGTTTGATGGATGCTGTCTTTAAACACTGATCAGATAAAGATTTAACTACTATCAGGGATCTCTACATTGATAATCATTTTGCATCTTTTGCCCAGCTCCAGGCTAAGTTCCATCTCCCTACTAATAAATTTTTTCGTCATCTACAAATTAGGAATTTTGTCAAGCAATGTTTTTCTTGCCTAGATGCGACCCCCATACAACATGACTTTTATGATATTATGACCAGACCTCCCACCTCCAAACATTTGATCGCTCGGTTTGTTAACCTCTTCATTATGGCAAACCCCTCTCTCCATATTAAAGAGGCGTGGATCAAGGAATCAAGTAATCAAGTAATCTCTGACGAGCTATGGGTGATAAAAGCATGCTCTATTAATGCTCGACTTCAGCTCATTCAGTTTAAAGTAGTTCATAGGTTGCACTATTCCAAGACTAGACTGAACAGAATTTTTCCTGCTGTCTCCCCCACTTGTGATAAATAAAAATCAGCTGATGGAACTCTTGGGCATCTTTTCTGGTCCTGCTCTAAGCTCACAAGGTTCTGGGTTGACATTTTCAGTTTGTACAGTGCTGTTTATAACAGTAACAGGAGTGGAAGTCAGCTTCCCCTCCTTGCTTCAAGAAGTGGCTAAATGATATAGTTTCCTGTTTATACGTTGAAGAAGTTCGGTTTTCTATGTCTAACTAACAAGATAAGTTTAAGATGATCTGGGGCCCTTTCATAGAATACATCAGGAAGGATAGACCACAAACTGGGACCTTTTTTTGGGACCGTCTATTTTTCTTTTTTTTTTTACTTTTGTTAATTATCCATACTGAGACTTTGCCATCCCCCTCCAGCTCAGGCTTCCTTGACTCAATCTGTGTCAGTAGACTTTCTGGGACATCTGTTCAGTGAATCGACATGTATAATTATATATTTTCTTTTCTATATAATGAGTAAGTGCTGGCTGTATGTGTTGTTTTAATTGTCTGGTTTACTGTCTTTTTTGTTTGTACTATGTGCGCCTGTATGTATAAAAATCTGCATAAATAAAAAATAAAATAAATAAATAATGTATGGACCTCTTTGGTTGGGTCAGATCGAATCAAAGCTCTAAAGGAGCAGGAAATATAAACTGTAGGTTGTTTGATGTAAAATTGTAAAAGTAAATTCTTCAAAAATACTGACTATTAAAAAACAGTTTGAGGTATTTTGTGTGCCTTCTGACAGTTTGGTCTGAGGGGGGCAGACATTTTGGTGGAAATGTGTTAGTCAAGGGGAACTAACAGGTCAGGGGGGTCACCAAAGTCATTAGGAATCATCTATAAAAATCTATACAAGATTATTTGACAATGCAGCCAAGAGACACTTTGTTCTGTACCCAGAACATATTGTTCACAGCTTACAGTACAGACACATAATTATTGCAATACTTACTGGATAGCAAACCAACAAGCTGGTATCCTAAAAAAAGATTATGGCGACCTGTCTTGTGTGGCTGGTGTATCTTATTATCAGATAGCAGCTGTTTTTGGATGGTAGGAATATCTGAAGGCTGACAGACGTGCATATTCCTCCCTATGGGGCCAGTTCCCCATTCACATTTTATTAGAAAAAAACTTTCAAAATCTTGCAATTCAAATTGGTATTTCACTGCAGGGTATTCATTGGTTGCTCCCTGAAGTGATCATAACTTCACTGTCATCATATTGGCAGGGGACAACATTAATGGACCCCTACAATCATGTTGGTCAGTCTGTCTGTTGTCTAGCACTTTCTTTCAGGGCAAGACATCTCATCAAGTACAGGGCAGATAGTCGGGAAATTTAGTATGGATATTCATCTTCCCTGATGTTTTCTCCTGCTTTTATCATCAACATCATGTTCAGATTTACACAGTCAATAAAAACTGAATGTGCATAATGTATTCCATTTGATAAAGTTTATATATGAGATTATGAGCAAACAGCTATTAGCTATATGAAGATAAAGTGGCGCCATGGTGTTACATTCCCTCTGCCTGTGTTGCTGTCACTGCCGGTTTGTATACATTTCTCACGATGAATTGCATCTAGCAGTGTAGTTGCAGATGGTAATGGTAAATGGACCTGTACTTGTGTAGCGCCTTTCTACTCTTCCGACTACTCAAAGCTCTTTTACACTACATGCCACACTCGCCGTTTCACACACATTCACACAGTGATGGCAAAGCATTCTCTACTACTCATGCACATTCACACACCGATGACACAGCATCGGGAGCAATTTGAGGTTCAGTATCTTGCTCAAGGATACTTAAACATGCAGCTGGAGGAGCCGGGGATCCTACCTTCCGATTAGTGGATGACCCATTCTACCTCTGAGCCACAGCCGCCCTAGATTGAAATCCTTGGCCTGACTCTCCCATTCCAAGTGTGTTGGAGAAACTATGGTGGCTGTGAAACGTGTGCAATACACAAAAGACTCTTTCTAAAGTCAGTGTTTGGTTTGTCCATTCTGGGCTACTGTAGAAACATGGTGGTTCAACATTAATGACTCCATAGAAGAGGGCCCACTGCTTCTGTAGATAAAAACAACTCATTCTAAGGTAACAACAACACAGATTCTTATTTTCAGGTGATTATACAGTAATGAAAACATACTTAGGCATATTATATTTCATTTCTGACAATAGATCCTCCTAAATATTACACACTGGAAACTATTTACTTCTACTATCTGGAGCTTGCTCTTTTCTTTGACATGATTAGATGTGTAAAAACCTTGTGAAGATACATTAGTAAGTCTGTTACTCTCAGATACATACAGATAAGTGGTTAAAGGAGGCCAGCTAATGGCTACTTGCAACAGGAAGCCCACAACTCACTATAGAGAGGGCACTCTCAGAGGAGAATGCTTTTTACATCACCACAGAAAGCTTATTAGAGGTTGAAAGCACATTGTCTTCTGTGTTGTTGGTTTGGAACTTCATTTATCTCTCCACAACCACTATAATGAGGGTTTAAGGCAAGACTTCAAGGCATATAGATATACTATTGTCTGCCATTGTATCATTGTGTGACTGTACATTGTTCGAAAAAGCATATTTCTTACTGTTTAATATTAATATACCCCGATCAGCCATAACATTACATAACAACTAGGCACCCTGACTGGTCTGCAGTTACGCAGCCCCATACGCAACAAAATGTGAGGCACTGTGTGTTGTGACAGCTTTTTATCAGAACCTTTAACGTTTTCAGCAATTTGAGCTACAGTAGCTCGTCTGTAGGATCAGATCTCACAGGCCAGCCTTTATTCCCCAAGTGCATTTGTGAGCCTTCACCCTGTCCCTTTTCCTCCCTTTGACTACTTTTGATAGGTACTGACCAATCAAAAAGGTCTCAGGGTGTGGTCACGAATGTAGATCAGTTAATTTGGCCCAAATGAACTGAACTGAACTACAAGGGGGAAAATTTTATATTGTTGCCTTTTAGTTCTGGTCCAGTTCCTGTTCGCTTTTTACAAAAAAACATGAGTTGTAATGATTAAGTTATGGTAACCCACTGATTGGAAAGTTTTAGTGCCTATCATCCTTCATCATCAGAGGTACATGGACCAACATGGAGAAATCAGATTCTCCAAATTGACTACAATCAAATTTCATATTATCATTCTTCAGCCAAGTTAACATTAATTTATCCAGAACTTGATCACAGTCATACATCTAATATCAGTGAAAAAAGTTTTTGCATGTGTCTATAAGCTGTGGCAGGGAGGATCTCAACCCCGTAATCATATTTTACCAACACATAGACATAATTAGGAAATTACTGGTGAACAAATGAGGAATGAATGAGGAACTAACTGCTAGTGAACCATTACTTAATGAATAAATCCTAATAACATTTTTTAGCTAAGGACAAGTTAATGATTAGTTAATTAAGAATGAAGTGAAGAATAAATCAGGGACAACTTGATAGTTGATGAATCATTAATAGGTATAATGAGTCATCCCATTTGCCGGCTGGTTCAGATAAAGAAAGTGGCCAGTATGATCGTTTCACACATATTCATGAACTAATCATTAACTAATGATACATTAATATAGGTATGTTCTCCAGTCCACCTACTCTATAAAATTTTCTTGGGAGTTTCTCAAAAACTAATGGTTCACTGGCAGTTAGTTCCTCATTCGTTCCTCATTTGTTCCCTTATAGCTACTCACAATTTTGTGTCCCTGATGGTAAAGTGTTATCCATAAGTTGAAAATTAAATTGATTAAAGCTTTTTCCACCAGAATGAAGTATCTGGCAGAAAGTACACCATGTGCCAGCAATATGGCCAGTAAGCCCACAACGTTAGATACTGTAGGTGATGACCATTAACCAGGGTGGGTCAAGGCAAACTTGACACGCAGACCACCCAAAAAACACTGCAGTAGTAGCATCCATCATGTGATGCACACATGGCCCCAAAATACTTTTTCCCATATGGTTACACTGTGAAAAAAGCATCTGTAAAACAGTGAATACATTTTTTTGAGCTTCACAACCCCTGCGAAATGAAATAAAATTGTGTTATTGTCAGTGAGGCCTGGACCCTAGAAACACTCCACATTTGAACTTTCATTTTGATAGAAACATCCTTAAAGCCATGGTTTTATATTTCCATGTTGTGATTGCTGTGGTTACAGTTTGAGTGTTTGTGTCTCTGTTGCCTTATCACCTACAAAGATTTGAGCTAAGTCACAGATTTTAAGTCTTTAAACCCATGTTCTGCATTGCTGTTACAGGGTATGGGGAGATCTATCCAGTTACTCTGCCTGGTAAGGTGGTGTGTGTCTTGTATGCCATGGTGGGCATCCCTCTCATGCTTCTGGTCATCCTTGATGTAGGAGACTTCCTAGCTATGCTGATGTCCAGAGCCTATGTACGGATTCACAAATTCTGCAAAATCCTCCGCTCCCACACTTGGTCACCGTGGAAGGCTCGGAAAAGGGCTGGGGACTCAAGTCACCGGGCCCTGGAGGACGGTACCTTTGTTTTCAGTCACGACATTGTAGTCCGTGAACCACTCGACATCCGGCAGGTACTGCACAGCCAGGTGGATGTACGGCACAAGTCTATCCAGCTCCAAAACAACAAAGAGATATTTGAGAAGATTCTAGCCAGGGAGAACCTACTTAGAAAGGTCCCACTACTCAGGAGCCTCTCCTGCCCAGAGCTAGACCAGCTGCCGCCACCACCAAAAGGATATGCCATATGGGATTTCACAGGGTTAGGGGATGGAATGGAAATGCTGGATGTACCTTTTGTACTGATTCTTTTCATCGTGTTTGCCTATATTTTGTTTGGTGGTTTGATTTTACCATTGTGGGAAACTGAATTTAAGGGTTTTGACCCCTACTACTTCTGCTTCATCACGCTCACAACCATCGGTTTTGGTGACATTGTACCTAATCATCCCAAGTATTTCATGCTAACCTCACTTTTCATCATTGTTGGCATGGCTATCATGTCCATGGCCTTCAAGCTGGGCCAAGCACGAATCGTAACCTTCTACCGCCAATTCATCAAGTACATTAGCAGGGGAAATATGGAGACTTCCAGAAATTAAGAGAACGACTAAGTCATCAGGAGTCTCTGTCTCATGTCTGAGAGTTGTACAAGTTCACAGACTTGGTTTTGACACAGGCCAAAAATGTGAGCCTGTGGGAACATCTCCACTGTGTTCTTTGTGCTGGCTGTCCACTTATGAGCATTAGCAAAATAAAAGTGTGCATGTGCCAAAAGCTTTTGCCCATTGAAGGACGGTGATATTCAAAATGATTCCTGTGAAGAAGAACTTCAAAATTTGTATATCTACTTACAGTGTCTTGCCAATGTTTAAGGTTGAAGTTGTTACAGTTGTTCTGCCTTACAGCACTATAGAGGGTCAACACAATTGTGTTACATTTAAATATAGGTCACAACTCTGATTTTTTTACTCTATCTTAATTTAAATGCCTTTTGAATTCAGTTTTGTTTATTCGCTTCAACTTCATTAAAAGGACAATTCCGGCGCAAAATGAACCTGGGGTTAATAACACACGTGTACCGAGTTGGTCCGTTCTCTGGGATATGTTTTCATGCTAATCGACCGTGACCGGTTTTAGCACAAACCGCTAATTAGCTTATAACGCTAGTCAATGGGGCACAGAGTAACGTGAAAAGAAATAGCTTTTTATACCACTAACAAGACTCAAAATAGCACCACACTTACACGGTAGCATAGTGAGGGCCCCTATGTATAAACCGCAGCATTTTGTAAGTGTACAGACAGTTTATTAAAAAGATAGTTTAGAACAACAGTAGTGTTCGCATATACAGGCAGGCGCTATCTTGGGAAAACGGTCAGGGGTTAGGTCATTCATGCAGCTCAATGATCAAGATTTACAGCTGGCAATGTGAACTAAAACAAACGTAATTTGCTCAATATATCAAAAATAATTGCACCGATGTAAAACACAACTTGTCTAGTGTACTTACTCAGTGGATAACTGTCCATCTGGTCCCTCCAGTATGAGTCGCTGCCTCCAATTTATTTTCGGGACATGGAAAAAAGTTTCGAGTACACTCTGTTTATCAGAGAGGGGAAATCTGTACTGACTGTACAAAACACTGCGTCTCTTGGGTGTCGCGACGCAACAGGTCCCACAAAGCTAATTAAGCTAATTTGTGCAAAAACCGGTCACGGTCAATTAGCATGAAAACATATCCCAGAGAACGGACCAACTCGATACACATGTGTTATTAACCCCAGGTTTCATCCTTTAATACCATGATGTCAAATAAACATAACTGCCCACACACTCAGCATAACGAAAAGTAAAATTTTTCAGTATGTAATATTAATGATCAGCCAGCACTTGACTGTCCATCGTCCATCTTTTCTACCTTGGTAGCTCATATGCACATAGGTCCCTGATGATGTGTTGTCTAATTTAACCTTGGAGCATGAGTGGACTTGAGAAATACTCATGGGGTGGCATGGAGACTTTAAGGTGTGGCAGAAATAAATAAGTAGATTTAATTGCAAACAATCACATATATCAATATTTGCTTGAAAAAAAGAGCCCACAAATGAAGAATTTGTGCCACCCCTGTATCTGCCACTGCCTCAGAGTATAAATTAACAAAAATGGCAACACCTGCAGATAATAATGCAGTCCACTACAATAGGTCTACAATACACTCCAAAAGTAAATATCATCATTGCTAGTTTTTCCACTCAGTAGCCAAAGTAACAGGAGCAACTGACACCTGTCATGTTACATCTGATACTGGCACTTTAAAGAGTTAAAAGTATGTGGAGTGCCTGCATGGTCACAACCATTGCCGGTTCGCTTCCAGCTTGCTTTTCATACCACACTATTTCCAGTTTGCCTCTTTACTGTCACTATCCAATAAAGGCAAAACATGCCAAGAAAGTGTACGAAATGGGAAGGACAGTTTTCTGTTGAAGCACTGTGCCAAAGCTTTCTATTTTACTTTGAGAATATGACACCATCATTTAGTTTTGAAGCTTCATTTTGGGTGTACAGCACATAGATAGAAATGTACATACAGACATTAGTCTCTAGTGCATCTCTGCGGTCAGTTTAGGTGGACAAGATCTGCTACTAATCAGAATTAGGCGAGTTACTGTTGATTTTGTTGTGCAGCCAGCAAATTTTTGTTGTAAATGTTAGAATTTGAACCTAATACTGGTCACGTAGGAATTAATTCAATTACTGGGGTGGATCTAATGAGCTCTATGCCAAAAAAAAGGCACTGCTTAAAAAAATGCTACAGGCATGTACAGCGTTTGGATGTACAAACAGTACAAACAAAGTATTCCAACAGGCACTGATAACAAAACACAGCCACTGCTAGTCAGACTAGCACTTTGGCCAAAATACAGAATGAAAACAATGAATACATGTGTACTATTGTGTAGGACACAAATTACTTTTCTAACCCATGAAAGACTGTGTGGAAAATAATTGACCTGTTCAATTTTATGTTTTCCTGTAGAAAAAAATTACATTCAACAGAAACCAGCAACCAGGTGGCTTTGTAACAATATAATAGATATTGAAATCTACATTTTTGGGAAACTGACAAAAGCTAAGATTTAAAATAATTAACGCTTGATGGTGCCTGTTCATAGATTGGGGCCTGCATGTTCCAGTGGAAGTTTTAGCTATTCAGAGTTTACATTTTTGGTATAAATTGGAGCTGATTGGATTGGCTCCCAGTTACTGCATTAATTCCTACAAGTAACCAGTATCAGGTTAAATATATTAATGTGGTGCAGCTGTGGTGCAGAGGTAGAGCGGGTTGTCCCCTAATCGGAAGGTTGTTGGTTCGGCCATTACCATTTAATCAAAGCATGCATAGAACAATCTTTATCTTCATCTCAATTGGCCAAATATGTTCACACATACAAGAAACTTGACTCTGCTAGTACAGAGTCAGATTCAGTGTACTACAGAGAAATAGACATACAGCTCAAAGACAATAAAGCAATAAAGGTAAATATAATCATTTAACTACTATGTAGACTACAGATATAAATATAGATATATAAAAAAACAAAAATGGAATTTATAAACAATAAGACAATAGTACAATGATGCAAAGTTGGAATTGTTCTCACTTTATGCAGTGAACAATAATAAAACTCACCTATTCTACATCCATCTACTTGTGCACATACAGGCTTAATTACATACAGAACTGCCTCAGAATGCCATATATGGTAGGCACATCCCTTCCTTAAATGGAACATCCCCTACATCCCTTATCCCTACCACATTAAGAATGATGTAGAATTACTTGTGAAACATCAGAGTCAATGATGGGGTTATGATACTTTAGTGTCTGTAGAGTAAATGGTAAATGATAAATGGACTGTACTTATATATTGCCTTTCTAGTCTCACTAAATGCACTGTACACTATATGCCACACTCACCCAATTCACACACATTCATACACTGATGGCAGTGGCTGCCATGCAAGGTGCCAACTGCTTACCAGAATGGAAAATAATCATTCATACACACTCATACACCGATGCACTTCATCAGGAGCAATTTGGGGTTCAGTGTCTTGCTCAAAGACACTTCGACATGCAGCAAGAGGAGCCGGGGATCGGACAGCCAACCTTCCGATTAGTGGACGACCCGCTCTACCTCTGAGCCACAATGTGTGTTTTTGCATTTCTAGTGTTTCACATTACTACAAAAGAGACTGCATGTGATGTGGTGCAAATCATTTGTCAAAATCTGTGCATGTTGTTACCCTATAAATATACTGTATAATGTTAAATTTTTGACACTAATCTGACCACAAATGTCCAAATATAAATACATAAAGATACGGTATGTTATGTTTTCATTAGTGTATAATCACCTGATAATTATGCTTGATTTGTTAACTTAGAATGAGCTGTTTCTATCTACAAAGGGAGCCCTTTGTAGATAGAAACAGCTCATTCTAAGTGGTTCCTTCTACAGAGTCCGCCATGTTGGACCACCATGTTTCTACAGTAGATAGGGTCTTTTGTGTTATTCACGAGTTAGATAGCCACCGTAGTTTGTCCTGTACACCCTTGGAAGGCGGAGCTGTATTGAAATGGCTGCAGTCTTCAGCTACACTGCTAGATGACACTTAATCCTACACACAGCTTAATATACTTAATATACTTAATTTACAATGAAAAGATTATCAAAATGGTAGCAAGGTTTTTATGTGACATCAAACATCAAATCTTTACACTTTATTGGAATTATTTGGATGCATACTTTTATCAAGATGGGTTGTCAGGTTTTACGGTGTAACAGACACTGGACCACTAGTAGTAGGAGGCACTATTACTGATGCAGAACAATAATTTGGAATTAATTATCACAAGAGTTATATATGATCTATATAAACAGTTCAGTCAGGCAACTCATGTTTGAAATGTTTATTACAACATGATAGCATATTTTGATTTTGCTATTTCAATTTCAATTCAATTTCATTTGTATAGCGCAAATTCATAACAGAAGTTATCTCAGGACACTTTTTCAAAATAGAGCAGGTCTAGACCGAACTCCTTATAACATTATTTACAGAGACCCAACAGTACCACCATGAGCAAGCATTTGGCAACGGCGGCAAGGAAAAACTTCCTTTTAAGAGGCAGGAACCTCGGATAGACCCCAGCTCTAGGTGGGTGGCCTCGACCAGTTGGGGTGAGAGAGAGAGAGAGAGAGAGAGAGAGAGAGAGAGAGAACAGAGGTAACAACAGAAGGACAGAGACAGAGACAAAGGTGCAGAGCAACAACAGTAGCAACAACTACACTAATGCTGACTGATGGGGATGATGATGATGGACATGAAGAAGATGATAAATAGTAAATGGACCTGTACAGCACCTTTCTAGTCTTCCGACCACTCAAAGCACTTTTACACTACGTGCCACATTCACCCTTTCACTCAGTGATGGCAAAGCCCATTGAACAGAAACACAATTTGGGGTTCAGTATCTTGCTCAAGGATACTTCGACATGTGGCACTAGGAGCCAGGGATCGAACCCACAACCTTCCAATTAAGGAACGACCCGCTCTGCCTCTGAGCCACAGCCGTCAAGATGATGACAATGACAACGATGGGGCACAATGAGCAGTGATTATAGTAATAATAATAATTGTAGTATTAATAATATTACTAATAATAATAACAATAATATCAGTGATATTAGCAATGGGAGTCAAGCAGGACCATGGCAGGAGGCTCCACCAGGATCCAGGAGAACCTGCGAGATGAGAAAGCAGAAGAACACAAGTGAAGTTAGTAACATGCATTAATGGGACATGAATGTGTGCAGAAAGAGAGTGAGAGGAAGAGAGGAGCTCGGTGCATCATGGGAAATCCCCCGATAATCTAGGCCTATAGAAGCATAACTAGGGGATGGTTCAGGACTCACCTGAGCCAGCCCTAACTATAAGCTTTATCAAAGAGGAACGTCTTAAGCCTACTCTTGAATGTGGTGAGGGTGTCTGCCTCCCAAACCAAAACTGGAAACTGGTTCCACAGGAGAGGAGCTTGGTAACTGAAGGCTCTGGCTCCTGTTCTACTTTTAGAGACTATAGGAACCACAAGTAGCCCAGCATTCAGAGAACGTAGTGTTCTAGAGGGGTAATAGGGTACTATGAGCTCTTTAAGATGTGAGGGGTCCTGATCATGAAGAGATTTGTAGGTGAGGAGGAGGATTTTAAATTATATTCTGAATTTTACAGGGAGCCAATGCAGAGAAGCTAATACAGGAGAGATATGATCTCTTTTCGTAGTTCCTGTCAGTACTCGTGCTGCAGCGTTCTGAATTAATTGGAGCATCTTAATGGACTTATTGGGGAAACCTGATGATAAGAATTGCAGTAATCCAGCCTAGAAGTAACAAATGCATGGATTAGTTTTCCTGCATCCATCTGTTTCTGTATTGCGTGAATGAAAAAAGGCAGTCCTGGAGGTCTGCTTTATGTGGGAATTAAAGGACATGTCCTGATCAAAGATAACTCCAAGATTCCTGACAGAGGTGCTAGAGGCCAAGGTAATACCATCTTTAGACAGTGAGTCTCGGAGGTGTTTGGGGCCAAGTTTGGCATCAGAAAATTGCAGCTCATCCAGGTTTTTATGTCCTTAAGACATGTTTGTAACTTAGATTTTCATCGGGTTTGATCAACAGGTATAACTGGGTATCATCTGCATAACAGTGAAAGTTAATGGAGTGATTCCTGGTAATATTGCCGAAGGGAAGCATATATAAAGTGAATAACATTGGTCCAAGTACAGAACCATGTTGAACTTGGAGAGACAGCGATACCTGTTGAGGGCATTTGGTTATTAATTTTGTCATTTTATCATAAAAGAAGCTCATAAAGTCGTTGCTACTGAGGGTTATGGGGATAAGTGGCTCAATAGAGCTGTGACTCTCTGTCAGCCTGGCAGCAGTGCTGAAGAGGAACCTGGGGTTGTTCTTATTTTCTCCTGTTAGTGCTGAATAATAGGCTCCTCTGACATTATGGAGGGCCTTTCTATAGGTTTTAAGACTATCTTGCCAAATTGAGCAATATTCTAATAATTTTGAAGAGCCTCATTTCCTTTCAGATTTCTTTTTGCTTTAATTGGCGGGTTTGGTGGTTGTACCACGGTGCTAGTCTCTTATGTTTTAATATTTTCCTTTTTTTTTTTTACATTGCCAGAGATAGACAGGAAAGGGGGGCAGAGAGAGGGGATGTATTCAGCAAAGGGCCGCAGGTCAGATTTGAACCCGAGCTGCTGCAGCGACTCTGGACATGGGTCGCCAGCTCTACCGACTGAGCTAACCAGGTACCCAATATTGTCTTGTATACAAGGGCAATAGTATCTAATGTTGTTCGCAGTGAGCCTGCAGCACTATTAACGAGATTATCAATTTGGGAGGGACTAAAGTTATGATAGGACTCTCTTCTCTTCTCTTCTCTCTTCAAATACCTTAAACCCCTAGCCGGAGCCTACAGGTGGATGCTGAGGTGGTGGTGGGGCTTACAGCCCAGCAGGCAGCAATAGCTAACAGAGCAGCAGGCAGCAATACGGATGCAGGGCAACAGCGGCATTGACAAAGCAGAGGGAGAGCATTGAAATTGTGCAGTTTAAATAGACCGCACAACTCGAGTTGACTGCCTGAACTAGCTCGCAAGCTTCGCTCCATGTGTGGATTTGGAGACATTTTACTCTCTGCAATAACATGTCATGTCAGATAGTCAGTACGGTCTGACTCTGTAATGAAGTCTATATGCTACTCATTTCTTTCTCTCTTCTCCCTTTTCTTTTTAATCAACTGACTTTGGTCATTTATTCGTTCCATTTTTGCGACAATCTCAATCAGTCAATCATATCATTGCTGACAAACTTTAAATCTGTTCTCCTCTCTGCTGCTGTCAGATGTCATTTTCAGTGAGAATCGTCGCAAATCTCCTACACCCCATTCACCTTTAGTTTCATCTTATCCTGGACCCAGAAGAAAAAAGGTTTTAATCTTTTGATTTTTTTTTTACATAAATAAATTAATTATGATGCAAGAAACATATAACGGTATGTACAAGTTGTTTTATTCTTTAAAAGTTTATTATTATATCCTTTGTAGTGGATATTGGGTCAATCTTTCCACCAAATGTTCTGCAACCTCTTCTTTGCAGGTCTCCCAGAGGTGAGGTGAGGGGGTAGCAATCTGCAATTACAATGCTAGATGCCACTTGTGTCAGTCATTCTGGAGTTTATTGATGCCTTACATTTATAGTCACAGTAAAGAGTGAGCCACACAGGTGCTGTTCATGCTCCCAGGTCATCAAATATATGCCTTGGGTTGCAAAAGTGTCTGAATTTCACTCGGTCTTTCTCTAGAATGACTGACACCACCTTTAAGTATAGTAGTACTAAGGGGTAGGAGGGTATTTTGAATGCTGGAAGAGCCATAATTGAGGTGTGGTTCTGCTCCTGAAATGCTGCTAATAGTTTCAAATAAATCAGTTTTATTTATTTTGAGGTAAAATAAAAAACAACTGTTTAAATATGTAGGTTTTCTTATTATTATTCATAATGCAAGCCTAGGGAAGAGTGACACTTTGCAAAAGAAGTCAGTCTATTAAATGAACTTGGGATCTTGGCATCCATTTAGCATCTTAACTATCCAGTACAATGGGTGTTTGCTTTTGTCTTGCAGCCCACCATGTTTCAGTTTTGGCTCTAAAGGGAAAAAGTTTACAGTACACTGCACTGTGTAATTCCTCTTCAATTCAATCCAGTTTTATTTGTATAGTGCCAATTCATAACAAACATTATTTCAAGACATTTTTCAAAAAAGTAGGTCTAGACTGTACTCCTTATAAAATTCATTATTAAAAAAAAATATTTACAGAGACCCAACAGTTCAAGCATTTGGCCACAGCGGCAAGGAAAAACTTCCCTTTAAGAGACAGAAACCTCGAGCAGACCCTGGCCCCCGTCTGCCTTGCCTTGAAGTTTATTTGAAGGCACATTTATACTACATTTTACAGCTACAGTTATTATGTTCCCTAGCTCTTGTGGACTCCCTGTGGTAGTAGCATTACCTAAGCACAAGATGGTGCTGCTGTCAAATAATCAGGAAGTGAGAGAGTAAACACTCAGTTACTGCCACATCGACAGATTTTTCATCAGTTTATTGTTTTCTCTTTTTCACAGTTTGTTCAGGAAAAATTAAATAATTCAAAAACAGTGAAGACAATAAAAACAACTTATTACAGCTGAAATCAGTGTTTAACAATATAGAATTTTAGGGGGGAAGTTGGGATACCTTTACAAATAAAATAAAATCCAAATTCTAAACAAATATACTGATAAAGCAAGAATTTTGTCTTTTGAACCTGTGTAGAACACAGGTTATTAGAATCGTTTCTTCCAACAAACAGCCACGCAAGGGCTTCATCTATCTCCATTGTTTTCTGTTTCTCCAAATCTTATGTCCACAAATTGCTCACAAATGCCTCACTGTTCTGGTCAGTGCGATCACCTCTCCAGACCTGTGCCTGCTACTTTTCATTGGCCCAGAGTGTGTTCTTATGCCAAATTCACAAAAAACAAAAAAATAGAACAGATGTCGGTTGCTGCAGATTGTGAGCCAATGGCGAAGCTTAAACAATTTGTTGAAATGGGTTAGGTTAATCCTTACTACCGCCATCTAGTGTCCTTGGCCACATCAAGCCCATTTAGCTAACAACATCAGAAGCTATGAGCCTTGTTGCTATGAAGAGTTTGTGTGTGTGTGTGTGTGTGTGTGTGTGTGTGTGTGTGTGTGTGTGTGTGTGTGTGTGTGTGTGTGTGTGTGTGTGTTGGTGTGAGTGTATGTAAGTGTTGAGCAGCAAAAAGGGGGAGTTGCCGAAGTGGTGTATTAGTCGAGAAATAGAAAAGAGAAGAGGAAAAGAAGAAAAGGAGAAATAATTACTAATTGACAAAGGAGAGAGCAAAAAAAATACAGAGATAAGTAAATATGGGGAGAATAACAGGGACCAAAAGAACAACAAGGAAAAGAAAGAAAGGAAAAAGCGAGGAAGGGAAAAAACATTTCCTGGTGGAAGCAGCTCATGATGTGAAAGAGTGATTTTGTTCTTTCCTTTCTCCCTTCCTTATGAAAGAAAGAGAAGAGATATAGTGTCCTGAGATAACTTTTGTTATGAATTGGCACTATACAAATACAATTGAATTGAATATAACATCACAGCTTTTTAAATGGAAGAGTTTTGAAAGTCACCTGTAACCGAAACACTCCTACTTGAAGTGTTGGTGCACAAAGAAATATAGTTCCTAAATGAATGAGTAAATGCTAGAATAAAACACAAATTTTAATCCTTATATTGGCCATATATGGGATTTCAAACTGGTGGCGCCAAGCACTTTCTGGCCTCCCATCCCCTTCCAACCAGCCTGCGACCTGATGTCAAAAATATAATATAGTCCGATCTGCAAGATTTTTTAAATTATTTTTGTAGTTGTTTCATATGAATTTAAACTACACCTTCATAAAACACATTTATTTTTTAAATGTGTCTTGTTTGGCTTCAGCAGGTTTCAGGGCTTTAGATGTAGATGTTAGTAATGAGTAGTAGTAGTAGTAGTAGTAGTAGTAGTAATAGTAGTATTAGTAGTATTAGTAGTATATCAATTCAATAATTTTCAGAATATTGAGCTTTCTTGTAGAACCTGAACATTGAAGTGGCCCTCCTATCAGATGACAATACAAGCAGTGGCCCCAAGACATTTTGAGTTCGAGACCCCTGGTTAACAATAATAATGATTTTTGATGACATAATCCTTGTGTTTTTTCTCAGTCTCCACACGTCCTTCATGAGCCTGTTTGGGAGAAAGTAAATATGTTGTTTTGCTGCCTTGTACCAGCCTCTCCCTCCTTCCTACTCTTTCCAATTGTTGTCCCCTCCCTTGTGTTTCTTGTCGGTCCTTTTTCTGTCATCTCTCGGTTTCTTTGTGTGTATCTCTCCATGTGACTCCTGTTGCATAATCACCTGCACACCTGTGACTCCTCCTCTATTTGAGCTCCTGCAGTATAAAACACCTGCTCCTCTTCTTTGCCAGACCGTTCAGTTTGCCTACATTCTACAGAGGCTAACTTAAGACTTATTATCTTTTTGTGATTTCTGGGATCCAGCCTGGCCTCAGTTTTACCTGTGTCTCAGGTCCACAGCTCACCTGTGATCTCTGGTTGCCTGACTCACCCAGCACCACTTCACTCCGTTCCCTGGTTGTTGGTCCAGCTCAACCTGCCTGCACAGCTCCAAACCCTGATCCTACCCTTCAATATGGAAGTTGAGAAGCCTTTTGTCCGAGTCCTGCCTTTGGGTCTAGAATTACCCAGCTTAATAAATAACTGATAAAGGAGTTACATGTTAGTGAAGATTTGTGTTCCTTTTAGAATAAGTAGTTTAAGTATTATCATAACAGCTGTGTTCCACTTCCAGAGCTCTGGTAGTGTGCCCTAACCCTAATCCTGTGGCATAGCCAAAATTGCCTAAATGGAACAGGACCATTACTAACTATATTGGTTAGTATTATTAGTCCTGTCAAAGGTATGTTGGTAAAAATTACTTTATATCTTCTCTAGAATCTCTGTTCTCTGGGAGAAATACAGCCTAAGTAGTTTCAGTTAGAACGTATCTGTCAGAGCAGGTTTGTTTGGGGGAGTGTCTACCTGCCTTTTTTCCACTACCTGTCTGGACATGCTGACACACTGGGATACATAGGCCTTTACAAAGAAGGACACAAGCAGAAAAACTGGACTGGACCGAATGCTGGATAATACACAGCTGTGAAGAGCAAGGATTAATGTCAGACTGGATTCATTTCAGCTTGACTTGAAGTATGCTGAAAGCAGGTAATCTTTAATCACTAATGTAATTATACTGCACTAATACTATACAGTAATCTAGTCATTTATTAATAAAAACAGTTCAGTCAGACAACTCACGTTTGAAATGTTTGTTACAAGCAGTATAGCATATTTAGATTTTGGTGTCCAGGCTCCGACCTCATCATTCCCCACAGATATGTTTACATAGAGATATTGGGGATTAATGAGCAAATACCTTAAACCCCAAGCCGGAGCCTACAGGTGGATGCTGGGGTGGTGGTGGGGCTTTCAGAGCAACAGGCAGCAATACGGATGCAGGGCAATCGATTGGAAGAAAATGAAATGGAATATAATATTCTTAGGTAAGTCTTCATTAGTGTACAATCACCTGAATATAGGAATTGTTGTGTTTTCATGACCTTAGAATGAGCCGTTTTTTCTTCTGCCATGTTAAACCAAAAGCCACTATCTAGTGTTTGAAACCAAACACTCACTCTAGACAGGGGCTTTTGGATTTTTTTCATTTGTTTGTTTCATTTTAGTTTCTTTTCTTCACTGCTAGATGCCACTAAATCTTACACACTGGTCCTTTAAAAAAGTTAACATTTATTTTCTTTTAGGGAGGATGACGAACATGAGCTCAGAGGGGTCCCAAGGGGTGAGACTTCCAGTGTCACTTAATTCTGACTTTACATCTTACATCTATTTAATATAAGATAGACTTTTATTGATCCCACAATGGGGAAATTCATTTGTTACTGCAGATATAGTTCAACCCCCCAAAGATTTTAAGGATTTATCAATTCAAGTGTTTTCAAAGAACAAGATTCTACTTCTGTTATGATAAACAGAGGAACCCACAAGCAGAACACAAACTCGGTTGGATATGATTTCCAAAGACAGGCTTTATTGAGAACCAGCTGAAGAAATGGTGATGTAAAGCTCCTGCTGGCAGTGGTGAGAGGATTATGGCTGAGATCAAGGCAGAGTGGAACTGAAGATGGAGGCAGCGTGGCTGATAAGAAGGAGCAGGCAGGTAGCTGAAGTGAAGGTGATGATCCTGAGGCACAGGAAAAAACAAGGTTAAGTTTCACAGCACGAATGGGGAAAAAACTTGTGTTGTAGAGACAACAATCTGGCAGAGAGTGGATGAAGAACCGGGGTTTATATACTGCAGGACTGATGAGTTGATGGCTGGCAGGTCTGAGCAGTCGGACATGTGAGCAGGTAAACAGGGAGAGTGGGAGGAGTCCACAGAGAGAGGCAGAGAACTGACTGATACAGGTTTTAGTTGTGATACATGAATCATGGGATGTATTCTCATTGACTGGGGAAGCTTGAGTTTGACAGCTGAGGGGTTAATAATTCTTTCAATCTGAAAGGGGCCAATGTAACGAGGAGAGTTTTCTAGAGTCTGTTTTTAAGGAGATGTCTAGAGAGAAAAGCCAAACCTTCTGACCTGGTTTGTAGGCAGGTGCAGGAGTCCTGTGACGATTAGCGATTTGATGGTTGCGGTCTGCGGAGCGAAGCAGGGCTGAGCGGGTATCTCTACAGATCTTCTGACAGCGACAAATATGAGCCTTGACAGAAGGAACTGCAATCTCCTCCTCCTGAACGGCAGATACAGGAGTCTGGCCTGTAAACGTGCTCGCTATGGCAGGAGTTTTGTACCTTCTTCCATAGCATCTCTAAACAAGGCATCCCGGTAACCGCCGTGGGTGGGTTTTACGCACAGGACAGGGAGGGGTGAATGTGCTAAATGTGCTGCATTAAGGGTTTATTCTTGTTGTTATGTTGTGGTATCCATATGTATCTATGTATGTCTGAAAGCTATGTACAGACTGCAGTGATACATTTTCTGTTAAGGACAATAAAGTATCTATCTATCTATCTATCTATCTATCTATCTATCTATCTATCTGAACAGAGAGCAGAGGGGGCTGATAGCCCAATGAACACTGAAAGGGGACATACCAGTGGCTGCGCTGATGAGGGAGTTATGGGAATATTCCACCCAGGTGAATTGTGTGCTCCATGAAGATGGGTTGTTAGCAGTGATGCAATTGAGGGTAGCCTCCAGGTCCTGATTTGGAGAATCAATCCACAATAGTTAAGATTATTGTGTTACCTTGTGAGAGAGGCAAGCCTGTGACAAAGTCCAGAACTATATTGGTCCAGGGATGTCCTGGTATGGGCAATGGACGGAGCAGACCAGCTGGTGCCTGATGGGAGGCTTTTCCGCGGGCACACACAGTGCAGGCAGAGATGTATGCTCTGGTGTCTGTTTCCTTGGTAGGTCACCAGAAATGTTGCTTAAGGAGGGACAGAGTACGGACTATGCCAGGATGCCAGGCAAACCTGAAAGTGTGCCCCCACTGAAGCACCTGAGAACAGAACAAAACATCTATTAGGTGGACTGTTACCTGGGTCAAGTTGTATACGCTAGGCCTCCAGGACTCCACCTTCCAAGTCACTGCAGCAATCACAGAGGAGGATGGAAGAATGGTGTCTGGCCTAGAGGGAACCTCTCCTGTGGGAAACTGTCGGGAGAGAGCATCAGGTTTAGAATTTTTAGAACCAGGACGATAGGTTAGAGTAAAGTTGAACCGACCAAAAACCAGGGCCCAGTGGGCCTGGCGAGAGTTCAGCCCCTTAGCAATTTGTATCTAGGCCAATTTCTTATGGTCGGTCAAAACGATGAAAGGGTGTTCTGCTCCCTCTAGCCAGTGTCTCCACTCCTCCAAGGCCAGTTTAACTGGCAACAATTCCCTGTTACCAACATCATAGTTTCCCTCTGCTGGAGTCAGACGACGAGAGAAGAAGGCACAGGGATGCAGCTTTTGGTCTGGAATAGAGCGTTGGGACACCGCCCCAACTCCAGTGTCGGAAGCATGCACCTCCAAAATTAACTGACGATTAGGGTTAGGCTGAACCAGAATAGGGGATGAGGTAAATCTGTGCTTTAGCTCCGTGAATGCAGCCTCAGTTTCAGGGGTCCAAGAGAAAGGGGAGGAAGGTGAGGTGAGCTGGGTGAGTGGTACAGCTACCCGACTGGAGTCTCTGATGAACGGCAATAAAAGTTAGCAAAACCAAGAAACCGTTGTAGTTGTTTCAGGTTAGTTGGTCTAGGCCACTCTGCAACTGCCTGGACCTTTTCAGGATTTGGGAGAAGCCAACAGGGAGAATCTAGGCGATGACTGAGATAAGGGTCTGGTTGCCCTCTCCCTGCGCCTCTCACGGAAGCGATTATCCAGTCTTATGGCTAGGGAAATGAGTGAGTCTAGGCTAGTGGTCTCATCTTTAGCAGCCAACTCATCTCTAACCTGATCACTGAGCACTCTGAAGTGCCTCATCATTCCACCCCAATGTGCGGAATTCAATGGAAAAGCTACTCTGCGGGACCCGTGGTGGAGGAAAAAGAGATGACTACCAGCATCACTAATGCATTCTGTTGACAAATTAAACCTTGGTGATCATTCGACTTTCCAGCAAGTTGAGAAAAAGTTCCTGGAACGTCCTGAAGTGGCCTTCTCAGTCACCAGATTTAAATCCGATTGAAAATTTTTGGTGGGATTTAAAGAAGGCAGTTGCAGCATGGAAGCCATCAAACATCATTGAGCTAAAGGCTTTTGCATGTGAAGAATGGGTAAAGATTCCAAACGAGAGTTGTAAGAAGCTTGTCATCACTTACTGAAAACGTTTGTTAGAAAATAAAATAAAAACTAAAGGATGCTCCACAAAAAAGTTGTTCAATGAGGTTTTTTCTCATTTATTGTCATCATCTTTCATCCACATCACTATAATGTCTTTTGAGGTGAGGGGGGTTGAATATTTCTGAGAAAAATATAAATACACATTTATTTGACAGCTGCAATTACTAGTTACATGGTAGATTAACATAAAACTTATAATGTCTAAAGAAACACTGAAGCATCCTACTGTATAATGAGTACTTTTCTAGTACACTTAACTTATTGTACTTCCACACTTTTATTGAAGTAACATTTTGAATGCAGTTGTAGTGGAGTATTTTCATGAATCTATTATCAAACTGTTTTCCTATTCACGTCAGTGTGGACAGTGATGTTTTTAGAAAATTAAAAAATAACTCTTGAAGGACCTGCAGCTGGATTAGTATCAAAAATTATGATGTAACAAGGCAGTAGGCTGTGGCTCAGAGGCAGAGCGGGTCGCCCATTAATCGGAAGGTGTGTTGGTTCGATCCCTGGCTCCTCCCGCCACATGTCGAAGTATCCTTGAGCAGGATATTGAACCTGATTCACACAGCAAAGTATCAAGGATACTTCGCCACATGTCAAAGTATCCTCGAGCAAGATTCTGAACCTGATTCACACAAGATGATACTGAATGAATGTGTATGTGAATGTGTATGAATGCGTTAGTTTCTCTTTGATGGGCTTTGCCATCACTGAGTGAATGTGAGGGCGAAAAAGTAAAAGGTGTAAAAGTGCTTTGAGTTGTCGGGAGACTAGAAAGGCACTATATAAGTATAGGTCTATTTACCAATTTCTTGTTTTGGCTCATTTAACAGATGGAAGCAGTCTCCTACTGGACCTTGAATGTCACCATACTGAGGGCAACGATGTCTTTCTCTGAGAATTACTGTATGTATAACTCTTCCTTTGTATGATCTTTGAGAAAGCATTTGTGCTTTGCATTAATTATATTTATACGTTTTAATAATGTTCACCTGATATTATAAAACTTTTTAGAAGTGAATGACACTACATAGTAGGGTGATACTGGGGTTATGAGTCAATATAATGTGATATATTGCAATGCTGTAAGCAACACAAGTTTGCAGTCACCATAGTTTCTCCTACACTCTTAGAAAGGGAGGCCAAAGCAAGGTGTATTCAAATGGTTGCAATCTGCTGCTAATAAAATACTGAAAGTCTGTAATAAATAATATATTCTGAGCAGGTGATCCATGTCCTATCTCTGTATTACAGGGTCTGAATTTGACTGCTATGTTGTTCTCACTCTCCACACGGCGACGGCAAGGATCTGCCGCACAAAAACTGTGTCCAACAGTAGAAACCCAGAGTGGAATGAAACTTTTACCTTCAGGGTCCCCACCCAAGTGAAAGTGAGTCTATTCAATATATGTATTACTTAAACGAAAGACGGGAATTAATAATAAATAGGTACAGGTAAGGGGACAAAGAAAAATAAATTAATTAATTAATATTAAATAGGTACAGGTAAGGGGACAAAGAAAAATAAATAAATTACTTAATAAATAGTTTAAAGTTAAAATGCTTGTGTAAGCAAGTCAGCCAGTGTGCGCATGAGTGTCTGAGAGGGCCATCCCCAGGATAAAAGCATGAGAGCTGTTTACAGGGGTCCTGGCAGGGCTTGAGTTCCACAGTTGAAGTATGTAGGAGTGGGTGCACTGATTTCATTGGTACTGGTTACCTGGGTGGGAATATGTCTGTGTTTATACATGTTTATTAGTTTGTGTTACAAAAGTAGGTAGGCAAGTGGTATTGATGAATGGTAAAAAACATCTCTGAAATTAATGTTCTTGGTTGTTTTTTAATGCTATTTGTCTCTCTGATTAAATATACCACTGGGATGTTGATATGTTATTTTTATCTTTCCAACTCAGATTTTTTTTTATTGTTTTAGGCATTTGTTAAGGTCACCAGTATGGATTGTTCATATTTCAGTTGTGGTTCAACTGAATGCATAAATACTTCTGGAAGAGCTATTGAGGGGTTTGTTAGGTATAACAATATGTCATCTGCATATAAGCTAATTGTGTGGTGAAAATGTATTGTCTGTATATCTGTAATACAAATGTTTTGTCGAGTGGAAGTCTTTGCAGTGTGAAGTGTTGAGAGGTGTTGTAGAGTAATGGTCCACTAAATGAATGACTCCCCAAAAATCCAAACAAAATTTCGTAAGGGCAATGGTAATTGGATGGCATTCAACATAGTGATTTTACAGTTTTCCAACCACTTAGCTTTTCTTTTTTTAAGTGCTTTCCACTGCAGGTCAATATTCCCCATTCACATATATTCATATGGCAGGGGCCAGTGACATGCATTGTGCCAACTGCTTACCAGGAACAGAAACTAATGCTCTTTCGGAACAATTTGGAGTTCAGTATCTTGCCCAAGGATACTTCCACACTTCAAAGTAGTGGATGACCTACTCTATCTCTAAGCCACAGCCACCCATGGAAATTCAAAGAAATGTTGGGTCGGGCTTTACTAATTATCTCAATTAATCAGGCTTATAGGTTTGTAGCTGGTGGTAAGGGTTGGGTCTTTATCAGGTTTTAACAAAACCGAAATAAAAACTGTATTCATGTGGGTAGGTATAGATTCTGATGATTTTTTTTCATTAAACACATGGTTGCCAAAAATGTTTTTTAGAATTATATCATGTAGCCATCAGATCCAGGGGATTCATTGTTCATGATTCATATCCAAAGAAACTAATGCAAGCTAGCTTGGAAATAACAGCAAAAACAACAAGTCTTAATCCATTTATAATCAGTTTGTTTGATCCAAAGCATATCAGACTCGTCCCTTTAGAGCCCCCATGCCTGGCTCTCACTCTAGCATGCAAACACACATAAATGTGGATCTATCTTCTCTTGCCATAATGATTTTGTGCTTCAAATGGGGCAAATGGACAAAGATACTTGTCAGGTAATCAGTGGCAAGAGGAAGGTCTTAGAATATAAATATATAATTGAAATTTCACAAGTCACATGATCAACAAGAAGTAATCTCTTTATTCTATTCTCTGTTCTACTCTATGTTCTATACATTTGATCATATTGTAAGTATTTATTTTATGTTAAACCACTTGAAGATACTAGGTAAGTGTCCTCATGCTATTAGCATTGATGCCATGTGACTACATTTGATAAAGGGTGCTAAAAACTACTTTAAGTCCTTATGAAAAATGCAAATCTTACATTTGAAACCTTGTAAAAAAAATGTTTTAAAAATGGCCTGAGACTGACAATTAACCTATACATTTTGAATAATTAAGCTTTTGTGTTATTAGACACAGTTCTGAAAAAAAAGACAAAACATGATGTTACACAATGCAAATTGAAAATCAGCAGGATAGCTTAGTTGGTATAGCATCTTTTAATATGTATAGCTTAGTTTTCTTACTTTATAATTTTAGCCATTATTTTCTTCCCTTTAAGGAGAGTTGGCAATTATGGTGCAAGTTAAACCAGAAAATAATGAGTTCTTCCCCATGTTTCCCCAGAATGTTTTGGAGATCAAGCTGTGTGATGAGGACTCCATGACATATGATGACCTGATTTGCACTGTTCTGTTTGACGTCAGTAGCCTCAATATAGGGAAGAAAGAGACCAAGTCCTTCCCCATAAATCCTGAGGTAAAATCCCAAGGAGCCACTGGAACCATTGGTTAAAAATGCTACTTGAAATCTGGTCCAAACAGTGTTCAAATGACTGCCTCAATAAATTGTCCCAATCCCAGCCAGAGGTGGCACTTAACAACCTCCAGAAATGCCAGAGAAGAGGTATAACGAAGCAACATTAAACTGAGCTCCACTATTAGCTAACTTAGTGTGTTATCAAGTGTGAACCCATCATGACATCACCCATTGGTTTGTGGAGTACTGTTTTGAAGCTTTGAGGTCGGCATTATGGCTTTCGCCATGTTGGCTTGTGGTACTGCAAGTTGAACTGCGCTCATTGGCTGTGCTTATTTCACCTTATCCGTAGCAGGAACGTGGTCACACATGTTCTAATGTTACATGGTAAATGGTAAATGGCCTGCACTTATTAGTGCCTTTCTAGTCTTCTGACCAATCACACTACACTACATGTCATACTCATACACAATCATTTATTGATGGTAGGTGCAAGGTGCAAACTGGTCATCAGAAACTAACTAATCACTTACACAGTCATGGCACAGCATTGGGGTTTAGTATTTTACCCAGGAACACTTCGATACAAAGGGAGAAGCTGGGGATCATCTGATTAGTGGACAATCTGCGCTACCTCTTGAGCCACAGGATTTTACACCACAATACCATGTTATATAACTACTATTACTATAATGTTACTATTGTGCTATAATGTGATCGCACACTTAAGTGCGTTAGTTGGCAATCGTTAATTAATCCACTCTGTCTAACCACCTTGGTTAGATGGCACTAGAGGCTCCGACTGAACAATATCAACTGTCTCAACCACTGACCTTCGAGGTCTGCCCTCAGCACAGGCCCTACCAAACATGTTAGCTCATGATTCCTGCAAGCAATATGCCTGTATAAGAAGTCTCAGCTGCCGTAACCAGGAGACCACTATACATACTCTATGGAATATAAGGGGAGAGATTGTCTCAATACAACAGAGAACCATACTTCATCAGAACTGCTTTTGTAATGAAGTTTTAGTTTAGTTTAGTATTGCAGTAGCAAACAGTGAAACCTCACTAATTAATCTTGCTTTTAAATAACTGATAATCAAAGAATTGAAAAGAATGTTTCTTGTTGTTGTTAACCGAGTAACTGACATTTTGTTTCTCTTGTTCAATTCATTATAGACACATGATGAACTTGTGGTAGAGTTGGAGCTACTCCAGAGGTATAAGGATCTGGGTTTTGTATATTCCTGCTGTTACTTACTAGCCATTGTTCAACATATTTACAGAAATTGGATCCTCTATTCTGCCAATACAATGTCTCAGTGGTGATTTCTTTGTTTTTGCAGTAAGGAAACCACTCATGAGTACTTCACTAATGGCATCCTTGTGGTAAGGTTTCAGCTTTAACATGTACAGTGCTCTAAAATAAAAGTCCTGATTCCTGGTTAGTGGACTACTAAGAGTTGGGTTGAAGTTGATTGTCAAGCAACCTCTTAAATGTAACTATTTGTAAATATCAGGGGCAACATGTGAACGTCTTCTCTTCATGCATGGTTTTTTGTTTGAATATGTTATAACGTTACGGTAACACTTTATAATGAGTACACACTATTAAGCATTAGTTAAGCATGAATAAATACTGAATTCATCATTTATAATGCATGAATACACATTAGTATGTAGTTTATAAACACAGTTAAAAATGTTTTATTCATCACTGATAAGCACATTAGTTATGGATTAGTAAATACTGAATTCATAATTTATAAAGCATGTTTCTGCTGTAAATAGTCATTACTATGTGGTTTATAATCACAGTTATAAATGTTTTACTCTTCATTGTACTGTACATTTCTGCATGCACTTGCACATCCACTATTCAGACATGTATTAATGATTAGTGACTGTGTTAGCAGATGTTCTATAAAAACTCAACAAATTCATTTTCTAATGATGGCCTATAAACAGTGATTTATGCAGGAATTCACAGTTACAAAGCACTTACTACTCGTTAATTAAGTATTTTGCACGAGCTCATCTAAAGTGAGCACTATCTATGGCTTATTAAGCATTTACAAATGAGATATAAAGGCTGACAATGCCTCGAGACTCACAAAATGTTCAGTTATCTTAACAGACGAAGGAGAGACACAACACAACGGGATATAGAACATATTGTATTGATATTTACTGCAACTTCCCAACATATTGTATGAAGACGAACAAGGGTGGTTTATGAAGACATGCTATTGTTGTGATCTTATCTGTTTGGGACGTGTACGTTGAGCTCCCGCTCTCAGCACGTCATCAACGTGATGACGTGCTGAGAGCGGGATGTTACGTCATATTTACGTTAACTCTCAGAAGTTTCTGACAGTGCAGCCAAGGGGAGCATGGAGAAGCACATTGGAGTCGGCGGCCGTCAGCGGCTCTAGTGGAGAGTATGTGTCTTTGTTTGGTAGCACACATTATGGTTGAAAGATAACGTTAGCTTGTCAGCAGCTGCAGGTGTTTGCCCTTGCTCCCCGACTCACGTTACTAACGTTACTAATGTTAGTAACGTTACTAACGTTACCGACCCGCCCGCGGTGGCTAAGCCGATCTAGTCTAGTCTCGTCTAGCCGGGCAAGGTGAGGGCCTAGCAGCGGCAGGTCGGCTTAGCCACCGCGGGTGGGTCGGTAACGTTAGTAACGTTAGTCGTTAGTGTCAAGTGACAAGCTAACGTTATCTTTCAACCATAATGTGTGCTACCAAACAAAGACACATACTAATGCTTATCAATGATGAATAAAACATTTTTAACTGTGTTTATAAACTACATACTAATGTGTATTCATGCGTTATAAATGATGAATTCAGTATTTATTTATGCTTAACAAATGCTTAATAGTGTGTACTCATTATAAAGTGTTACCTAATGTTACTACTATTCATGACTACCTGCCTGTGCCCCACCAAGGTAGTCATGAAATTAGTTGGAAAGACTGAAATTACAGGCAGATTAGAATCACATCTACTTAATTTACCTTTTGAGTTAATATATGATGAGAATCAACAAGAACTCTAAAACTCAAGGACACACAATAATCACATTAAATTCAGTGTTAAACCAAGCACCAGATTAGATGAGAGTTCAGTGGGGTACTATTATAATGATAAATTACATTACAATTAAAGCTGCCTAATACTACTAAGCTGACAATGGATCTCAGGGTCTGGTCAGCAACCTCCACCTCCCTTTTCAAGATCCTAAAAGATGCAGTGCTCAGATGCTCGGGATGTCTTTGTTTTCCCAAGCTGGCAGAGTTTCCCAGATGCTGATCTGGAGGTAGATCAGAGGTAGAGGTAGAGCAGGTCGTTCAATAATCAGAAGGTTGTTGGTTCGATCCCCGGGCTCCTCGCACTGCAATGTCGAAGTGTACTTGAGCAAGATACTCCCAAATTGCTGTGCATCGGTGTGTGAATGTGAATAAATGACTTAGTTTCTGTTGGATTAACTTTGCCATCACTGTATGAATGGGTGTGAAAGGGTGTAGAGCAGTAGTGTAAAAGCGCTTTGAGTGGTTGGACAGACAGGTCCATTGCCATTTACCATGCCTCCTCACAACCTCACCAACCTCAACAGTGTAAACAGATTGTGAACTCTCCTGCCTCGCGGACTGCCAGCCGTCATCTGGTCATCCCCTCTTCCCCCAACCACAGTAATATTTGGGGATTCCAAAATCAGGAATATCTGCTTTTTCAATGTTGGCCACTGTATCCTGTAGAAGCTCCTAGGGCTGCTGCAGTCACTCCCGTCCTCTATAAATCGAGTAATTGTCCATGTGGGAACAAACGATGCAGCACACCAAACAAGTTTGTCAAGTCTAGATCGTACTCCTTATAACATTATTTACAGCAAGGAAAAACTTCCTTTTAAGAGGCAGAAACCTCGGACAGACCCCACCTCTAGGTGGGTGGCCGTCTGCCTCGACCAGTTGGGGTTAGAGAGAGAGAGGAGGGGGGTAAAGAGAGAAGGACAGAGACAGAGACAAAGGTGAACAACAATAGTAGAAACAACTATATGATGATGATGATGATGATGATGATGGTAAATGGTAAATGGACCTGTACTTGTATAGCGCCTTTCTATTCTTCCGACCACTCAAAGCGCTTTTACACTACGTGCCACATTCACCCTTTCACACACATTCACTCAGTGATGGCAAAGTCCATCGAACAGAAACTAATGTATTCATACACATTCACACACCGATGCACAGCATCTGGAGCATTATTTTGGGGCTAAATATTGTGATGTTTTTAATTCACTTTAAATATTGCTAATTCAGTTTCTTGCTAAAGAATACTTTAACTAGGAACAAATGTAAGGCCCTGGCTTAATATGACCTGCTAAAGACAGGAAGGAACAAAAAAAAGAAAATTAAAATAAATGTTAATTTATCAGGAGCAGGGATAAGTTTTTCTGAATTAATAGCCAGAAAGAACTTTAGGTTTCTTTTTTTTAAATTTTTTTTTTTAAAGCAAACAACCTTCCAAGACTAATGGGGACTCGTACCCCCCCTTAGTTTTAGGCCCCCAGCATCTGCCTCTGCACCATTGTTTTATTTTTTGCCAGCCGCCCAATAAATGTCTTTCTCTCTTTTAGAGTAAGGTGTTTTGGGGGTAGGAAAAAAAAAAAAACAACCTACTACATAGGGTGGGGAAGTAAGAAAAAAGAAAAAAAAAATAAAAAATAAAAAAAAAAAACCCCCCTTTTTTTAAAAAACTTAGTGTCATTCAAGGTTTTATTGCCCCTTACTGCGCTCGTGCCGTTTCCAAATTGCTCACTGCTTTCTGCCCCTAAACCCCATCCCGCGCATCCAACCTCCACTTGTTGTTTTATCAGCTAAAGACTATTGCAAAATTTAAAAATTTTTTCTCCCCTGGGCCCAAAAAAAAAAAAAAAATTTTTTTTTTTTTTAATTAAATAAAAAAAAAAACCTATTAATCAAAACCCCCCCCCCCCCCCCCCAAAAAAAAAAAACCCCTTTCCCGGCTAAAGAAAAAAAAAAAAAAAAAAAAACCCCCCCCCCCAACCAACCCCCCAAAAAAAAAAAAAAAAAAAAAAAAAAAAAAAAAAAAAAAAACCCCCCCCCCACCAACAACAATTTTTTTTTTTTACCCCCCCCCAAAACAATAAAAAAAACCCCCCCCCTCTTTCCCCACCCCCTTTTAATAAAAAGGGGGAGGCCTTCCTTTTTCCCCCCCCCCCCCCCCAACCAAAAAAATTCTTTTCTTTTTAAAATATTTTTTTAAAAATTTTTTTTTTAGAAAAATTTTTAAAAAAAATTATTTTTTTTTTTTTTTTTTTTTTTTTTTTTTTTTTTTTTTTTTTTTTTTATACTATTTTTTATAAAAAAAAAAAAAAAAAAAAAAAAAAAAAATAAAAAAAAAAAAAAAAAAAATTAAAAAAAATTAAAAAAACCTTTAAATACCCTTCCCCACCCCCCCCCACCCAAAAACCCCTTTAACCCAAATTCACAAACCAACAAACAAAAACACCCAAAAAAAAAACTTTTTAAGAATTTTGTTTTTAATTTTTAAAAAAAAAAAAAGTGGAGAAGGGGAAAAAAGAAAAAAAAACAAAAAAAAAAACCTCCCACTACGCCCCCCCCCCCCCAAACCCCTCTCAACAATTTTTTCCAGGCTGCCCCATGCTCTACTTTGGATATCAATGTTGACAGACCACTAAGCAGTGACTGTATGTAGATTACTATTGTCTGACAGAAATATTTCACCATTTTTAAAACAGAGGCAAATTATGATGCTACATTTCTGATATTAGATGACAGATGTCATTATTCTGTTGTGCATTTTCATGTTTTTCTCCAGGTATTAGGGACAAGGTGCTGAAACTGAGGGGTGCCTATCCGGAGAATCAAATATTTGATGCAACCCAGAAACTACGTTTTCACATCAACAGAGACTTGGAAACAGAACTAGGAATGGCAGTAAGTTTTAACTACTTACCTTTACATGTTTAACAATGTACATTGTGTAACATATAACACTTTGAAAGAATACTTTTGACCTTAAGATCTTTGTACTGAAAAAAATACCATTAAGGGTCAATCTCAGGAAAAAGTAGGCAACCTATTTGAACTGAGAGAAGAAAGGAAGAGAGAAGGAACAATCAATCAAAGAAGAGATGGAGTTGAAGTTGAGAAAAAGTAGTAAAGTTCAAAATACTTTAATGTCACTGTAGTAACTTTTTTTAAGTATTTATTTTGCTTGTATTGCCAGTGACAGCTGAAGGTAGACAGGAAAGGGGGGCAAAGAGAGAGAGGGGATGACACGCAGCAAAGGGCCGCAGGTCAGATTCAAACCCTGGGCTGCTGCAGCAAGGACTTAGCCTCGGTACATGGGACGCCAGCTCTACCAACTGAGTTAACTGGGCGCCCATAACTGGCATTTTTAAGGAATCCATTGCAGCTCTACTCTAAACCCTTATTTTAACCAGCAAAAAACACTCATAGACCTCATCATTGTATGGAAGACATTTTGACTTGTCAAGGCCAGAAACACACAGGTGGACTGTGACAACATAACAATGACGGTGAATCAGCATGCACAATAGCATGACTTCCCCTACATGGAATGCAGCTATTTGTCAGTTGTGCAGCACTCCATAGCATGCATATTATGACATTAATTTATGTCTTGTGTCTGTCAGCCTTCTGATGCGGCTGCCTCCATTGCTCCAATGGAAGCTTCCACTGAGCTCCACCCACTACCAGCCAAATACACAGGCAAAGTGTCGCTTGTTATTGATCAGGTAAGAACTCTATGTGCAGTCTCGTTGCTGGTATTCTCGTAAACAGCTCGACTACAGCGGTATTTCTGTTTGAACCACCTGAGCGAGTTCTCAATGACTGTTAAAATTTCACTAGAGAAGAGAAGGTAGATCACGTGTCACAGGAAAATGTTTAGCCAAGAAGCATACTGACTGACCTTCCATGGTCACTTAAGCTGCCAGTATACTTCATCAGAACTTGAATAAACACACACCTTTCCATGGTCCTAATATGGTCAGCCATGGACTGACCATATTTGTAACTTTACGAAATCTGACATTCACACCCAACATAATGCCGTCATTGGTCACATTGTGGAGGTGAGAAAGCAGCCAGAGTTTGAACTTCTCTCTGTACATTTTTCTTGTCATCAACTTAGGTAACATCTTCCCCTCTCTATGACCTCTATGACAGTCAGCTTTTCACACCACCTTCCAGCTTGGCCATTCAAAACAACAATAAAGTCACTGTACTGTGGCTACTGCGCTGTGATTGGTCAAAGGTCACTGGCCTTTGGGCAGAATGAATTTAGCCACACTGCCCTTGTGAGCCCTGCTTCTCAGGTGACACTTAAATAGAGAGTAGAGGGTTTTTTACGTGAGCCACATGCGGTTCCCAGCAAAATAAGACAGTGAAAATGATCTGTTCATAGTCATATCGACATTATACCAATAACCAGCTTTCAGTACAGTTTCAATGTCTTCATCTGTAGATGTAGATGTCTGTTGCAGACATGAAAAAATATATATATTTATTTGAACACCTCCTATATCTGTTTCAGATCAAAAGCTCTCACTTTTCTGTGGACAGAATTTATTCATATGTTAACAAGGCTTTAATTTTATTGTATTTATCAGAGGTAAACTTAATGTAGAACAATAGGGCTGGCAGCCTCTGTAGAGACCATAGGCATGTGATCCACAGCATTTCAACAAGGTTAAATGGGTGGTTTTTAGTAAGGATTAACAATGGCAGGGCTGTGACTTAAAGGAGTTCTGTTTTATAGTAATGTTGCATTTTTTTTACAGGACACAGTGGATTTAGACCTGGAAACACATGAATGGTAAGATTCTTCCTACATAACTAGCATTAAGGCAATATGAGTATCCATTTATGTGTACATATATGTGTGAGTGTGTATGGGACCAAAGACCAGTCCAAATGTGGCAAAACATAATTTCTGAGGTCCTGGTTAGGGTAAGGGCCGGGATTGGGTTTGTCTGTCCACAGTGAATAAGTCAATGGAATGTCCAACAACCTTGCAAATCCACAGCAAGGAGGAACATTTCGCTGTTCGCCTGAACCTTGACCTCCCAGCACAAGAGAAAGAGTATCTGAAAAAGAGGGAAATTGTTGTGGAACAGGCTTTGCAGGAGCTTTTAGGCATCAGCCCTCTACTTGAATCCAGCAAGGTACAGTGTGGCTCTTTTCAGATTATGAATTCATTATTCTATTTTTGTCATTTCCCGCAACAAATTCCGTAGTTGTTACTGTTCTGTGGCATGGGATGCAAATGCTGGATCCTTGCTATTTCAAATCACAAAATCACGAGATAAAGCAAGAATCCATCTTGCAGGGCTTCAACCTATGCACTTGTTGCTGGTACAGTGGTACCGGACCAATCAATACAAATTTATTTGTATAATACAAACTCATAATCATGCAAAAGTTATCTCAGGACCCTTTTCAAATAGAGCCGGTCTCTTCCACCATGAGCAAGCACATGGCGACAGTGGCAAGGAAAACCTTTGTAAGAGAACTTTGCAAGCCAGAACACAAGGAGTATAGTATAAAGTACTTTTTAAAAAAATTCTTGCCATACGTATTCTCTGCATCCCCTTTCCAGGTGCTAACTATAGCAGTAGTGGCTTCAGGGGGAGGAGCCAGAGCAATGACAGGCATGCTTGGTAGTCTGAGAGGCCTACAGGAAATAGGGGTCCTGGATGCTACCAGTTACATCACTGGTGTTTCTGGATCCACATGGTGAGTGAACAAGCTGAGAGTAAGGGCTCACAGTTTCACTGATATCAATTCAATTCAATTCAATTCAGTTTTATTTGTATAGCGCCAATTCATAACAGAAGTTATGTCAGGTCTAGACCTGCTCTATTTGAAAAGTGTCCTGAGATAACTTCTGTTATGAATTGGCGCTATACAAATAAAATTGAATTGAATTGAATTGAAAGTTATCTCAGGACACTTTTCAAATAGAGCAGGTCTAGACCGAACTCTTTAAAACATTAATTACAGAGACCCAACAGTACCACCATGAGCAAGCACTTGGCAACAAGGGCAAGGAAAAACTGCCCGTTAAAAGGCAGAAACCTAGGACAGATCCTCCGGCTCTAGGTGGGTGGTCGTCTGTCTCGATCAGTTGGGGTGAGAGAGAGAGAGAGAGAGAGAGAGAGACAGAGAGAGCGAGAGAAAGACAGACAGACAGGTGCACAGCAACAACAGTATTGGCAATGGCAATCTAGCAGGACCATGGCAGGAGGCTCCACCAGGATCGACAAGAACCTGCGAGACGAGAAAGCACAAGAACTCCGGGGAAGAAGTGAAGTTAGTAACATGCATTAATGGGACATGAATGAGTGCAGAAAGAGAGAGGAAGGGAGGAGCTCAGTGCACCATGGGAAATCCCCCAATAATCTAGGCCTATAGCAGCATAACTAAGGGATGGTTCAGGACTCACCTGATCCAGCCCTAACTATAAGCTTTATCAAAGAGGAATGTCTTAAGCCTACTCTTGAATGCGGAGAGGGTGTCTGCCTCCCGAACCACAACTGGAAGCTGGTTCCACAGGAGAGGAGCTTGGTAACTGAAGGCTCTGGCTCCTGTTCTACTTTTAGAGACTATAGGAACCACAAGTAGCCCTGCATTCAGAGAACGTAGTGTTCTAGAGGGGATAATAGGGTACTATGAGCTCTTTAAGATATGAAGGGGCCTGACCATGAAGAGCTTTATAGGTGAGGAGGAGGATTTTAAATTCTATTCTAAATTTTACAGGGAGCCAATGCAGAGAAGCTAGTACAGGAGAGATGTGATCTCTTTTTCTAGTTCCTGTCAGTACTCGTGCTGCAGCGTTCTAAATTAATTGGAGCGTTTTAATGGACTTATTGGGGCAACCTGATAATAAAGAGTTGCAGTAATCCAGCCTTGAAGTAACAAATGCATGGATTAGTTTTTCTGCATCTGTCTGTGACAGAATGTGTCTAATTTTTGTAATATTATGTAAATGAAAGAAGGCAGTCCTAGAGGTCTGCTTTATGTGGGAATTAAATGACAAATCCTGATCAAAGATAACTCCAAGATTCCTGACAGTGGTGCTAGAGGCCAAGTTAATGCCATCTAGAGTAACTATATCTTTAGACAGTGAGTCTCTAAGGTTTTTGGGGCCAAGAACAAGAATATCACCCTTCTCATCTGTGGGATTGATGTCAAATAAAAGTAATCCCCCAAATCCTCCAAATTATTGATCAATAATCGATATAATACTGAACTTTTCTTTTCTTTTTCTTTCATATTCAGTACTATTCCAGCAGACTTTAGCATGATTACCAACTTTATGATGTTTGTATTGGTTAGTGTAGTAATGTATACATTTGCTATAATGTGTACTTTACCTTTTATTAATACTCACAGATCATGAGAATTGTGAAACCTTAAATCAGAGTTTACTGGCTTGCATCTTGCATATCATCTATGTAACTTGTTATTGCCTGATTATATATATTGTATCAAATTATTTTTTCTCCTTTAAAATGCTACTCTCATTTCCCATGTGAACAGGGCTATGTCTACTCTGTATCAGGAAGCTAAATGGTCACAGGACATAGACAGTATCATCTCAGCAGCAAAGGACCAGATGACGAAGAGCGTCCTGAGTGTCTTCTCTCCTGAGAAACTGCAGTATTACAGTGAAGAAATGGCAGAGAGAGGAAACAAGGGTTACATTGTGTCCCTTCTTGATATGGCAAGCCTAATCCTTGAGCATCTGGTCTTTGGGAAAGTAAGCAGCCGAACACTGTCTGTTATCACTTTAATTGATATATTACTTTAAAAGCTTAAAAGACTACATCAATGTTCAAATAACATTTATTATATGTGGTTGGAATTGCAGAAAGTCACCAGTACCCTGTCTGGGCAGCAGGGAGCAGTGAATGAAGGCCAAAACCCATTACCCATATACACTGCTGTCAATATGAAGGATGGCTGTGAATCTGAAGCTGGTAAATATTGAGGCATTTGTTTTGAGTTATGTCTTTCTTATTATTGCTGAAGTAGGGCATTAGGGCACATGACACCGACCAGAAATTGAGTGAATACACTTAAGTTATAACTACAATATCATTAAATTCTTTGCCTATGGAGAGATAGGGGCACTAGTGGATATATGGCATAGAGAACCAAAAAGTCCAGAACAGCATACTAGAAATGGAAATTGTGATCATGGAGTGATTGATTTTGTTTTACTAATAATTACTCTTGTTGACAGAGTGGTGTGAGTTTACTCCCTATGAGGTAGGCATCCAGAAGTATGGGGCTTTTGTCCGAACTGAGGACTTTGGGAGTGAGTTCTTCCTTGGTCATATGGTCAAGAAACTCCCAGAAGTCCGCATCCCTTATCTGATGGGTAAGACAGCTGATTTTTTTTCAACGCAATGCACAGTACTAATATACAAACTTTAAGCCAATCCAGTGTTTTGTTCTATTTGTCAACTTTATCAGGAATATGGAGCAGTGTCTTTTCTTTTAACCTGTCCCAGCTGTGGAAGATTGCTATGGGGTACCCACCCCCTTGGAACCCTGTCCTGGAGCCAGATGTCAACAGCATAGGTAGAGTTACTTTAATTTGCTTACGGCACAATCAGACTTCAAACAATATAAAATAGAAGTACAATCAGCACAATCATTTAATTTTAGTGTGACAGGCTTCAATGCAAGTGTCAGTATGTACACAGTATAACGGTATTTTAAAGTCAAACTGAAATTATATTCATTTATGAAATCAGTATAAATAATTTTCCAATTCAGCAACTCAGCTTCCACTTTCTAAGCAGGGGCGCTTCCACAAAGGGGGCCTGAAATCTGATTGGCCACCCCAGTCTTTCAAAGGCTGCAGGTGGCTTGGTTTTAAAGCTAGAGTGAAGATACTGGTATCATACGAAGTAGATGACCTAACGCATCCAGTGATACCTAACCTAACCGTGTCATGATAGTAAGTTGGAAAGGGGGCTTACTAACACTCCAAAGTTAGGCTAAATTTTGGCTATGGAAAAACTGGCATGGCCATGCCTGGACACGCTTCTGCCATTGGAACACCCACCCAGCATCCTGAACCTTAGTTCTGTTTATCCTGTCTATCTCTATTTATCTGTTTTCTTACACTGAATAATTACAACTACAGTCCATTAAAGAAGTAACATTCCCATATTTACCAGAACATGCTTAATGCAGTGTGTGTAGGCTATCACTAAGATGTTTTGCTCGTTTTGCAGAGGCTGACTCTGAACCTTCAAATCTGGACACAAGCATCTTAAACCCAACAATCGCAAGCATGTTGACTAATTTCTTCAAGGATCGTCCAGTCATTGCTGAAATGTATAATTTTATGCGGGGTCTCCTCCTGCACAGGGAATACAATAAACACAGCAATTTTAATGCTTGGAAAGGTATGCCTTAAAATCTATTATCACATCTCTTTTGTTTAAGCACAAGCAATTGGGCAGCAGTATTTTCTTTTCCTGCTCCTGCAGACCAGGGATTGTGGATTCTAACACATTGTAAGTGTCTCACCCTGCTCATGATTAATTGTCTTCTCTGTTTTCTGTCCAGCCGCACATCCAGATGCCTTCCCAAACCAGCTGACACCCAGTGACCCTACTCTGTGCCTGGTTGATTCTGGTCATGCCATCAACATTGGCTGTGTGCCTGTCCTGCGACCAGAGAGAGATGTAGATGTCATCATATGTCTGAGTTACTCTTGGGACCCAGATCACATCCTCAATGTAAACAGAAGGAGGAGGAGCTCATCTGGGAAAGAAATTAATGTATTTCATCATTATTAATATTACTCTCTATGATCACAGGTGATAAAGAAGACAGCTGCCTACTGTAAAGACCATGACATCCCTTTTCCCAGTGCAGATTTTGCCAGTCTGGAAAAGGAGCCTCAGAAGGAGGTCTACATCTTCGAGGATGAGGAGAATCCCGAGGCCCCGATAGTGGTTCATTTCCCACTCGTCAATGTCACATACAAACACTTCAAAAGTCCTGGTAAGGCCATTTGAAATGCATGCTGGCTTTGTTTCTTTTTGGCAGTGTTGTAAATAATTATCACTATGAAGGATAGTGTAATAACCAGTTAGAATGAGTGGTTATCCTCTCTATTCAGATTTCAACAGTAACTGCACCCACTATATCTTACACAGTGCACTATAGTCCAAAGGTGTGAGTGAGCATATAATCCATGGCATTGACCAAAAGTGACATATACTAGACTGAACGCTGGAAAATATCATATTTAGACCATTGACAGTATATATAATAGACAGCTTCTGGGTCTGTGAAGTGAAGACAACAGGGAAGTGTCTTAAACCTGCATTCTATGTAAAGGCTTCAAAAGGGTCCCCACAAACCAATGGGTGATGTCACGATAGGTTCACCCTTGATTTAGAATAACGTTACTATCTGCATTGTTCATATTATATTTGGACTATTGCCTTCATGCTACTAACTAGTTTTCTGTCACTTGCTTGGTTAGTAGAAAGCAAGTGTGAACCTATTGTAAACCACCCATTGTATTGTGTTTTGTACAGCATTGTTAATCCAACTGTATCATTATCTTATGACTATACAGGTGTAAAGCGTGAGACTGCAGAAGAAATGAAAGCTGGGGAAGTGGATGTGAGCACCAGCAGCTCTCCATACACCACCAAGAACATGACCTACACAAAAGAGGATTATGAGGCTCTGGTGGACTTGACCACTTATAATGTGTTAAATAACAAAGAGAGCATCACCAAGGCCATCCACAAGTCCCTGCAGAGGAAGGCATCCAAGATAAATAAATAGAAGAAATATTTCTCCTAGTTATCATTTTTATAAGCAGCATAAGTAAATATCTGCTCAGTTTGTACCTTAGCATGTTGCCCTCAGTTACCTTAAAACATATAAAAATGTTGATTGCCAGACCTCCATTAAACTGAGGCATCATGCTGAGAGTACAGCTCAATGTGAGTCATTTGTGTAGGAGTTAGTGGTGGCTACTTACTCTAGCCACTGATTTAATTAGATTTGAAGTAGACTATCTAACCGCAGTTACTATGCACAAACATTTTTGGGTTACTTACAGTTAGTTATAATACTTATTTTAGTATAATTTCTAGCACTTTATTATTTAATTATATATGTATATGTGTAACATTTAAGTTGTTATTCATGCTATTGTAGGGGTTACACTACTATTCAATAAGAAAGGTAATTAATCACTGAAGATTAATAATACACTCATAAATGGGGCACCACCTCCGTTGTTTAGCTACTGGAGTAATCTGGAGGAATTTATTCCACAGATCTAATCAAATCAATTTCAAATCAATTTATTAAATTTCAAAATCTATATTCAATCTCATATTTCTGGAGTAGTGATTTCTTTAACACGATTCATCGATTTCCCCGCATCAAATCAAACCTGCACTGACAAGGACATACGGTTATATATGTTTATTAACTAAACTAATGTAGAGTAAATAGTATGAAATGATAATGCAAACAAATGACAACAAGTAACAGAATATGTGGACAATATATGAATTATTACTATTAGGTGATTCAGGAGCGATGGTGGATTTTGCGATGCGGCAGTAAGTTTAGAATATTACGAGATTAAGTTTTAGGACTACGAGGCCCTAATCGAAAAAGCTTATAGACAGACACCAGCTCTTTTTCATGTGTGTGAATCCGGCCGGAGAGTCAGCCTACTTTGTAGATGGAACTTGGAAGGATTCCAGGCCTTTAGCTTTCCTCCTAGCTCAACTGCGGCTTTGCATCACTGATCCAACAGGCCGAAGGAAGTTGCGTCTCGTCCCTGGTACCAGTGGCCCTTCAATTCAAAGGCCCAGCGCGTAGTTTTACGCTTGAGTGCGTTGGAGGCAGAGAGTCGCTGGAGAATAATGTCTTTGTTCGGCTGGAATCGTTGTATGTTTTCTTGAGCAGTCAACTACTGCGACGTCCTTCTGGCTGATGATGAATGTCTTAGAGTGGTTGGTCTTCAGCTTTGACTGTAAACTCATTCAGCTTCTTGTTTAAAAATAACTGGAGGATGAAACGCTGGCCTGGCGAATTCTCCGTCGTCACTAAGTCCAAGAATTACTAAATTAAATTAACTAAATTCACTTTCTGTGAATCAGGCGACAATAAGACTACAAAAATATAAAAGAAGAGAAGAATTCGTTTGTGTCTTGAGCTTTCAAAATAAAAGTAGTTAGAAAAGTACTTTTGCACCGCAAGTTATACTTGAGGAAAAATTCAACACGTGTCGCAAAACGAAGTAAAGTAAAGTACGGAAATTAAAATTAAGAACAATAGTAAATAACGAGTGGATCTTAGAAAGAAGAAAAGAAGAGAACGAAGTTTAGAAGAGATCAGAAGAGGAGGAGTGACCGGAGTCTGAAGGCGTATCCGGAAAGGCTAATCGCGTCACTTCCTTTAGCGATATTTTGATATTCGTAACTTTATTAATTTATTCCTATCGTCTCTAAAAGTTTCTAAATCATAATTCACCATTCACAGAACCCACCATGACTTAATACATAGTTTTTAACATATAATACATATGTTTTAACATAACATAACCGAAATCACATGATGCAAAGGAAAAGTAGAACTGATTAAAATCATTAAATCATAATAATTAAACATGCATATAAAGCAACACTGATGGATTGTACATATTTCGTATAGTGCTAGCTTAATCCTTGTTATAAAAATATTATGGAGGACTGAAAGTGCCACAATTAAATAAATAAATACACCATTAAATAATTACTTAAATGTGTCATTAATTAATTAAAATTGGAATTAAATACATCAATGTGATATTAAATGTGTCATTAATTCTGCATATTACTCCTGTTATTTTAAACAAAATTGACCACTCCATTTCCCCTCTGTGTAACAAATGCAACTTAGGAAGGGGGACATATTTCCATTACTTTTGGGAATGTAAACTGATTTCCAGATTTTGGACACTTATTTCAAAAGTAGTCAGTGGGATATTTAAAGTAAAAATCGAGAAAGACCCTGGGGTCTTCCTCCTAGGCCTTCCATCTAGGGACTTGCATCTCACTGCATCACATTGTAAGCTCTTTGAAAAACTCCTTCTAGTTGCTTGAAAATGTATACTGAAAAACTGGATCAAAGTTTTTCCACCTAGTGTCACCCTTTGGTACAGGGAGGTTTTTAATATCCTCCCTCATGAAAGGCTACAAGCTGTCGTAAAGGGTTAGGATGAGTTATTTTTAAAAATATGGACGCCCTTCCTAGATTATATACCTGCAGATCTGAAAAATCTTATATTAAGGGGCAGACAGTTTTCTGATTGGAATAAGACCTCCCCTCGCCTCCCTCAAATTGAGGGACACAGATAGGCTGCCGATGACTGGTTACCCTCAACTCATGAATACATACTGCGGACTGGAGACAAACTAGTACTGTACTTTTTCATCATATGTCATTATCACTAGTATTTGTATTGTATGCGTATACATGTATATGGATGTATGTACATGTATGTGTGTGTATGTATATATATATATTTTTTTTTGTATAACATGTGCTGTCTAATGGGTCGGGGTGGGGGGTTTTGTCTCTGTGTTATGTATTATCTCTGCTTAAAAACAATAAAATGTGTTTAAAAAAAATGTGTCATTAATTCATTCAAATACCAATTCATTTTATGTAAAATACATATATCATTATTTCACTATTTACATTTACATTTCATGTTCCTGCGTTGCAGTGCTTCATGAATTACTTAAAACTGTCAAACTCACCCATCAAACTCAGTGGGTGGGGCTAACGCAAATCTAGCCTGATCCATTGCTTTGGTCTGAAGTAGAGTGCCAGGAAGATCTTCATGAACTTTCTAGGGCAGAGGTCGCTAACAGGGGAGTCTGGACCCAGACACCGTCCTATGCGGACCCAGACCTATAATCAATTCATTATTGAGGATTCTACATTTTGATGGGGAGCTTCTATTTTAACCAGCACAGCTCTTTTAGTCTTTACGGTATTTGTTTAGCAGATCAGGAAGCTCACAGACCAATCGCATGCTAGTTAAGCCATCCCACGTGATGCTGCTCAGCCAATAAAATCTGTTTAAACAGCGCGACTGAATACAGAGATGAGAGCGATGAGAGAGGAGAGACAGACAGAAAGAGAAGTCACAGATACATGGAGAGGAAATGGAGAGATGAGTGAGTGAGAGACAACAGAAGATTTATGGCGCTCTCTAAGAAGAGAAAAGTGGATAGAAAATTGAGCTTTTAATGGACAGATTCATTCACATTCATTCTTCCCACTGGGAGCACATAACCAGTGTGTCTCATGTTCAGAGACTGCGGCGCTGATTAAAAGTGCCAGTGTGAAACGCCACTATGAGACAAAACACAAAGTTTTCATCAAACATACCCACTCAAGTCTGAACAAGGTCACAGAACATAAGCAGTCTCAGATCCCAATATGATCAGTCAACCAGTATCCTGACCAGTGTTGGGAGTAACGGTGTTTAAGTATAACAGCGTTACTAACGGAGTAATCTAATGAAGTACTTTTCCCATCGTTGCAAAGCCGTTACCGTTACTGAGAATGTAAAGTGGCGTGTTACTTGCGTTCCTACAATGTGGTTGAATGAAGTGCAGCGGTGTCAGGCTTTCTGACAGCCACACATCAGCTGCCAGCAGAGGGCAGCGTGGTGATGATGACACCGTTGCAAATGCGATGATGATTGGCTGGGTGGGTGGATGCCAAGACAGAGACAATGGCGACAAGCTAGGGAAATTCAAAGGTAGCTGAAGTTAAAGGCAAGAATGTTTATGTAACGTGTGAATTTAATTTTCAATATTTATTTTGTATATATTTTTATTTCTATGCATATGGCCGGCTGCAATCTATTGAGTTCAAATAAAAACCAAATGTTCTAAAATACTGTATATAGTGTTTTTATTCTTTATTCAGTGATTATAAACATCTTTAACGTTATAGAAGATGTTACAGAATGTAATTATAGACCATGAAAAATAACATCACAGTTACTTTGCTGAGTAACTAGTTACTTTTACAATGTGGTAACTGAGTTACTAACTCAGTAACTGAGTTACTAACTCAGTTACTTTTTGGGATAAGTAATTTGTAACTATAACTAATTACTTTTTTAAAGTAAGATGACCAACACTGATCCTGACCCATTCATTCACTGCCCAACGAGGGAGAGAGGTTAGAGCTCAATTCTCTCACTGAACAACAGAAAGTGTATAGAAAGATATAAAAGGGAAAGAAAGAGAAACTGTTCAATTGTAAAGATGTGTTGATAGTCATTTATAAAATTTGTTGAGACTGTTAATCAAGATATGAAACAGTTAACAAAGAAAAAGGGAAACTCAATCTGCTGCTATACTTTATTTTTCAAAGTTAAACACTTTATTTTATTTTTTAGACTTAGCAGAGGATGTGGAAGCAGGAGCTGCTGACCCACAGCATGTAGCGAGTAAACCAGAGGAACTTATTGAAGTTCTTGGAGTTATTTTCGCACTTTCTGACCAAGATGTTGACCACAGAGTGACTGCAGATTTAGAAGAAGTAGTCCAATAGCGCCACCCAGTGTATTGGAATGTGTTCACTAGTTCTGCATCGATCCATTATCTGGAATTGATTTGTCTTGGCTTGATGTGCAGGGTAACCAATCAGGCGTTAGGTTCCGCCTACCAACTTTTGATGGGTGAGTTTGACAGTTTTAAGTAATTCATGAAGCACTGCAAGGAAGGACCATGAAATGTAAATGTAAATAGTGAAATAATCATATATGTATTTTACATAAAATTAATCGGTATTTGAATTAATGACATATTTAATAACACATTTATGTATTTAATTCCAATTTTAATGAATGAATGACACATTTAAGTTATTATTTAATGGTGTATTTATTTATTTAATTGTGGCACTTTTAGTCCTCCATAAAATATGTGTCAGGCATTTACTATTTGGAATACTACACAATTATAAAACAAAGTCCGTTTTGAAGATACCTTACGCTATGCCAGAATCTTACCAAAAGGTGGCACTGTGGCTCCATCAAACATTCAGACAATTTACACATGATTTTGTAACTTAGTCCAATCTGAAGACAGAAACATCAGACAAACATTACATTTGCGACCTTCTCATGCTGGATGGCAATCTGTTAATTAGGAGGAGATTAAATTTTACAATAGTATTAAATTAGAACTAAATCTATATCACTGCCAATGCTGGACCTGCTATCTATATTGGAATGTCAGTGCTAGTACATGGACCTCTCATAAATCACCTTAAAGGAAAGGGGAAAAGGAGTAACAGGAGACCAGATGTGGAGTTCAGAGAAGTTTCTCTCTGGACGTGAACATGTCAGTTCAAAATAGATGTAAACACATTTCAGGGATATGTATCCTGATTTACAACTAAAAAGGCACTTAATTATTAACCCATCTTTTGTAGAACAACAAGCGTTTCCCAAAACCTGAGTGTAGGGTGTCGTTCTGATCTGTGGAGGAGTCAGTGTTCTGTTAAAGAGGATAAAACAAATTGACACCTAGAGATACCATCTGAGAATCTGAAAAGAACCAGGCTCTCTGTGCAGGAGACTGTCGGCGCCACAGTCTCACCTCCCCTCCTGGGTCAAAAAGGTCAAAGGGAAAGAAGAGGCCTTGAAAACTCTCCTGGTGGAACATAATCAAAATAATATGATGATTGTTGAATTAAGAGACCTACACTACCTTTTGTGAAGAGTAATTTTAGTTCCTACTTGCCTTGTTTACTGGGGACACTTATGAGTGTTACAGACTCATAATAACGATTCACAATGAAACATTAGAACGTTACAGGGAAAAGTTACAGCAGTGTAAACTGGTTCTCTCAGCTCGACTCAAGCAAGCTGATGGCGAAGCATGCAAATCAGCTTGTCAGATCTCCAGTTTAGAACATGTAGATGCAATCAATTTGTTTTACACAACCCTTATAATGTAACAATGCACCCATGGCCGGCTTCAAATTCTTACCCCCATTCAATAAAATGCAAGTGTAGCAAGTAAAGCCCGGTTCAGACCAAAGAGTTTCAACCTGATGAAACCACTTTAGAGCGTTACAGGGAAGTTGCAGCAAATTCAGATTCATACATTTATTTTTTTAATATAACGGTTAATATCTTTCCATGCCAATAAATCTCACAAATTGAAAAAAAACTTAGAGTGAGTGTGTGAATATGTGCAGAAGTGTTGACATTTCAGACAAACTTTATTGGATCATAAAGCTCTAACATTCTGTGATATATTACTTAGATTTCAATACCATAGTTTCCTGGTAGATTTCATGGTAGCCTACTTACTAAACAATAACTTTGTACTTACTAGCCAGTTCCTTTGGTACTTTCCGGATAACTATATGTTGTTACCATCTAGTTTCCAAGGGACTGTAAAATAAGGTGTTAAATATTCTTAAATAAATTCAGTTCACACAATGTTATGCAATGTAACTGATTACATTACCATGTTTTATTCAATATGTTACCCATTTATAGGAACATTTTACTACATTTTAACAAGTTCTGTTATTTAGCTGTCCAAATTTTATCAGAACAGGTTGACGAAACCATAATTAAGAGAAACACAATTAAAAAGAACTATAGACATACAAAAATAAATTAACACAGCACATACACTGATCAGCCCCATACCAACAAACTGAGACGCACTGTGGGTTCTGACACCTTTCTATCAGAACCAGCATTCACTTTTTCAGCAATTTAAGCTACAGTAGCTCATCTGTTGGATGGAACAACACGGGTCAGCCTTCACTCCCCACATGCATCAATGAGCCCTGGTCGTCCATGACCCTGTCTCCAGTTCACCACTTTTTCTTCCTTGGAACACTTTTGATAGGTACTGACCACTGCAGACCGGGAACACCCCACAAGAGCTGCAGTTTTGGAGATGCTCTGACTAAGTCTAGTCTTAACAATTTGGCCCTGGTCAAAGTTGCTTGAATCCTCACGCTACCCATTTTTTATCCACAACATGAGGATTCAGACACTAGGGAATAAAAGTATGTTTTGAGACTTAAAAAAGTCAGTGGAGGTGGCAGATCTGATGTGCCAGTCTAGGGGCAGCAACAGCAAAAGCGTGGTCACCCCTGAGCTTGTATTTGGAATGCAGGAGAGCCACGGTCCCTTAGTCAGCTGAATGGAGGGACATGGATATAGAATAAGGAGTTAGAAGGTCTACAGTATAGCTGGGGGCCAGCCCATGAAGGGATTTATAGACAAACAGGAGAACCTTTAAATCAATTCTGAACAGTGCAGGCAGCCAGTGGACAGAGGCCAGAACAGGTGTAATATGGTCCTTCTTCCGAATACCTGTTAGGAGCCTTGCTGCAGCGTTCTAGACCAGCTGCTGGCAGGACAATGATAACTGACTAATTCCAGTGTTCAGAGAGTTGCAGTAGTCCAGGCGGGAGGATTTAAAGGTGCAGATGACTTTCTCAAGATCTTTGAAAGAGAGAAATGGCTTAATTCTGGCAATGGTGCAAAGTTAGAAAAAAATAGCTTTATCTACAGTTGCTTGTCAAACTTAAAAGCAGTGGAGAGATTGACACGACCGTTGGTAATCACCTTGATGGATTAATGGGGGCCAAACATTTTTTAGCCATCTAACACCAATATCATTGAGACTGATTATATAATGATGTGAGCCTGTTGAGTTTTGCACCAGGTCAATGCAAGCCCTGTTGCAGTAGTCTTACAAGAACACAAGATGGTGCTGTTGTAAAACCACAAAGAAGTGAGAGAGTGAACAATGACAGGTACCTTCAGATTGAAGCGGTTCCAACACAGGCCAGTATTTCACTGTTGAGAAGGAAAAATGCATTCCATAGGTCTCTCTCTCTCTCTCTCTCTCTCTCTCTCTCTCTCTCTCTCTCTCTCTCTCTCTCTCAAATTCACATCTGCCTTTGGGATTTTGGAAGCATTCAGGGTGAAATAAAAAAAAAAATATATATATGTTATTCAAGAAACCCTGTGCTTGCAAGCACAGATAACTAGACAAAAATGCCAAATTTTGACACCAAATTCATTTAAATTTGAAATTATCCATGCAAGCTATCAAAGACCCAAAGGCAAATAAAATGAGTGTTTGAAAATATTACTTTTAAAAAAAATTAAAATGCAGAGGCCACTTATATAACTTTAGATAGCTTAAAAGATTAGAAATATTAGAGCAATGGATTAAATCATCATTCTCATCAACCTCAGTATCAAGTATCGAGGTATCAATGCATCAAAAATTGCGTTTTCATTGTTGTCACTAAATGGCAGCGGTAAGTCAAGTAACTAACTTTTTTCCGCAATAAAACCAAAAACATGAATGCAGTCTTTAATTAAACATTTAGGGCTTTACTTTGATTTGGTATGGATCTAATTCAGCAGTTTTTACCACTTAATGTTAGTAATTCCATGAACATGTCACCCTATAGCCTATAGGCCACTGAAGTAAATTAAAGCTGCAGTAGAAAAATGTTGCTGTTTTTCACATTATCTGTCTCATGTGTTACTGTCAGGATATAGAAGTTTTTGGAAAAGTTACTTTTATAAAAGTGACGCAGTTTTAAGCTTTCAGTTGAGTTCATCAACACATTATTGTTGTGGTGTTTCTTATAATTAGCCTACTGCAGGATTTGTTGGTATCTGTGGTTATGTCAGTCAGCTAAGAAACAAGAAGATTTGCCTGTAGCACTCCATCTTGTTAATGCTTGGCAGGTGGTAAATCATGAATCAATACCACTGAGCACAGGTTATGGAAAGAGATTAGTTGACTTTCCACCCAGGGTTGCATCCGGTCAGTATTAAACTTTACATCATTAAAGCCCATATAGTTTGTGGTTTTGTGAGCTGTCTGTTATCCACTTGCACTATTGCAGGTCAATTGTGTAGGCTGTATTATTGTGCGCTCATCCAGTAGTTGTGGTTTGAGTGTTTGAAGGCAGGTCTGACAGGAACCTACACATAAAGGTTAAATGACGTCAGCAGTGGATCCAGTCAGTAGAAGGAGAGCATCCTGCTCCTCCTCCCAGCACTGCTGCTGTTGCTGCTGCTGTGCGCCCAAGGTAAGCTTCGTGCACATTCAGTTTGTTAGTTATTTTTAACACTTTTTCTCTCTCTTTGTATATTTTTTTTGTTACTGACACCGCAACTGTCATTTGTCTCTCTCCAGGAGGACTCTGTTTTCTGCTGTCTTGCTCTTCTTGGGACTAACAACATGGGGAGATTAGATGCGCTTCGGCAGTTTAATTTGTTGAAATGGCTCAGAGAGGAGAGACAGTCGAGGAAACTGATTCTCTTCATTGTTTTCGTCGCTCTGCTCCTGGATAACATGTTGCTGACTGTAGTCGGTAGGTGCTTTTCTCACCTCTTACATCTCTGCAAAGTTTTTTTTCTTCGCAACATGTAGTCCAGTTCACAAAGTCAGTCCAAATACGCAAATATGCCCAGTTCTTTGATTAGAGCGCAGCTAAAACTCGTCTTTAAACGGGTAATATATTGCCTAATTATTTATTCAATTCAATTATTCAATTCAATTGAACAATGATGTGCTCCATATTATAAAATATATAGCGCAGGTCTAATAACGCTGATCTCCGTTAGAATGACTGAAAACTATAAAATCAGATTTGAGATCAGCTAATCCCTCCATCTGACGCTCACAGAGAGGTCATATTAAAAATCCCTTAATATGCTAATGTACTCTCTCTCTCTCTCTCTCTCTCTCTCTCTCTCTCTCTCTCTCTCTCTCTCTCCTCAGTACATTGTGTCCACGTGACTACAATGCAGTTTATAAAGTAACAGCAGACTTAAGGTAACGTCAGGCTATTATTACATATAATAGTCAAATTTGCAGGGGTAGATCTAGAGGGGTTGGCTGCCACCCGGCCACCTGGCCACCCCAGTTTGGTGTCTAATGCTGACAGATTTAACACATTAATTTAGATTAATTTTCATTTTAAAAATAACTTGTACCCCTGCAAACTTGGTGCCTATCTTTGATCATCATCAGTTCCAAAGTGATACATGTTAAACACACCAAACACCTTCATCTAAAAGGTTGAAACATTAAATCTGTTGGGTCTCTGTAAATAATGTTATAAGGAGTTCGGTCTAGACCTGTTCTATTTGAAAATGTGTCCTGAGATAACTTCTGTTATGAATTGGCGCTATACAAATCAAATTGAATTGAAATTGAATTGAATTAATTAACAAATTAAGTCGATTTTAAGGGATGCATGACTTTCTTCCTAATTTACATATAATCTGGAATTTGATAATCCATCAAATATCAATTGAAGATGTTATTGGAGCTGGGAATTTGGTTTTCATTTGGGTTCTGAAAGATTTTCAGGTGGAAATAAATTATAGGTTTGCCTTAATTTGTAATTAGGTCGTGGATAAATTAACTGATTGCAATATATTTAGGAGATTTCAATAGATTCATGTCTGCATGGTGTAAATGGTTCCTAAAGGGATGTCCTCAGGGGCAGATCTAGAGAAATATTTATGGGGTGGCTAGAGGGCGGCAGAAATATCACAAACAATCACATGTATCAATATTTGCTTGTAAAACCCCTCAAAAGAATATATGAACTCATTACCATGGCACATATACAATATATTTAAAGGTGGCATTATAAATCAATACATTTATTTCCAAATCTTCCGACAGTCTAAAAGGTGACCAGAACAGATCATTACAATAATTTCTGTTTTTGAAAACATTATTTTTCAAAAACCCTAAAACATAAAATCAGATTTTAGAATGTCATTACTTTGGTAATGGGTACATGAATGGAATTTTAAGGTAAAAAAATAGAATTAGCTCAGTTTTACAGTGTAGGAAGAGTTAATGACTGAGACCAGCATCAACAGGTTACAGTTGTTTGCTTACAGGCTGTCACAAAATGTCATATTGGCTGTCAGGTCTTTGCTAGATCACATAGTCCAGATAACATGTCGTCGTTCACCGCATGTCTCCGTTCCGCACACCGCACTGCTTTCTGACTGGCAGAACCAGTCTCATCTGTTTCCAGAATTTTATTGAGACAAGATCCTGAATGAAAGCAGAATAAAGCAGATCACTCCACTAATATGAAGCAGACCTCAGTGCAGAATTATTAAAACATGACTGAATTGAATCACTGAAAATAGCCTGTGGACAGAAAATGAAATTGGTTTGTGAAAATTGGTGATTATTTATATTATTTGGACAATCTATGGATACTCGTTGTGCATATGTAAAAACTAATATTGTGATTATTTACAGATATTGCGATATCATTAGTGGGAATAATTTTTGCTTCCCAAATTTCATTTTCGCAAAAAAACTGTGCAAATCATGATGATTTGAAATTCCAGATTTAAGAGATTCATTTAGATTTTTTTTTTTCAATCTGGAGAACAAGATATGTTGACCTGGGAATCTCTGCAGAACTACAGTACTCCATTATAATGCTGTTTCTCGCACATTTTACCTTTATCAAAACAGTACAGCTCTTGTTATTTGCATATTGCTGCTGCAATTTGGATATTGCACTTAACCATATTTTTATAATATTTTGATTAATTATGGAGCCCTACAGTATACATGAGTTATTTGGCATGAGCAATATATGGCCATAATTAAAATGTCTAGTTCATATTTCTTTCTCTAGTTGTGGTGGTTTACTATCATTTTATTTTCTTGATTGATTATTGTTTTGTAGATTTACTTCTACTGTCAATGTCAACATTTTGGCTTAAATGCTTTATAATCTTAGGCTTAACATATTGTATCAGTAACCCAAACTCATATGAAAGATGAACTTAATTCAGCATGTTGATAGGTTTGCAAGAGGTCTTCAAGGAGAAGACTGAAAGATCAAATTAGTAGCTGGTGCCAATTTAGAGAGCAGGGCAACAGATAGCCAATATATAATGCAGATATCAAAACAAAGAAAAGTCATGCATAATTCCATTATTCCATGAACATTGCAATCTAATATACGTGGTTATTGTAGCCAGTAACGTGGTATTTTATATATATTTTTATTTAAGCTGCAGTAGGTAACTTTTATAAAAAATAACTTTTTGCCACTGCAGTACATGAGACAGATAATCTGTGAAAAAATCTGGTTCATCTGGCTCCTCCTAGTGCTCCTAATGGCATTCTCAAGAATCCACAGAACCTGAAAGAAAACAACCAATCAGAGCCAAGAAAGATAGAAAGACACTTCGGAATGAAGGCTTGAAGATAGTTGATTGTTAAGTCTCATTCCCAGCATCAATATTTGATGACCTGGGAATGAGACTTAACAATTAACTCTTTCTCGCGTCTGATCCAAATGGAATCTCTCTCTCTCTCTCTCTCTCTCTCAAAAGAAAAGGTTTTAATATTTAGATTTTACCTCCATCATTGAATTACTTGGGATTTAAGTTAACATGTCACAAAGATTTATTTCTCAAATTGTTATTGGGTGTTGCGTCTTCTAAATGTCTAGGGGTTGTTGAGAGTAACAATAAAAAAAATATATATATTATTTATCGAGAACAAAGAACCCAAAGAAAGTTAGTTTCTATCCAAGCAAGTGTAAAAAAAACGATGCAAACTGAAAACTAGCTTTCCTTTGAAAAAAAACTAAGGAGAAGCCGATTCTGTGTAGAGAAGAGAGAGCATGGACACTGCCAGATGACCTGCCACAACTCCAATCCCAGTTTATATATGCCCAGCCCTGATTAGTAAATGGAGACAGCCGCGCACAACTACCTCCTGGGGAGGGCAAAACCTGGAAGACACAGGAGCACAGGAGAGAGAGAGAGAGAGAGAGAGAGAGAGAGAGAGAGAGAGAGAGAGAGAGAGAGCGAGCAACACAACAACACAACAACACAACAACAGGTCCGAGACCCTATTGAAACTGTTTACTTTATTATTATTTTATTCCCTGATGAATTGAATTTTTGGAGGCCATACATTTGTCCATGCCCCCTAAACTCAGCCCCCAAGACACATTTTACCGATATGCTGAAAAGTGGTACACACATACGTGTATCATGACCAGAAAAACACAAAAAGCCTCTTGGACCTATACCCCAAACCCAACAGGAAGTCAGACATTTTTAATTGCGTGGTAATTTTTGGTGATCTGCACGCAATGTATTTAAACAAACTTCTCCTAGGGAACTGATCAGATTGACTTACAGTTTGTTCAGTTTAATCTTAACACCATTGCGATTAAAAGTTGTGCTCTTTGTTACTGCGCGTCAAATAATGTGTCTGTGACCTGCTGTCGAATTTTGATGTTTTGCCATGAAACAGGAAGTTCTCATAACTTTAGTGTACTTTATCTAATCTCCATCAAACTTCACAAGTATGATAAGAGTCCTGCTCTGAATATATCTACATGTTAATATTCAATCATAATCACAGTGCCACCTACTGGAAACAGGAAGTAAGCCTAGTTTGGCTAGGTCAGGTGAGTCCTGAACCATCCCTTAGTTATGCTGCTATAGGCCTAGACTATTGGGGATTTCCCATGATGCACTGAGCTCCTCTCATCCTGTCCCATTAATGCATGTTACTAACTTCACTTCTTCCGCGGAGTTCTTCTGCTTTCTCGTCTCGCATGTTCTCATGGATCCTGGTGGTGCCTCCTGCTATGGTCCTGCTTGACTCCCACTGATAATATTACTGATATTGTTATTATTATTATTATTATTATTGTTATTATTATTATTAGGGCCTGAGCACAAAATCGTGTGAAGGCCCTATTGTATCTGTAGGAATTATTATTATTATTCTGACATTTTAAATGACTTTTTGGAGGCTTTATCATATTCAAAAAGTCCTGAAAATCTGCGCACAGGTCAGTTGTGGCGAAACTTCGCAAATTTTATGTCTCTGACATATGTGTGGAAAATGGCTCGATAGCACCCCTACAAATTTTCAAAAACGCAGCCCCGGTATCCTGTTGCGGACATATATGAAAATTGGCAGGCATTTGTATCATGTCAGGACGTACAAAAAATCCTCTTGGAGCCATATCCCAAACCCAACAGGAAGTCTGCCATTTTGGATTTAGCTGTCATTTTTGGCGAACTACTCTTAGGGAATTGATCGGATCGACTTCACATTTGGACACTGCAATGTAAAGACATTCACGATTAAAAGTCGTGCTGTTTGGATGCCTGGATAGCTCAGTTGGTAGAGTCGGCGTCCCATGTACCAAGGCTGAGTCCTTGCTGCAGCGGCCCAGGGTACAAATCTGACCTACGGCCCTTGCTGTGTGTCATCCCCTCTCTCTGCCCCACCTTTCCTGTCTATCTTCAGCTGTCACTATCAAGTAAAGGCAATAAAAAGCCCCCCCCCCCCCCAAAAAAAACAGGAATGTAAACAGGAACGTAAACAGGAAGTTGTCACAACTTCAGTGTACATGATCCAATCTCAACGAAACTTCACATATCAGATAAAATTCAGCAAAAGTGGTAGCGCCACCTTGTGGTGGAATTTATTGCACTTTTATGTCTTTCTCCAAGCAGATTGACCACATCCAGCCGAAATTTGGTCTGTCAGTCTGTTGACAATGAAATCTTATGAACCTTATGAATTTTTTTTTAACCATGTTGCCGTAGCAACGTATTTTGCAGGGGCTAATCAGGCTCAACAACTCATGAAACTTGGCACACACGTCCCGCATGGCAGCATTTTACATTTCATCTGGGTCTTTGACGTGGATGTGTCAAAATGGCTCAACAGCACCCCCTATTGAGCAGCTCCAACGGCACGTTTCACCTATAACTTTGAAAAGTGGTATATATGTAGATCGTCCTGAAAAAATCCTCTTGGAGCCATATCGCAAACCCAACAGGAAGTCGGCCATTTTGGATTTGAACTACTCCTAGGGAACTGATCGGATCAACTTCACATTTGGACACTGCAATCTAAAGACATTCACAAATAAGAAATTGTGCTCTTTGAGACCAAAATTTTATATTTTGTCATGAAACAGGCAGTTGTCACAATTTCAGCGTACATGGTCCAATCTCAAACTTCACACATCTGATAAGAGTCCCGCCCTGAATACATCTATTTATAATCTATAAAATTCAGTAAAAGTGGTAGCGCCATCTTGTGGTGGAATGTATTACACTTTCATGTATTTTTTCTAGCAGATTGACCACATCCAGCTGAATTTTTTTCAGAAGACCCATATACTGTTGACAGTGACATCTTATGAATCTTATGAATGTTTAATAACCTGTGATGCCATAGCAACGCGGTGAGCATCACTTTGTTGTTTTAACATTTGATCGCATTTTGCGGGGACTAAACAGGCTCAGTAGGTCATGAAACTTGGCACACAAGTCATTTCATCTGGGTCTCTCACGTGGGTGTGTCAAAATGTCTCTATATCGCCCCCTATAAACTTTCAAAAAAACGCATCTAAGTGCCAATATTCATGTCCCGGTCTGCACATGTTAAACTTGTACGTGATACGGCCACAGCACACCCCGAGTTGGATGGAGTGAGAGGGCCCGTACATCACTGCTTGCAGTTTTAATTATTATTATTACTACAGTTACTATTATTACTATAGTCACTGCTCATTGTGCCCCATCATTGTTGTCATCGTCGTCATCTTCTTCTTCGTGTTCATCATCATCATCAGTCACTACTGTTAGGGTAGTTGTTGCTACTGTTATTGCTGTGCACCTTTTTCTCTTTTTCTCTCTGTCCTTCTGTCATTACCTCTATCTCTCTGTCTCTCCCTCTTCCTCTCTCCCTCTCTCTCTCTCTCTCTCTCTCTCTCTCTCTCCCTGTCTCTATCCACCTCTTTCTCTCCCCCTCTCTCTCCCCCCAATTGGTTGAGGCAGACAGCCACCCACCTAGAGTCTGGTCTGTCCGAGGTTTCTGCCTCTTGAAAGGAAGTTTTTCCATGCTACCTTCCTCAAGTGCTTGCTCATGGTGGGAACTGTTGGGTCTCTGTAAATAATTTTATAAGGAGTACAGTCTAGACCTATTCTATTTGAAAAGTGTCCTGAGATAACTTGAATGTCATGAATTGGCACTATACAAATAAGATTCAGTTGAATTGAAATTATATGAATTTACATGACATTTTTATGGAGTGGTCTATCCTGTGCTTGTGCATAAAACAGCCGCACACATGGACTGCGAGGTCCCGATCAACGCTGCTTGCACCTTTAGTTAATTGTTTGCAGCTCTCCCGGAGGCCTGATGGTCTTGTGTGTGCTGGATAGTGTGGAGAGTCCATCTCTTTCTGAGGCTTTACATTGGATATAGGCGGTTCATGCAGTCACACAGATAAAAAAAAATTATTTTGTCTATTGTATTTTGTTTGGGGTTTTACTACACGTTATTTCTGTATTATTTCAATTGCCTTATGTTGTTGCCTCAGTCCTGAAATATTTTAATCCTGGTTCAACCATGTAAAGCAGTTTGTAACTTTGTTTTTCAAAAGTGATGTATAAATGTAGTATTATATTATTGTATCATGTTACTTTGACAACGCTAAATCATGTTACGTAACCTACAGTTGGGGGTTTGGAATGTTTTATTTTAAGCTTTTTACTTTTCTTACAACCAAGATATTAGTAACCAACGGCTTGATTTTAACAGGGTGATTTACAAACCCTGTGTTTAATGACAGCGGTATAAACTGTTAGTAATTTCCTCAGGCAAAGTCTGCAAAAATGCAAACTTACAGAAAGTGTGCATAAAGGTCTCAAAATGTCTGTTAGAGAGCCCTCACTTGACAGTTTGACAATTTGACAGACTTTGGGCCTAGGACTCAAATAGACTGCATACATGCAGACGCCTCAGTGTCCCCCTGGACAAATATGAATTGCTGGGTCTTGGGAGGCTAGAGGAGGCAGGACATTGTTTCTGGGAAGGCATTGGTTGGTTTGATCCGTTCAAATGTACATTTTCAGGCTAGCTGCAGACGTTTAAGGCTGATATCTGAAATGGTCAACCAATCTTTAAATGGTTAAAGAAACTATGGTTCCTTTAGGGTTCTTGCTTTCCTTAGGGTAGTGTTTGCTGAATCACCCTTGAAGAGCCCCCCCTTGTTCTCTGCTGAAAGATGTTGCAGTGACATCTGGATTAGCATCATGCCAGTGGTTGTGTCATATGTCATTACATCAGTTTCCTCTCGTCTCTTTATTCCTGCCAGTCCCCATCATTCCCAGCTACCTGTACAACCTGGACGAGTCAACAGACGTGGTGTTGAAGAACAACACCCTGTCACAGCATGGTCCCCCAGGAGCCTTCAACAGCATTGTGTCCTTATACGACAACACCTTGAGGTCTTCAGGCTCTAACAGGTCTACTGACCCGGTCCCTTCAGCCCTTGCTGCTACAGAGCTGCCACAAAACTCCTCTAGCTGCCCCCAGTCCACCAAGAAGCTGCACAATGAAAATGTCAAAGTGGGAATGCTGTTTGCCTCCAAGGCCACCGTACAGCTGATAACCAACCCCTTCATAGGGCCACTCACAAACAGGTAAGTTTTCTCACTCTATGTGGAGCCAAGGTGCATCTACCTCGCTTCACCCTATTATTTATAAAACAAAATTAATTAATATTTTACTTAATTAATCATTTGGTCTGTATGCATATCCCAAAAACAAGGGATGGCATCAAATTGTTGTTTTTTTGTTTGTTTTATTTACATTTTTTCTGTTGGACCAAAATCCAAATATATTCACTTTAAGATCACATAAGAGATAGAGACAAAGCAACAAATACTAAAATTCAACAGAATAGAAAAATTAGTGTGGTAAGTCATTCTGTAGAAATCCAATACCATGACAAATACCATGGTATAGTGGATTTAACGTTACCTGTCCGATCCATGGTTGTTTTCCATTTACATAGTGGAAAGATAGCAGATATTCTCTGAATTAGAAAAAAGTGCATTTGATTAGAATTGCTTTAAATTATTATTTGATTATCAATAGTTGCCATTATATTTCTGCCAACTGATCAGTCGGTCAGTTGTTGAGCCCTACATTCTTTGACAGTAGTAGTTAAAGTTACATTTCAAAGATGAGCTCACAGCAAACAAACCAATAAAAAGTCTAGTAGTTACTAATGGTTTGAGTCTGACCCATGGCCCTTTGCTGCGTGTCATTCCTTCTCTCTCTCCACCCTTTCATGTCACTCTTCAGCTGTCACTATCAATTAAAAGCAAAACAAATTAAAAGGAATAAACCTGTGCTACACTTAGTTTCACTGTCACTACTGTTTTATACTTTTTCAGTGACCTACATCATGATCTTTCCTAAGGATTACTTCACAAATTGTCTATCTAGCTAACTTAAGGTGTGACTATACATGCATATGTTACTATTTAACCATCTTCCAAATGTGGTTGGTTAACATAGAGAGCATAGCACATAGAATATCTAAGTACTTCAGCCAAAACCAATTGTCCTAGGGTGGCAACGTCATGGCCTAGTAGGCTACTCTTGGCCTTCATTGGTCTGGATGGTTAGGTTTAGGCATGAGGAGAGAGATATTGGGTAGGGTAAGGGTAAGAATGTTAGGGTAAGCCAATCAGAGGCAGACTAAGACGGGTCATGACTTCGCTATCCTGAGAAAAAATCAAAAAAAAAAAAAGTCAAAGTTACCTAGATTCTGACCGAGGCTTGCTCCACTGTTATTGGAGCACAGAGTAATAGGCGGCGGGATTTAACTTACTTGTTACTTACTCATAACAAATTCAATGACTCTCCAGTATGTAATTTCCGTGTTTAGTTCTATTTGATCGATGTGAGGAACATTTGGAATAACTACAATGATGGTCTTATCTGGCATTTGATACAATTGGAGAGGAAATGATTTCATTAAAAGCAGAATGATGAAGGACAGAGCAAAAGTATAATAGTATGACAGGTTTCCTTTCAGGCAAAAGAGGCTTCCTGCTAGCCCAGGGCCAAAATTGTGGTTCAAATTTCCCCTTGTGTTTGCAAAGCCAGTCAGAGGTCAATACAGAATATCATTTATGACCTTATCTGAGGCAACATCCAACACAAATTGAAGAGAAAGAGCAAGAACAGAATCCATTTCATGTTCTCTGGATGAAAATGAAATGGTGCATATGGTAAACATGTCAGTTTAATGCGGTTTTGAGGGTGCAGTATGTCTACAACAGATCTATTCCAACTAAATCAAATAGAGCAGAATTCCTGATTATGTGTGTGCATGTGCATTTTTGTTTTCATGCTTGGATAGCTAGACAGTGGATGAGTTACTGAAATGAACATACGTTACTGGCACTTTATCTTTAGATTTAATCTCTTTTTAAAATGTGGGCATAAGGTTTACTTTTTATGACTAGTTGTGGCCGGGCATTATGTTTTCAGGTTGTCCGTCCATTCATCCGTCCACTTGGACTCAAGGATGAGCTAATTAGATTCACTATGACACATCTTTTGGTCATAACTGATGAATGGATGCAGTAATAATGACAGAATTCTCACATATGTTTAACGGGATACAACAATTATGTGAAAAAAAATGTTTATCTGAAAGGTCAAAGGCCAACTTCACTGTGACATCATGAAGTCCATTATTCAACACCATAACTCAGGAACAGAAGGGGAGATTGAAAGACAGTGAATTGGAATTCACTTTTGACTCAAAGGTCAAAGGTCATTATGACTTCAGAATAGGTTTTTTGCCATAATGAGTAAATAATAAGTGGTACAGTACAGGCTTTTATCTTTACTTCTCATCCATTCCGGCTTTCACTTCTTGCCTCATTCTGAATTTCACCTGCCTGCAAACAACGTATTGGAGCACGACTAGCTAATGGTGATCCAGTGAGTGAGTGAGTGAGTTTCAGCCGTAACGTCTAAAAATGGCAGGAGAAAGACAAATGCTCCACATTTATATAACTATACTGTATGACAATTAATTTTTACATAGTAATCAAGTATATGAGTACCTGTTTATCAAATACATCTATGATAATCTGCCATTAATCAGTTCAAAAATGTTTATAGTGATAATAGCCATTTAGCCAAAACATAAATTTTATATTTTTTATATAACTCATTCAATGTCCTCACCACATTTGTAAACTGCAGCTAGACTTGTTGGAGGCCACATGGTGGTTATTCAAGTTTCATTTAGCAGTAAGTTGTAGGGCAAATTCTTGGAGGAGAATTTAAGATTATGATGATGGGCCAAGAAATGCCAAAAATATATAAACGCTGAAGACTAAAACCTAGGAGAACAGAGCCAGCTTGAAGAGTTTCCTTACAAAATATGAGATAATAGTTTATGGGAGAGTGAGAAGTGTGAATGCACCATCATTACTGGCTCTCACCTTGAAACCAGTATTTAGTGTCTCAGATGGGCACTCAGATATGCTGTAATTGAGGCAAAGAACACAGTCCCATTACTGCTTCTTAGTCACCTTCCCTCCTGACAGAGGACAATACAAGGGAAGTCAAGCATGTCAGGTATGTACAGGGGAACACAGCAGCTCTGATGTGCATGGCAGCTTTTAGCCTTTCAATGAAAAAAGATGTTGTCATCCTGCCCCAATGTTTTGGTTAAAATGTCAACAATATGGCTTGCATATACAGAATTTCTACAAAGGCTTTGTATTCAGGGTGTTGCAAGTCACTTATTTTCTATGCAGTTTATTTTTATCATGTTGGTGATGATTCCCTGTTACTACATAGTATGCTATTTGTTGTTTTGACAGCACAGTTGGAGACAATCTACATCCTCTATACCTGTCCTGGTGACCATAGCAACAATATACAAAGACAACTGATTTCACACTGTCATGTTTTTGCATATGCACAGCAATATCACCCCTCACTGGCTGAAGCATTGCCCCTCAACAATTTACCCCCAAATTACACCAGGCACAGCCATGACGGGCTCTGGTTGCTCCGCTAGAAGATGGCGCCTGTTCTAGACAATGTTTCAATGGATTGATAATAGTGTCCCAGAAGCATCTCTTCTCCACAGAGAATTTGCAGCTGGTTTATTTTTGACGGAAGCCAGAATCCGGTTACGCCAAACAGCGCAGAGCAGATCAGATAGGCAGGAAGTCAGTAACAGAAACAGCATAGAGAATCCGGCCAATTTTCAAATACCGCGTGCAGACTCATAAAAAAAAAAAACTAATTTCACATTAGATCAACATTGTGGCACCAGGCCAGAAGTCAGTCGTCAGAAAGTAGGTTGGAGGAGATTTTAAGTGGAGAAACACACTGTATGCTTTTTAAGGACAAAATACACAAGTAAACAATGTATGCAACAACATGCTCAGAAGTCACTTCCTTGCTGAAACACTCTCAGTGGTATCACAGAGCCGTACGCACACACACACGTGCACACACCACAGGTACCTGGTGGAATTTTCGGGGAACATTTAATTCAAAAAAATGTTTTTTTAGATCTCACTGTCATACAGAAAAAAAAATTCAGTGGTCCATTGTGTAGGATTTAGTGGCATCTAGCAGTGTAGTTGCAGATTCACCCTCACCCTCCCCTTCCAAGCGTAAAGGACAAACTAGGCTGGTTGCAAAACACTATCTAGAGCCAATGTTCGTTCCTTCTGAGCTATTGTAGAAACATAGCAGTTCAACATGGAATCTAGATATAAATACAGATAGATGTTGCTCCTAAATGTTACACACTAGACCTTTAAATAATGCCATTTACTTCATGTATATTTCCATCTCAACCAATGATATTGGTACTGTATAAATGTAATGTCTGCATTTTGTCTCTTTGTTCCTTTAGAATAGGATACCAGCTTCCCATATTTGCTGGCTTTTGTATCATGTTCCTCTCTACAATCAGTAAGTTCCAGCCAATGTGTCTTCATTATCAGAACATCAGAATGCTTGCATCATGCCTGATACTTCTTTGTCTATATTTCTGCCGTTGTCACTGTTGTGAAGTGTTCGCCTTCTCATCGAGCTACGCTCTGCTGTTTCTGGCCAGATCGCTTCAAGGTGTGGGCTCCTCCTGCTCGTCTGTGGCTGGTAAGACCCAACTCTGCTTCGCTCTATTGTGATTTGATGCTCATATCCAGTCTGTCTATTTACTGTTCAGCTTATCTGAATACATTAACATAAATTCACAACAGACGTTTAATGAGTACTAGCTCTTATGTTACAGACTGATCCTGTTAATTCAAATTAGTGCTGCATTATGGGTTGTTTGTAGCCTAGATGTTGCCAGGCTAGACAAGAGATGTAGACCACAGTCCTGCCAATCAATGAGATGAGTGTAGCAAGTCATTTTATTCAAATATTTAAGTGGTGTTTTTGTCACACAGAACTTTAATGCTATGCACTGTTGGCAGTGTTGGGTCAGATGACTTGACAAAGAGATGATGACAAAGATGACAAATGCAGTCAGTTACTGAATACATGCAGCCACAAAAATATTCTTTTCTATATATCAAAACATTTTCAATGCAAATAAAATTCATTTGCACCAACTGTCTTCTGTGATTATATTTCCATTTTTCAGTGTTGAAAACCATTGTCATTGGTTGGCATTGTTGTTTGCCTTCTACAGGCAATCCCATGCTGCCTTGGGTTGAGTTTGTCAACCAATCAGAGGCTGTGTGGATGTGTGTGGCATCTCTGATCTCAAACACATTGTACAATGGAGTAACATGAGATTGACTCCAATCCCATTTTAGTTTAAAATTGCCATATTTTAAAGGTCCAGTGTGTAGGATTTAGTGGCATCTAGTGGTGTAGTTGAAGTTTGCAACACCCTTGATTCACCTTTCCCTTCCAAGCACAAAGGAAAAACTACAGTGGCTGCAAAAAGCTACTAGGTTACTGTAGAAACATGGCGGTTCAACATGGCAGTCAGATTATACACAAATGAAAATGTAATATTATATTTCATTTCTGACAATAGACCCTCTTAAATGTTACACACTGATGTGATCAAGCAATCCTTTACATCGTGACTATAATCTAATTATACATTTTTTCATTTGTAATCTGGGCTGGTTATAGAAATTTTTTATAGTTATTTTTTGTAATCTGACTGCATAATCCCAATTACATGTAATCAGATACTACCCAATGCTGTTTGTAAAATAACAGTGAAGCCCCAATCCTTACCTAATGCATAGCTAATGCAACACACAAGCCATGTTCGTATTGCATAATCTGTGTGTTTGCAGGGATGGGGATGCTTGCAAGTGTGTACACCGATGATGAGGAGAGAGGTCACGCCATCGGGATCGCCTTGGGAGGTCTGGCATTGGGAGTATTAGGTACGTATACATACATAGTCCTTGTTGAGCTATTACATAGTTATTAAGCTCTTTAACACTTTCTATGATACACAGGTCTAAATTGCCTCATAGACTTAGAAGGCTATATAGGTTATTTTTTGATGAAGAACCACTGGTTGAACATTTAAATTTCACTAATATAATGTGTTCCCCCAAAACATAGTTGTGATACATTTTGATTATTTTATGATGCAATTATTATAATGTATGTATGTGTCTATGATAATTATGAAACACCATGATCCTTCCCAGTGAATCAGTGAGTGGACCAGCAATTCACATCAGCATTAGGAATATTTATGAGTGCTTATAATAATTATACTTTGCTATAAGCACATTATAGCAGAGACATTATAATAGCATTATAGACATGGGCATCATAAAAAGTATTACTATTTTTGAAAGTAAATTCTACCACAGAAATCCCAGATAAATGTTTACCAAGCTTAATCTGAAAAAACATAACAGCCTTTACGTATTGTCTAAAGCTTGGTAGGCAAGATTATTAACTAAACGCATCTGTTTACAGAAAAGAACAGAAAAAGATGTCCAGTCCTCTGTGAATTAAATAACTTCTGCCTATTTGCATAAATACCTAATCAATACTAATAAGCTGCAAACACTGTAAAAAATAAGTCAAAATGTTGGCTTAATGGAGCCAATTGATGACCTAGATTTTTACCCCATCATTATTAGACAAATGAAAACACATATTGCATGGTTTTAGAATATATTCTCATTGAAGTTTTTCAAAACTAACCTGATACATATGTTGCAACATGAGCTGTCTTGTAGGCGTAAAAGCTGCAGTAACTGAAATGATCATGAAACTGATCTCTCCACAACTGACTGTCCAATATGTCCTCCACAGTTGGACCCCCATTTGGCAGTGTGATGTATGATTTTGTTGGGAAGACAGCTCCTTTCCTCATTCTGGCTTTCCTGGCTGTGTTTGACGGAGGTACAGTTGCATTGTTTCTTACACTAAGAATAGTTACTGTAGATCGAATGGTGAGAATAATGTGAAAGGTGAACATTGTTGAATATAAAAAGGCAGAGCAAAGATGATCCACTGTGTCTTCACAGCTCTACAGCTCTTTGTTCTTCAGCCCACCAAGGTGGAACCAGAGGTAAGTTTATGGCTTTTCTTTTATTAATTGGATACTGGATACAGGAAGGGTGGAGAGAAATAGATCATTTCAATTAAATTTTATTTGTATAGCACCAATTCATAATAGAAGTTATCTCAGGACACTTTTCAAATAGAGCAGGTCTAGACTGTACTCCTTATAAAATTATGAGCAATCATGAGCAAGCACTTGGCGACAGTGGCGAGGAAAAACTACCTTTTAAGAGGCAGAAACCTCGGACAGACCCCTGCCTCAACCAGTTGGGGTGAGAGAGAGAGAGAGAGAGAGAGAGAGAGAGAGAGAGAGAGAGAGAGAGCAGAGGTAACGACAGAGACAAAGGTGCACAGCAACAACAGTAGCAACAACTACTCTAATAGTAGTGACTGATGGTGATGATGATGATGATGAACATGAAGAAGATGATGACGACGACGATAACAACGATGGGAGACGATGAGCAGTGATTATAGTAATATAGTAATGTTAGTAATAATAATAATAATAATAATAATAATAATAATAATAACAACAACAAGGACAACAGGACCATGGCAGGAGGCTCCACCAGGATCCATGAGAACCTGTGAGACGAGAAAGCACAAGAACTCTGGGGAAGAAGTGAAGTTAGTAACATGCATTAATGGGACATGAATGAGTGGCGAAAGAGAGAGAGAGGAAGAGAGGAGCTCAGCGGGCGGCTGTGGCTCAGAGGGAGAGCGGGTCGTTCCTTAATCGGAAGGTTGTGGGTTCGATCCCCGGCTCCTGGTGCCACATGTCAAAGTATCCTTGAGCAAGATACTGGACCCCAAATTGCTCCCGATGTCGTGCATTGGTGTGTGAATGTGTATGAATGTTAGTTTCTGTTCGATGGACTTTGCCATCACTGAGTGAATGTGTGTGAAAGGGTGAATGTGGCACGTAGTGTAAAAGCGCTTTGAGTGGCTGGAAGACTAGAAAGGCACTGTACAGGTCCATTTACCATTTACCAGTGCATCATGGGAAATCCCCCGATAGTCTAGGCCTATAGCAGCATAACTAAGGGATGGTTCAGGACTCACCTGATCCAGCCCTAACTATAAGCTTTATCAAAGAGGAATGTCTTAAGCCTACTCTTAAATGTGGAGAGGGTGTCTGCCTTCTGCTGCAGTGTCCTGAATTAATTGGAGCATCTTAATGGACTTATTAAGGCAGCCTGATAATAAGCCTGATAATAAGATGAATGGCATGCAGCAAAACATCCATGGTTTTTGGGACATGGCATACACCCAAGCAAACAAGGACACTGAGGGACCATTTAACCAACCTTCATATCAGCTATTTATTTTAAGCAGAATTTAAAATTACTGACATAAAACTGTGTAAGCAAACAAAACCTCAATTAGAGCAACAAAAGAAACTTTAATTCATTAAAATAATGCTTCGTCAGACCATCGACTGGCTCTTTCCTTTGATTTGTGGAGCAGATGGGTATCAGGAAGGAGCTACCAAGAGCCCTGAGGCAACAGCCAATTAGAGGGCTTTTTGAAAGTGTAAGGAAATGAGTATTAATAGGTGGAAATAGAGTTCATTAGTTGTGATACAGGCTGATGTAAAAACAGATTTAAATGCAGGAAAAGTGAAAATACATGCATACAATATAGGGAAGCTAAAAGAATCTCCTGGTTGCATAATTTAATAGACAAACACATAACAATCCAAATGTATAAACAAATATTTATTTATATTAGAAACATGATAATACAACAACCTGCATTTTAGCCGTCATTGTCAAGTGTCTAATGATTAATGGGAAGATTTTGACATTTTTCCTGTTACTTACTTGGTGATTTATTAGGGACCGAGCCAACGACCGCTAGAGGTCCCTATTGTTTTTGCTCGATTTCTTGTCTATTATTATTATTTTTAGGCTACTTCGACTGCATTTTTGCCCCCCTGAACATATACGAAAACTCAATTTTATTTGGCAAAGTGGTCAGGCCTGGTGAAAAATTGTATATTCTATGTGTCACGTTCAGGTCGGCCACTAGGTGGCGCTATTATCATAAAAAGTGCGTTTAGGCTAATAACTTCTGCATAGTTTGTCGCACATTCAAAAACCTTGTATCCACGCGTTCGGTTAATGGAGCTGAATCTCCCCATATAGGCCCTGCCCACTTCCGCCTATAATCTTTTTTCGTTAGAGCGCGAAATGTCCTTAAACTACTTTTTGTGGTCCTCCTACACACTTTGTCCGATTCGTACAAATTTTTTCACCTAGCACCTGGGGACCGCCCTGGCAAAAAAAGTAATTCGAACATTTTTGAAATAAAAAAAAATAAGCACGCTATAAAATTAAAACTTCCTGTACATTTTTCGTCAAGAAAGGAAATTGACCATTTCTCAACATTGGTATGTCCGATTGACACCAACCTTGGGTCAATAGTTCCTCATGTCTTCCTTAGGCACCGTACTCAATTTCAGGCCATCACCACTAGGTGGCGCTCTTTAAAATGAAGAAGTTTATATCTCTGCAATGGCAGGTGTGATTAAAATGAAACTTGGTAGGATGCTTGCCCATGGCTCCCTGAGGTTCACCCAAAAAGGAAAAAAAATCATGCCAGTGGGTGGCGCTCTGGTGGCAGGGTAAATCACTGTGCGGAGACCGTAATAGTTATGAGTATGAAATTCACAAGGTACGTGTAGAGTGGTGCCTAAAGCTCACATACCAAAAATCGTGTTAGTCGTGTTTGTAGCGCCCCCTACAGGATAAAAAAACAGCAGCCCTGGCGCCACGTTTCACCGATATGTACGAAACTCGCCGGGACTTACAAAAAAGCCTCTTGGACCCATTCCCCAAATCCCACAGGAAGTCGGCCATTTTGGTTTTTCATTTTCACTTTTGGCGAACTTTTCGCGTTGTATTTGAACGAACTCCTCCTAGGGAATTTATCGGATCTACTTCAAAATTGGTCAATACAGTCAAAAAAAATAGTACTCATAACTTCAGTGTGCAATGTCCAATCTCCAATAAACTTCATATATTCTGTAACAGTCTCGCCCTGAACACGTCCTCATAACTTCAGCGTACGTGGTCCAATCTCAATGAAACTTCACGTGTGTTAAAACCCACCCTGAACTTGTCTACATGGCAATATTAAGACATAGTGATAGCGCTACCTACTGGCAACAGGAAGTAAGCACTGCTTGGCAATTTTGAGCTGATTTACGTGAAATTTCATGTTGTGGTCCGCACGTGTAACGATGGCACGTGACGCGGCCGCAGCACGCCCCAAGTTGCGTGGAGTGCGAGGTCCCGCCGAACGCTGCTTGCAGCTTAAATTATTTTATTTTTTTTTATGTGAGAATGACACGTACATGTCCAGACCATCGACATATATAAAGATGGATGACATGACAGCTCTCCAAAAGTCATAAAGTCCGTTGCCTCCATGTTAGTGGATGGAAAAAGGACCAAAACACAAAGATAGTTTCTTTAGTTTTAGGTATTTTTTATTACACCAATATATGTTCAAGTATTCATTTTTCTCAAGTTTGGTTTTAATTAGTTATTTGAAACTATAAAAAGGGAGTTTCTGGTCATGATTGATAGCTGAGCACTGCTCGCAATTGCTCTTTGATACTGTGTCGCAAAACCGATGCCATCTTTCACCACTCTGGCTCAGAGTCATATCAGGAATATTTTGGCCTCATTTTTGTACACCGGGAGAGTGGAGATGCGATGTCCATCTTTTATTTGTGGATGGTAATGTCTGTAATTGTGATGGTTGGGGCAGGTAAATGTATGGGGCCATTAGGCTTAAAGAGAGTGAAAAGCACTTGACAGAGGCTTCAGTGAAATCATTAAACATTAATGAATTACTTCTTTAGAAAAGAGTAGAGAAAGAATGATCTGTTGTTTCTTTTCAGGATGACACATTATCTAATAAATGAGCGGAGATAACAACCAAACACAACTGCTAATGGGACCAAAGCCAACGTGTCATTAGCAAATTCTTTCACCTTCTAAATATCCTTCATCTCCGGCAAGGGCCCGCTTAAACATTTTAATAAGGTTCCTCAGAGACTTGCAGAAAGACACAATAGTCCCTTTCAATTAGCTGCATTAGGCTTACATCTTATGTCTTATTCTGCTTTCATTTAGCAGGAAATCCAATTCTCCAATTTCATATGTGTACGTTTTCATTTTCATTTCCTCCAAATAACAGTCCAATTATTCAAGGGAGACAAAACTGACTGAAATTTCACTTTCTTCTAACAATGGATATATTGTTTTAATAATTTATTTATAGTTTTTTGTAAACACTGTAAGTCAGTTTCCATACATTAAACAGGCTGTCTTCTGTAACATCGCGTAGCTCCCTCCTGGAAAGATTATTTTTCTCACAGGACAGTTTGTGTATCCGGCGGTATAATTACAATAAATATTGTTACAACTGCTATCCATTATTTAATGCAGTCAGTGACACCCAAATCCTAGATAGGTTCTCAAACGTTAAACTTCACTGGGTGGAGGGAGTTATCTTAATGATAATGTTGGCAGTGTGATAAAACATACAAGAGCATACAAGAGCTATTCCACAACCAGATTCCTCTGAGAACCCTAACCCTAAGTGTTGGTTTTTATTGTTGTGCCTTTGTCCTTCACAGAGTCAGAAAGGGACACCGCTGTTGACACTAATGAAGGATCCATACATTCTAATCGCAGCTGGTAAGAAAATAATAGCAGCACAGCACATGTGAAAAAAACTCACTCAGCCCACTCTGGAGAAGCATCTGTGTGATATTGCCTTTTCTAAAGGTGCTGCCAAAAGAGCAGGGAGTGAAACTGACTCACATCTTGTTTTTTTTGGACAAACACAAAGCCAACAATTGATTTGTTGGTTCCGGAGCAGGAATATGGCTTGAAATTGTGTTGTGAAGTCAGTGCTGCATGTTAAAGAGGGTTATCTATCCATCATTGTTTATGTGTACAATATGTTTGTATGTATTGTGTGTATATAAATCAGTACAGCTATTTTGTCACACACATAAGTCACTGCAGTAACAATCATCCAATTTCTGCCTCTTAACAGGCTAAGCCTGCGATGGGATCTCATCCCAATTTAATGTGTCTATAATACTTCCAGTTAGACATCCAATGGGCACCCTAATTAGATGCCTGAACCACCTCAACTGCCTGAAACTTTGCAGAGTGGTTACACATGTCAAATCGTTTGTAGAAAATATGTTTGTGTGTTTGCAGAGGTTGTGGGTCTTTATGAAAGATTTATTTTGTGTTCATGTTCCTAGACTCCTGCTCCAGGCTGTACTTATGTTTGAGTTTGGCCTTGATAATATCATTCAGCAACAGGAACGCCTTGAAAAATGTCCTAGTCAGTGAGCCCTGTAGTTGTGTAATGGAACGAGCATTTTTGGCTTAGTGCATTTCAGCACCCTTGACTAGCTCTGCTTTGGTGGTACTGCTAGGTGAGATGTAAATGAAGTCAATCACCACAGTGGGAAATTCCACCAGTGTACAGAAGTGGCATAATGATGGTTAAGTATATCCACATCTCGTGTACGGACCTTGCTATGGGGGTTTTGATGTTATTTCACCATTACACCTGCAGGGTTTTGATGTTATTACACCACCTTTTGCAGACCTCACCACCCCTCTCTTTGCTCAAGTGGCTGGATCCGTCAAGACTGATCTCAGAATCTGGGATGACCTCATTGAGCCAGGTTTTAACCAATCTGCCAGGCACTTGGCATGAAGCAAATCCATTTTATTCCAAAGGGAACTTACATGATGGTAGGGAAGAGAGAGTCTCAACTGCTAACTCGTCTTGGATCTCTAATGGAAGGATAGGATAGGCTGGCTTCATGTTGCACAATGAGTTTAATAATCCTAGCAAGTCAGACTAAATCTACCTATTATCACAAAGCAATGCTAGATTTACCGACAGATGATCTCATCCTTACTGCTCTGCATTTGAACAGAACTTTACTTTGCAGCGGAGAAAGGAGTTTCAAGAAATACCACCATTCTTGAGGTTAAATGTATGTGCCGTCACCTTATTTCACATTGATGACACTTCTCCTAATTCACACCAAACATAGTGTTTTCATAAGTGAGCAAGATTACCAACTTTAAAATTTCCTTGCAGATGCTTACATCCATAACTTGCAACAAATATGATATTATTATATTGAAAGAAGACAGTGAATGAAGAGAGGGAGCAGTGATAGCAAGAGCAAAGCAGCGAATCAGAGAAATACAATTTTATTTTCAGATTTTTCTGCAGCAGTTAGGTTCTAAAGCACAAATAAACACAGCCACACCTCCGCACAACCAGGAGGAAGCCACATTGACGGATTGCTATGAATGCAGCTGCTTCATTCCATGTCCTTTGTGTGTGTGTCTGTATGTAGCTCAGCCCTACCCTCGAACACACACACACACACAAACACCTGCGCTCTATATCTCCATGACACTACTAGTGAAGAAGGACAATGTAACCTGCTTGCTTGCGCTACATTTGAATGTTGATTTAGAATTTGTATGTCAATGTTATGAACAAAGCCCCAAACTCTCTTTAGAGATCCTCACAAGTAAAGTAATACAAATGTATGTGGCAGGGATATTGTATCTGTGTGAGTAAGCCTTCCCCACCACATCAATTACTGTGGCAACACAGTAACAAAGAGAGCAGGCTGTGTTTGTATGTGTGTTTATGCGCAGGCAGTTTGGGGTTGGAAGAGTAACAAATGAGGACCAAGGACCAAGAACAAAAACAGACCATAATTGACACTGCATCCACTTATCCTCAATCTTCCTTACCAGGTGCCATTTGTTTTGGAAATATGGCCATTGCCATGTTGGAGCCAACGCTGCCAATCTGGATGATGGAGACCATGTGTGCCAGGAAATGGCAGCTAGGTATTAACAAAGCCCTGCTCAGCACCTATAACATGTACTCACACAGAAATGATACATTATGCATGTGGTACATATCCCTACGGCACATAAATAATAAATGTGCTTTCTGTGACTAATTCTGCATTCCCAATTATGAGTTTCCAACATATAAATGGTGTTCCATGTAGAAAATGTCTACTTTCAACAAAGCAAATTTCTCTGATTAATGATAAAATCTATGAATGGATCAAACTAAGGCAATTTGCTTTCTAAACAAAAATACAGATAAAGCAGGAATTTTGTCTGTTACTAGCATACTAAATTGTTTTTGTCTCATTTACATATTATACATACATTTATTACTTAGTGACTTGACATAGTGCAAAGTGTCACTCTTTCATCCTGCTGGATATTTTCTATACAGAGGCTTCCTGAAGTCTTTGATGTCATGAGTTTGCTCCTTCAGTCCACTGTATATGAAGTCTTGGTCAGATAAAAAGAATGAGAGGGGAACAGGATATTATGGTGTCATATGCTGGCAGGTGGAAAGCACAAGTCTTCATTACAGACAATAGAAGATGTACAGCAGCTCAGTGATGATGCACTGATAGAGATCTGCTTATCTTGGAAAGCCTGCCCACACCTTCAGTTTCTCATCTCTCTGTGTGTTTCTGTCTGTGGCCCAGGCGTCGCTTTCTTACCAGCATCCATCTCCTACCTTATTGGAACCAACATCTTCGGCACGTTGGCGCACAAGATGGGGAGGTAGGGAGGGAAATTATCCTTATCTTCTGGCTCTCTCTCCCACTGTGGCTGTGATATCTGTTTCCGCTCCTCTAAATGAGTTTTCAGTGTTTTTAGTGTTTGTGAGGCTGGCTTTATTGAATCCTTGATGATACAGGGCAGCCATAATTTCTGTGTGCACGTCTTCTCTTGGAATGGTTTCAGGGTTTGTACAATCACAATGTTCTTTTGTTCTTGAGTACTGCCATAAACCTTTTTAGTATCATAAACCAATCCTCTTTAATGTACAATCGGGGCTTTCAATTTCACAATATAACCTTTTCAAAGTACTAGTATACTATTTCCTCTAATGCTGTTGACACTGCCAGTAGCATTTCACAGAACACGGAGGTATTACATAAATATATATGTAATATATATATATATGTTTATTAATCATACATATACATACAAGGATTTTTATGTTGAATTTTTTTTGAAAAACATATCTACGCTATTTTATATCTTAATACATACAGGGGATTTTTAAGGAGTAATGAGTAACAATGAGACCTCCAAAGGAAGGAAGGAAAACAGTTTTTTGGCTCATTAGGAAGATCATAATGGAATATTTCTTATTCATACATTTATTTAAAGAAAGAAAAAATCAAGATTACATTGGTTGAAGCACCTCTTCAGAATGGGTATAACCGTTGTCATACTCTAGTAAGATAACAGCTTTACTTACCACCAACTTTGTTTCACAATCACACAACAGCAACATTCACAAAACTAATGAACTTGTGAGATTTTTTTTCTAATGATCCATGACACATGTAGAACTTAGAGGACCAGAGTGAAGGATTCAGTGAGGTGAACTTATAGGTAATTTGAATACAGCTCAGTCTTCCAAGCGTTTAGGAAAAACGGTGGCCACAAAAATAGAACCAGTGTTTGGTTTGTCGCTTCTGGGCTACTGTAGAAACATGGCGGTTCAACATAGTGGGCTTCATTGAAGAGGATTGTAACAAAAACACAATTCCTATTTTCAGGTGATTAAAGACCAATGAAAACATACCTATCAATATTATATTCCATTTCTGACAAAAGCTCCTTCTCAATGTTACACACTGGACCTTTAATGCAGTTCTAATTGGTGGTTCTTACATAAGCATTCCTTAAAGTAGTATCAAGTAGAATTTTGAGATAAGACAGGGCAATGTTTGGAATGGTGAGGGGAATCGTAACATGATTTCCTGTCATGATGGTGATTCCTGCTAGTACCATAAACCCCTGTTTCCTTTTTCATCAATATATGACCCCACCTCCACATTACACTCTTGAAACTTGATAGGTTTACTTGTTATGGACTGCCAATAAAAGTGCTGACCGTAATAAAACAATTTCTAAACTGTTCATTCACAGCTATTCAACAATGTGTGGTGATTTTACATAACTCTGTTTACCTAAAAAAATATATGAACATAATGAGTTATTATGTTAAGGTATTATAACATCCAGGCTATGTAGATAAATACTGTACATGTTATAGGCATGTAAAAAAAAACCTCACATCCTCCTTTAACTTTCTGCAGAGATTAATGTAGCTGATTGGAGTAAAAGTGTTTTGGATTAGATAACACCGACCACGTCTTCTCTTCCTTACAGATGGCTTTGTGCTCTCATTGGAATAATGGTGGTTGGAATCAGTATAATATGTGTAAGTATAAGGGAGACACCATTAGTGTGAATACCTCTTTTGGATATTTGAGGTGTCAATAAGAGTTTAAAATGGAGCAGAAATGTTGCAGTTTGAAATTAGTTAAAGTCTTAATGTGTGATTTGTTGGAAACATTTCCCATTCCTCATTCCTATACATATATTAAAATTGAACAGATAAATGCATTTTCTGGTATTTGTATTTCTGTTCTAGGTTCCATTTGCTACAGACATCTATGGTCTGATTCTTCCAAACTTTGGTGTTGGTTTTGCTATTGGTAAGTATTCTTTCAAAATCTTTTCATCAGGCTTTTCTACAAATGTTTCCAGGGCTGGACAGACATATTCCATATTCTTCAATAATATATACCAATGTAGTAAAACTAAAATAACAACAATCACGATGACATAATAAAATAAAATGCCCAACGATGGCGAAGACATGATATAGTTGTCTCTTTATGAGTGGATGGAGTAAGGACTAAGGAAGACTTTACTCAAAATGCATCTTTATGAAGATATCTGACCTGTCTGTGGTCCAGCATTGATTGCAAAATTGGCACCTCTTCTGTGGCTGATGTTATTTTCATAATGATCCTTACTGCCAGAAGTCAAGCAGCAGAAGTTAAATGACAATGTACAAATACTACTGACCCATTTTTGGGTACACTAAATATGCAGAACTAGTCTTACATGTCACCGTATAACCCAGGCATTTAAACTTTGCTGGATGGGCTGCTTCAAAAAAACAATAAAAAACTGGGGCAAAAAATCATAGTCAGTATACTCACTTCTTCAGGCACCACTAAATCAACTTCAGGCAACTGTTACTGTGCAAACAAATATGCTTAATATCTTCATTGTTTGTGGTGTTTTACAGGCATGGTGGACTCCTCTATGATGCCTATAATGGGTTACCTTGTGGACCTGCGGCACGTGTCTGTTTATGGAAGTGTGTATGCCATTGCTGATGTGGCTTTCTGCATGGGGTTTGCTTTAGGTAAGTAGGAACCAGAAACACCAAAGCTTAACCAGGTTATGATAGCTGGTCGAGGCAGACGACCACCCACCTAGAGCCGAAGGATCTGTCCTAGGTTTCTGCCTTTTAACAGGCAGTTTTTCCTTGCCCCCTTCGCCAAGGTCTTGCTCATGGTGGTACTGTTGGGTCTCTGTAAATGTTATAAAGAGTTCGGTCTAGACCTGCTCTATTTGAAAAGTGTCTTGAGCTAACTTCTGTTATGAATTGGCGCTATACAAATAAAATTAAATTGAATTGAATTGAATTGAATTGAATTGAATAGCTCTAAAGTGAAGGCTTTCAGTGATCATTTAAATACCTACAAACATAATTAATTATAATTGATTCATTTAGACTACTACTATTATATACAATAATAAAATCAGCTTTTTATTTATATAGATATAGCTAATTTTATTCAATTTAAACGCATTTAATGAAAATATTTGGAATGGGGAGGGAAAAGGTATTAGCAGATTACCTTATTATTACCCTGCTATCATCCTGTTTTTTAAGAAAATATTACCACATTGTACCCCAGCACTACTATCTAATTTTACAAAGACCACAGCAATGAGGATATGGACTTAGAATGGATTAAAGGTGAACCGAAATAATATACTGTAGGAGGGATGATAGGATGGGCAGAGGGTTGAGGGATGAAGGGATGAACGGATGAGGGTCGAAGGATGGAGGATGAGGGATGTAGGGTAAGGGTTGGGGGTCGGGGGTGAAGAGGTATGGGGAGGAAGAGTGAGGGATGAAGGGATGGGGGAGAAATCAGGGTCATGGACAGATGGGTGGATCAGTGGGGGGGCTGTCTCTTCTTTGCAAACTATATGATGGTCCAACACTGGTTAGCAGTGAGATAACATAATGGCCTTAAGGTGTTTTTGTTAATACCCTGTTGCAGATATTAAATCTCAATATTCTGATTTAGATTCCCATGGTTACCAAACAAATTACTTGGTTACTACTTGTATTAACCCTAATGTTACCTTGTTGTTACCAATATATGATCTTGTCAGTACGGAGCTGACCTCAGCCAAACGAATCAAACTAAAGCACTATTTGATCTGTTCTCTCCTGATCCAGGTCCATCTATCGGAGGATCCATCGCTGAGAGCATTGGCTTTCCCTGGCTGATGACCATAATTGGAATAGTAGATATTTTCTTTGCTCCTCTTTGCCTCTTCCTCAGGAATCCTCCAGGACAAGAAGAGAAAATTGTAAGATTCAAAACACACCTAAATACAGTCAACCAAATCCTAAAGAAACACAGACATATAGAAGCCCTGGAAGGCGAGGTCAACAAACACAAGTTTAAAAGGTTTCTTGCTTAGTTGGCTGGGATTGATAATAATTTGTGCAACTCACAGCACAATTTTTTCTTGCATTACCCTTAATTAAATCTGTTTTGTTGACATTGTTCTGAAATGTGGTTCCATAAAAACTAAAAGAGATGCTAAAAAATCCCACAGTCATAAAGTATGGCAATGGCAGAAAAAAAAGCTGATGTTTCTATCTGTATCTTGCCTAAATACCCCTATAACACGTGCAAATTGCCTGTAATAAAGGAGTTGCCAAGTTGACATTTTCTTTCAGGGCTTCACACACATGCTGTCATGTTTTACAGACTTTAGCAACTGGAGATAAACTATGAATTTCCTTATTATCACTGGACATGCAAATCTCTACCTGCATGCTTGTGGCTGAACCTCATCCTGCAGCTCCACCTGCATGATCTGATATCCATTCTCATCTGCCATCAGTTTCACATGCTTTGAATTACATTGGCAATAATAAAACCAAAAGTTTCACGAGACATAGCAACAAGTATTAAACTACAATTTGCGGAAGAGAATGACACCTCAAATGACAGCTCACACGTGTTTTTTTTTAAATGTTGGTGAATACCTCCAGCTGAAAATTTGACCAAAATTCAGGAAAAAAGGGTTAAACACTGCTGCTTAATTTGTGCCCTTCAGGCATGGGGCCACTTGCATAGTGTCCCTTATTTCTTCACATTGAAGGTGGCAACTCAAACTGACACAATTGTCTTTTCAGGCCATTTTGATGGATACCAACTGCTCAATGAAGACAAGATCCTACTCCACACAGGGGACTTACTACCAGGGTGAAAACATGGATCCAGAGTATGACGACTATGATTAACAGGACTCCAGCCATGCAAGTTAACCGTTCAGAGGATCTATTTTGTTGTATAAAAACAGGAACACAGAAGAAAAAAAACAACAAAGAAACAAAACAGCCAAGTTATTTCCATGTGAATGTCCCACATTCAGTCTTAACTCTTCACTGTCCTCGTAGCGGTTGTACTGGAGCAAACCAAAGTTGTTCTTCATATGTGGTTGCAAGCGCATCGTTTAAGAGATATTTTTTTAGCCAACAGCCTTATTCAGTAGAGAGATGTGTCAAAAAGCACCTTTTAGGCAGTAGGAGGGTGCTAAGCAACAAGTACGCTTTGCTAGTTAATTTGAAATACAAATCGTAATTCATGTGTCAGCCATTAAAAGTATAATTTTTATATGTCTGTACATCATACTGTCCAGAGTATTATTACCAGACCTTGGTGTGCAAGTTGGTATTGTTAATTGTGAGGTATGTAAAGACACTGTTGTTTGTTTAAAATCCAGGACGATTTGTTGGCCCAGTCTTGTTTGCATTGATACAGTTACAAAAGTCCATACTTAGGACTGAACTGTGTCGGGAAGTCAACACATTGGAACTGCTTAAGAAAAGGATGAGGAATGTATTCTAAAACACAACATATCCTCCTAATATGAACAGAACCTACATGTTTTGGAATTTGGCAACAGCAGAGAAAAAAATAATTTAAAGCTGCTGTTCATACATTTTTTTATTTAATAAATCATTAATGCTGTAAGTTCTCAAATAGTGGCCTTTATGTACATCAGTGACAGGGAGAACCAGGCCTACAACAGGCTTATAGTAGAGACATGCTTTATTCCTATATAATTTCCTCTATCGTGCCAGTTAAAGCATTTTCAAAACATCCTTTAACTACCTAACTGCCATATTTCCACAGCACTAATTCCATCTGTACAACAACATAGTTGTGTCATACTCAACACACTGCTGCCCTGAGTCTTTCTTTTCTTTCTCTAAACTGAAATACAGTTTATATTGTGATGTCTTGAGAGATTGGGGGCTTCACTCTTGGAGCTTTTGAGGCGGGGCTGCAGGAAATTAGGACATCAAAAGTGTCGGTGTATACCCTCTTCTCATTTCTTTTTCATTTTTATTTTACATTTATTTACCCAGATAAGACGAACAAATTCTCGTTTAGAATGATGACCTGGCCAACGGACAGCGACAGTCCCAGGTCAGCTTCCTTCTTGCAAACAAAAACAGATATTTAAATCAAATTTCTAGTTTGCTGTCTTATTGGTAATAACTGTGACTGTTTACATGCACAAACTATATTTTGCCCTTATTCTGAAAAAGGCAATATTTCTACTAAGCTGTTTAAATGTCTAATAAAAATGAATATTCCACTAATATTACCGTTTACATGCAGCTGTGCATACTCCTGTTAAGGACATACAAATTACCTTCCTCTTCCTTCTCTCTCCTTTTTACACTGCAGTCAAATTAAGAGGAATAGCTGGAGCTGCGGCAGCCATTTTGCCTCTTTGCATCAAGAAAGGATTTCTTTAAATAATTAGCAATTTCCAAACAGAAAATGCTGTTTACATCACCCTTATCAAATGTGGAATACCGTCATATTAGTGGAAAATGAGTGTGCATGTAAACATATTGAGTGTCTCTTCTAGCTCATCCACTATAGCCAATCAACTATGATTCAGCTGGGCAGCAACCATTGTCCTAACTGCCCTGCTGACTATAAGATAAGATGTCGCTTAGAATGTGGCACAGCAGCACAGGGGAATGTAGTGCAAAAGAGTAGAGAGAGAATAAAAATATAAATATAAAAAATATATATCGTAGAAATATAAAATATGGGTTTTGTAGTCTTTTAATGGACACCACGATGGGTAGTCCTTGTTGCAGCCACCGGGAGGGACACTACCCCTCATGACATTATAATATTCACGTACTGATTCCAGTCACTTCCACTTTGACGTTTAATCAATTGATATAAAGCTAGAAAACGAAACTCAAAACTTCAAGCAAAGTTTTAACATTAAAAGTCTTCCCTTTATTTTTGGCTTTTAATGTGTGGAGGAGTTTCACTGGCAATGAATGAATTTGTGTCAAAGTTCACAAACATTGTACTTGAAGCAAAATATATACACACAGATTTCAGATTTAAAGGATCCAATGATTGCAGTGGTTCAATTGAATTCAGTTGATTTTGCAGTTTTAAATGCTGATCTGACTGCTGCATTGCTATCTGTGGATTCAAACGCTTGGCTACACCTTAACCAGGTGGTTAATGCAGGTTCTGCTTCAAGCGGAACACACTTAGAATTAGTGATTTAGTATCAAATCTATTGAATGTTTTGAGTATCAAGACCTGACTGTAGACTTTTAGTTTATAGCTTTAACTTAACTAACTTAACTAACCTAACTAACTTCATATATAGCTAACTGTCATCGGCTTGAAGTCACAGCAGTTGGATGAATGGATGGTTTTCCAATTGCGACGCAGAAAAAAATGCATAAAAACATCCCTAGAAACTGCAGTATAATCCATTTTCCTCAGCGTAGCTCAATACAGAAAAAAGCCCAGGTGTTATTTATAATGTTAATAAAAACTGCATTACATTTAGCTTATCCAGTTCCAGCGTGGATATCTGGTTGCATGCTCCTTCACTGCAGTGGCTAACTTGGACACCTGGAACATAGGGTAGAAACGCATAGAAAGTGAGCCAGAAAGGTAGCTGGGTTTAACAATCGCAATGTAACTGCGGGCCTGTTGTATTGTCTGTAATTTGTTGGTGTAAAGTTACTGATGATTAAAAAATAAATGGCACAAAAAAGAAATCAGGATACCCAGCAATGATAGATGTCAGTGTGCAGGGTAAACTTTAAATATATTAACTGTGACCTGTGACATGGGTCATATTTTTATTGTAAATCAGTTTAATTTACAGCTCATTATTTACAACATTGATCAGAAACAGCTTCTGTACTGATTTGTATCATGAGCCAAAATAGCAACAGCAGTGGAAGCGGCAGTAAACTGCATTTTGATTGACAGCTCGATGGATCTACTCACCGACAGCTGAGTGGGGGAGGTGTCGCCATTTCTTGGTGGGCCTGCCACTTTCTGTGTGTCTGTGCCCTGAGCCATCATTATCTTATTACTTACACCTGTGTTTCCTTCGCTTTGTCAAAATGTGGGCTGTGGAAAGGGTCTGTTGTCACATGTGACAAGTGGTTTGTGCTGTACTGTTGATGGAGTGTTCCTTTGTCAGTGTGTCCATAAACATTAGATTTCACCAATCTGCATTAAAGGAATAGTTGGACATTTTGCTAATTAAACCAAGCTAACCGCCTGCTGGTTCCATGTTTACATGATAATGGTATCAATCTTGTCGTCACATCTGGCAAGATCACTTATAAACACATTTCGAAAAATGTCCAACTTTTTCTTTAGGTTTCCCCTTAGCGGATATTCTGTGTATGTTTAATATTTGACATTTATAAAACCTTGCAAAAATATAAAAGCATAAAATATAAAAAGTATTCATTGTTTCCATCATAGTTGTGTTCTTGGTGTAGTGGAGAGCCTCTAAATTAGGGGTCTCAATCTCAAATTTGCTTGGGGCCACTGCTGGTATTGTCATCTCATGAGAGGGCCAGTGCAATGTACTACAATAAAGCAAAATATTCTGAAAATATTTCCATTGCTAACATAATATTTACCAAAAATACAAGTTAAATTAAGGTCTAAAACTAGATCTCTACTTTGCATGCATTTCTGGGTACCATTGACCTTTGCTATTAATTTGCACCAAACTAAATACCATTTGTAAAACAGAGTTATGTTTTAATTTTTTTTCAGTTGTATATGAAGGGATAGTTTAAATTCGTATGAAACAACTAGAAAAAATAATAAAAAATAAAAATCTTATCTTAAATATTCTGTTTTTGCTCCAAGTCTTTTTATTGATATATATATATATATTCATAGAGAGATAGTGTACAAAGTACATAAATTCAGAAGCATAGGTGAAATAATACAAGTATAAACATCATACCCCCCCGCCCCCTCGCTCCAACAGAGGCGGAAGAATACTGGAAGGCCATATGGGAAAAAGAGGCATCACCCAACCCAGATGCCCAATGGCTCGTGGACCTAAGAGCAGACCACAACAACCTCCCAGAACAAGAACTAGTAACCATCTCAATGGCAGACATCCAAGAAACAGTGTCAAAGATGAAGAGCTGGACAGCACCAGGCCCTGATATGATCCATGCCTACTGGCTGAAGAAGCTAACAGCACTCCATGAACGCCTGGCAGCGCAGACAGACCAACCTGTGTACCGCCTGGATCGACTACAAGAAAGCTTACGACTCAATGCCCCACACGTGGATACTGGAATGTCTGGAACTGTATAAGATCAACAGGAACCTAAAGGCCTTCATCCAGAACTCGATGGGAATGTGGAAGACAACCCTAGAGGCCGACTCAAAGCCAATTGCCCAAGTCAACATCAAATCAAGAAATCGACTCACTGATCATATGGATTGGACAAGTGTGGCCGGATGGTCTCAAAGAGAGGCAAATGATCAGAACTGAAGGGGTTGACCTACCAGAGGGCAACATAGGCGATATTCAAGACAGCTACAAGTACCTTGGTATCCCACAGGCTAATGGAAACCATGAGGAAGCCTCAAGGAAGTCAACCACAACCAAATACCTCCAGAGAGTAAGGGTCCTGAAAAGGCAGGAACAAGATCCAAGCCATCAACATGTACGCACTACCAGTCATCAGATAATCATCATAAGCTGGCCAAAGGAGGAGATAGAAGCTACAGATATCAAGACAAGAAAGCTCCTCACCATGCACGGAGGGTTTCACCCCAAATCCAGCACCCTGAGACTGTACGCTAAGCGGAAAGAGGGAGGCCGAGGACTAGTGAGCATCAAGGTCACTATCCAGGATGAAACATCAAAAATCCAAGAGTTCATCAGAAAAATGGCCACAAAGGATGAACTGCTAAGTGAATGTCTCAGGCAACAGACACCCGAGAGTGCAGAGGAAGAGGAGCAGACAACCTGGAGGGACAAGCCCCTACATGGCACGTACCACCGCCAAATTGAAGAAGTGGCTGATATCGAGAAGACCTACCAATGGTTGGAAAAGGCTGGACTCAGAGACAGCACAGAGGCACTTATCATGGAAGCACAAGAACAGGCCCTAGGTACAAGAGCCATAGAGGCCAAGATCTACAAGAGTAGATCTGACTCAAGGTGCAGACTATGCAAAGATGCCCCTGAGACAGTCCAGCACATAGTAGCAGGGTGTAAGATGCTAGCCGGGTCAGCGTACATGGAGAGACACAACCAAGTGGCTGGAATAGTGTATAGGAACATCTGTACCCAATATGGAATAGGAATTTGAGTACCCAAATCCCAATGGGCCGCACCACAGAAGATGGCTGAGAATAACAGGGCCAAGGTGCTATGGGACTTCAGCTTCCAGACTGACAAACAGGTCCTGGCTAACCAACCGGACATAGTGGTGGTAGACAAAGAGCAGAAGAAGGCAGTGGTGATAGATGTGGCCATACCAGCAGATGCCAACATCAGAAAGAAGGAACAAGAAAAAGTTGAAAAGTACCAAGGGTTGAAAGAACAGCTGGAGCAGATGACGAGGGTCAAGGTGAGTGTGGTCCCTGTGGTAGTAGGAGCACTCGGGGCAGTGACCCCCCCAAACTGGGGGAGTGGCTCCAACAGATCCCAGGAACAACATCAGAAGCCTCAGTCCAGAAGAGCGCAGTCCTAGGAACAGCTAAGATACTGCGCAGAACCCTCAAACTCCCAGGCCTCTGGTAGAGGACCCGAGCTTGAGGATGACACAGATACCACCCCAAGAGGGTGAGAGGGAAGTTTTGGTTTTTTTATTAATTAAAACAAAACAGTATGATACATAAGTAAATAAAAAATCAATAAGTAATCAAAAATGGTCCTTATGGGTTTCAAATTATACACAATACAGGATCAGTCATATAAAACTTTGATATTAGTGACACCTAATTTCTCTATAACACTTAAAAAAGGTTTCCATATAGCATAACATTTTTGAATACATCCTCTTGTACAATAGCGAATCTTCTCTAACACCAAATGGTGTAGAAGGTCATTGATCCACATCTTAAAGGTTGGGGGAAGTTTCTCCTTCCACTTAAAGAGTATTAATCGCCTAGCTATGAGAGATGCAAAAGCTATCATATTCTTTGCCTGGCAGTTAAGGTGAGTGTCTTGTGGAGTTATTCCAAATATGGCAGTGATGGCAGAAGGTTCTATAGGTACTTGTAAAACATCTGAAAAAGTTTTAAATATTGACTGCCAGAAATTGTCTAGTTTTGAACAAAACCAGAACATATGTGAGAGGGTGGCTGGCATTTGCCTGCACCGATCACAAATAGGACTACTTGGTGTGAACTTTGCTAGTCTCACTTTAGACAAGTGAAGGCGATGCATAACCTTGAACTGGATAGCTGTGTGTTGTAGGCAGAATGAAGAGGAATGTATTCTATCTAAAGCTCTTTCCTAGATCTCCTCAGGAAGTTCGAACCCCAATTCGCCCTCCCATTGAATCTTTAATGACCTCTAAGGCTCGAAATTATATGTATTTAGTAAGGAGTATATTTTCCCAATAGTCCCTCTGGAACCTGAATTAAGCTTCAGAATGGAATTTAAGAGGGAGTTGGGTGGCTGGGATGGGAAGTGAATAAATTATGTTGATATAAAACTACGGAGCTGCAAAAATCTAAAATAAATGAGAATTAGGGATGTTAAATTTAAGCATTAATTGATCAAAGGATGCAAAAGTATTATCAATGGATAGATTCTCTATTGTGGCAACTCTTCCATTAGCCCATTCATGAAAAGCACTGTCTATAATTGATGGCATGAACTGGTGATTTTTTATTATAGGAGCACAAGGGGGCAGATCCCTGAGAAAAAGCTTGTCTGAACTGTGTCAGAATTCTAAAAGAGTGTTTCACAATTGGATTTAAGGTGAATTTAGATATAGATTCCAAAAGAGGACGTTTTGAGCAGAATAGTGAGTGTAAAGAAGTATGAAGACGAGGAGTTTTCCATTCGTAACCACTCGGGGGTAGTGTCACCAGATGGAGAATCTTTCCAAAACAGCATAGATCTAATATTGGCAGCCCAATAGTAAAACTGGAAGTTAGGGAGGGCTAATCCTCCATGTTGACAATGCTGTTGTAAGATCCTTTTCCGTATTCGAGGGTTTTTCTTATTCCATATAAATCCCGACACCAAATTGTCCACTGACATAAAAAAGGATTTAGATAAGTGTAGGGGAATGCATTGAAATATATAAAGACATTTTGGCCAAACATTCATTTTAGTTATGTTAATTCTGCCTCCTAGTGACAGTGGGAGTAAACTCCAACGTTCCAAATCTCGCTTAAGGTGGGTTAATAGTGGTGAAAAGTTAGCTTTGAATATATGTTTAAAGGCATGTGTTATCCAGATTCCTAAGTATTTGAATTTCTGTGGACTGACTTTAAGTGGGAACAAACAAAAGTCAATTTGCTTAGCTGCTGTGTTCACTGGCATAATTTCACAATTTTGTAGGTTAATTTTGTATCCTGATATTTTGCCGAATTCCTCAAGCAGGTTCAAGGTATTTGGTAGACTAGTTAAAGGATGGGACAGATATAAAAGCATAATAGGACTGCTACTGAAAGTCTGGATGAGTACACAGAGGCTGTGACATCATACATCAGCTTCTGTGAGGACTGCTGTATACCATCACACACCAGGGTGAGTTACAACAACGACAAACCCTGGTTCACAGCCAAACTCAGACAGTTACGGTTGCAGAAGGAGAAAGCATTCAGGAGTGGACACAGGGACAAGTTCAAGGAGTCTAAGTACAAGTTTAGGAAGGCAGTGAGAGAAGCTAAACGTCAGTACTCTGAGAAACTTCAACATCGGTTCTCAGCCAATGACTCTGGTTCTGTCTTGAAGGGGCTCAGACAGATAACCAACTACAAGCCCAAAACCCCCCACTCCATCAACGACTTGCGCCTGGCAAATGAGCTGAATGGGTTCTACTGTAGCTTTGACAGACAAAAGGAGCAGTCCTGACACCTTCCCCCATGACACCCCTCAACAGCCCCACCTCACCAGTTTTGATAGAACTCTGGTTAAAAAAGTTGTAACCTTTTGCCAATTCTGCTGGGTAAGATGCTATAGGTCAGGTGCTGGTTTCCCGTTAGCAACCACAGCTGTTTTTTCTTCATAAGCCAAGTTTGAAAATGTTTTAAAGTAAGAAATATCCATGCTGCTGACAGCTGCCATTAGGCTATCCAAGTCCACTTTTGATAGAGATGCTCTGACCCAGTCGTCCAGCCATCACAATTTGACAAAGACACTCAAAGGAAACCGTGATGCTGTGGTTTTTCTGGGAATTAACCATTCTTGACAAAATTAAATTAAATTAATTTAAATTTTATTTGTATTGCGCCAACTTATAACAAAAGTTATCTCAGGGCACTTCAAATAGAGTAGGTCTAGACCATACTCCTTATAAAATTATTTACGGAGACCCAACAGTTCCCAACCATGAGCTAGCACTTGGCGGAGGCCACAGGAAAAACTTCCTTTTACAAGGCAGAAACCTTGGACAGACCCCGACTCCAGGTAGGTCACTATCTGCCTCAACCAGGGGATGGGTGGTAAAGAGAGAAAAAGACACAGACAAAGGTGCCCAGCAACAACAATAACAACTATACTAGTAGAAATGACTAATGATGATGATGATGATGATGGTGATGATGATGATGATTATGAAGGTGAAGAAGATAATAACCACAATGATAGGGGATGATGCATAATAATAATAGTATTAATAATAATAACAATCATAATAACATCAGTAATATGCAGTGGGGGTCAAGCAGGACTATGGCAGAAGGCACCACCAGGATCCATGAGAACCTGCAAGACGAGAAAGCACAAGAACTCAGAAGATGAAATGAAGTTAGTAACATTCATTAATGGGACATGAATGAGTGCAGAAAGAGAGGGATAGGAAGAGAGGAGCTCAGTGCATCATGGGAAGTCCACCAGCAGTCTAGGCCTATAGCAGCATAACTACAGGATGGTTCAGGACTCACCTGAGCCAGCCCTAACTATAAGCTTTATCAAAGAGGAACATCTTAAGCCTACTCTTAAATATGGAGAGGGAGTCTGCCTCCCGAACCCAAACTGGAAGCTGGTTCCACAGAAGAACAGCTTGGTAGCTGAAAGCCCTGGCTCCTGTTCTACTTTTAGAGACTATAGGAACCACAAGTAGTCCTGCATTCAGAGAACGTAGTGTTCTAGAGGGGTAATAGGGTACTAGGTGAGCAGGAGGATTTTACAGGGAGCCAGTGCAGAGAAGCTAATACAGGAGAAATATGATCCTATTTTTATTTCCTGTCAGTACTCATGCTGATAATGAGTTTTAGAGGTGTTTGGGGCCAAGTACAAAAACTTCAGCTTTGTCTGAATTTAACATCAGAAAATGGCAGATCATCCGGGATTTTATGTCCTTGTAATTAAGCTAATTAATTAATTTCATCAGAGTGAATGATAGATATAACTGGCTATCATCTACATAACAGTGAAAGTTAATGGAGTGATAATGTTTCCTAAGGGAAGCGTATATTAGGTGAAAAGAATTGGTCCAAGTACAGAACCTTGTGGAACTCCATGACTAACTTTAGTTAGAGGATTTATCATTAACATGTACAAACTGAGATTGATCTGATGAAATGGACTTAAACCAGCTTAGTTTAATGCCAATTGGATGTTAAAGTCTCTGTAAATATGTAAATATGATGGTCAATGGTGTCAAATGCAGCATTAAGATCTAAGAATACAAGTACAGAGACAAGTCCATTGTCTGATGCAATTAAAGGTTGTTAGTAATTTTCACCAGTGCTGTCTCTGTGCTGTGATGTACTCTAAATCCTGACTGAAAATCCTCAAATAAGACGTTATGTAGAAAGTCACACAACTGTTTGGCGACTACTTTCTCAAGAATTTTAGAGAGAAAGGGAAGGTAAGAAATAGGTCTATAGTTGGCTAAAACCACTGGGTCAAGGGTGGGCTTTTTAAGAAGGGGTTTAATTACAGCTACTTCAAAGGACTGTGGTACATAACAAAACAAAGAAAGATTGATCATGTCTAATAAAAAAGTGCCAACTAAGGGTAAGACTTCTTTAAGCAGTTGACAGGTTGATGCCTTTGATGAAAGTTAATTGATGAAGATTGATTGCAGAAAGCAGTCTAAGTATACATCTGGGATTACAGTATTTGGAGAGACATTGTTACATGTTGAGCTCAGGCAGTGATTAAGTAATAATTTTATCATAAATGAAGCTCAGAAAGTCATTGCTACTGAAAGTTATGGGAATACATGGCTCAATAGAGCTGTGACTCTGTCTGCCTGGCTACAGTACTGAAAAGAAACCTGGGATTGTTCTTACATTTCTTCTATTAATCTAGAATAATAGGCTGCTCTGGCTCTTTGTTTTAAGACTATCTTGCCAGATTGAACATGATTCTACCAGAATAGTAGAGTGCCATTTCCTTTCAAATGTCGGCACTTTTTGCTTTAATTGGTGGGTAAGCTGATTATACCATGGTGTTTTTAATAATATATTTCTTTTTTAGAGGGTCAATAGAAGCTAGTGCAGTTCGCAGTGAGCCTGCAGCACTATTAACAAGATAATACATTTGGGAGGGACTAAGGTTATTATAGGAGTCCTCTGTTCTATTGAGACATGACATTGAATTAAATAAATCTCCTCCTTAAATTTAGTTACATCACTGTCAGATAGACATCTGCTGTAGGAGGTTTTGTATAAAAATAAAAAAAAGAATTATGTGGGAAGACTATTAAATGTTTAATATCAATGCCATAAGATAGAAAGAGGTCAAGAGTGTGATTAAAACAATGGGTGGGTTTATTTACACTCTGACAGAAGCCAATTGAGTCTAATAATGAGATAAATGCATTACTAAGGCTGTCATTATCAATATCCACTTGAATATTAAAATCACCTACAATAGTTACATAATCTTAATCTGTTAATATAATGTGATGTTCAGAATGTTGTGTCACATGTAGTGATTTTTGAATTCCCATAAACTTGCTGATGGGCTGTGCTCGATTGTTTTGGATTTTGGTGAGGTGGTAAAACACCAACTGGAGGTCATCCAGTTGGCTCAGTGGGTAGAGCTGGCGACCCATGTACCGAGACTGAGTCCTTGCTGCAGTGGCCCAGGGTTTGAATCCAACCTGCAGCCCTTTGCTGCGTGTCATCCCCTCTCTCTGCCCCCCTTTCCTGTCTATCTTCAGCTGTCACTATAATAAAGGCAATAAAAGCCAAAAAAATATATTTTTAAAAAAAAACAAAAAAAAACACTGGAGCAGTTTATCCAGAAAGTCTGAGATTTTCTGGTTAGACCCTTAGAGCAGGGACTAACACACCAAACTCTCCTTTCAGAATAGTCTTTAAAGAAGAGTCTTTTTGTCATATGTGGACAGTAATATTTTTTGTAGTTTCGTTAATCCAATAATCTATTGCAAATGTTCACAACAATATGTATGTGTTTGCCCATGTCAGTGAGCCTCCTTACATGTGTGTCATGTGGCTGGATGTTATCTGTCTTCCTTTTTCTTACTTGTGGGAATGCAATATCTTTATTAAATGTGGTCTACTCTGAACAATGATGACACTGAAACACAAGGGACAGATGGACTTTTAGCATGATTATCTTTTGGTGCATTGAAAGTATTTAAAGGCTTTAGAACACTGTTGGTGTTGGGATGCTAAACTAAATGCTGTTTCCCATTATGGACATGCCTGTTTGGAGTGAACAGAGGAGTAACATGTATAGGTACCATTAAAATAATGTGCATGCTTTTCAGTTTGGTAACAGAAATACTGACTTGATTGCCTGCGCTGGGTGGTGGGAGACAGCAGAATGAGCTACCATGATGGGGAAATGTGGGAGCAGACACACTGTAATCAGCCTGTCCATCTCAACACTGAGCTTCAATTACTTTGCAGATGCTCACACAATACCTTCCCTCCTTTCTGTCTTCACCAAGAACCCAGACAACTGTGATTCTTACAGCAACATAGGTACAGGGAAGCTTCAACAAATTTGCTTTTTACAGCTTTGAAGGGAAACATTATGTACTTTGGATAGCATATATATAATATATATGTTTATAAATAAGTAAGGAAGAAACAGGTTCTGTATTAAAAATACTCCATTTAAACACAACAATCAGAATAAACAGGCTGGTTACAGAGAGGTAGTTTAAACCTTTTTCAACAAAAGACAATTTATTAAAAAAAAGTAAAGGCGTGGGGACATATCTTTCAACTTCCAGTAAATAGACCACCATCTAGCAATGTAACTGCAGATTACAACTCCCTCGCTTCACCCTCCCTCCAAAACATGTAGGAGGAAAAAGGTGGCAGTGAAAGAAACGAAACATGCAAAAGGCCCTATCTAAAGCCAGTGTTTGTCTGTTCTGCGCTGTCTGTTCAACCAGAGCTGATTTGGTGGAAAAGTGGCACTCCTGGACCACATTTCTCTTCCCAGTAGTTCCTGTTTTGAGCCATCTTACCATCGCATTTTAGCTCCTAATCATGTGGCTATGTTGCAGGCTGATATTAAAACTAAATTACAGAAAATGCAGAACTTATTTGAAATTCCATTTCAGTGAGCTCGTCCTATTTTCATTTGAAATTGTGTAGTATTTTGACAGTATTATATTTTTCTTATTTCATTTTTTTTTTTTAATCCTCCGTTTACCACTAGAGGCAGCTCATGTACCACAGTTTGAGAACCAGTATTCTAAGATAACAAAAACATAACCATTCCTATAATTAGGTAAATATACACTAATGAAAACAAAGTTATGAAAGTGCAGATTGCGACTAACTGAACACCACTCACACTGGTATTTGACAATCTGGGAATGAGAACAGGCTGTGAAGTTTGTAGGAGATACTCTGGTGACCGCGAAAGGCCTTATCCAGAGCCAGTGATTGGTTAGTCCGGTCCGGGCTAGAAACATGCCGATTGATAAAAACAGGTCAGTCTAAGGTAACATTCTAAACACAACGAATCTTATATTCAGGTGATTTGTTTTGGTTTACTTCTTAACATTAAGAAAAATGTAGCTTAGTTCATTAACTATGTTGATATTAAAAAACAAATCACAATATATATATATATACACAAATATTTTGAGAAGCAACTAACACCATCCTTACTAGATGTTAGTTGTCATCTGTCATCAGTGAGTACATTTCTGCCAATGAAGACCTTGTGACAAGTTGAAAACCATCAGCTGATTTTGATTGAAAACACACTTTCCTTGTGTGCTGATGAAGATTTTTGATGTAAATAATCCTTAAACTTAGATCTAGTCTAGTTTTGATTTATTGCTTTGTATCACAGATTGTGCCTTTAAAGTTCCTTTGAGTGAGTGAAAAACCACAGCATTGAGTGATGGAAATTTATTTGAGCTTGTTTATTTAGGTTATGTACAATAAAGCTTCATCACATGAGCCTTCTCAAAAACTGTGTACAACATCCCTCACATACACAAAAAGAAACAAACTGTGGTGGTCAGTCATATTGTGAGTGTAGTTTCAAAGGTTAGGGTGGGTGGGCGGGCGGGTGGGGCAGAATCGTGTGACTATGGGTTCTGTGAAAGAGCACATTCTAACAACAGCAGCGGCAGCAGCAGCAAAAGCACTGCTTCTCAGGCCAAAGGAGGGGTTTACAGAGTGAACTCAGAGTGAACAGGTTCTCATTGGTTCCCAAAAATCCCTCAGGTTACATTAGCAGACAGTTGACAACACAGACTGCACATTTTAAAAGGAAAGAAAATCACAGACATGGAGATTCATTACTAATTATCAGCATAATTTCTAACAAAAATATAGCACAAAAAATCTGGATACATAGAAACTGAAAAGAGATTGACGAGATTGAAGTACAGCAGCCAGTAAGCCATTATCTACATGAGCAACATGTCTATTACACAGAAAAGAACAGGAAATGTACCATTGCTTTCTTAGAGTCTCGATTACTTACTCCCATTAACCCGGACGAGTCCTTTTGGATTTTAATGTAGAGTAAACATTAAAAATCTACCCTCTGGTAACTCTTGTTTTCAATGCATTTTGGCTGATGTCTTGTTACTGTCCTATTTGTTGAATTCATATATAAAGATGGATAACATGACAGCTCTTTAAAATAAGCTAAAACATCTTAATTGCCCCCTGGTGGCTGACTGCAGTGCTGTCTCCATATTAGCCGATAAGCCAAACTAAAAAGACAAAATACACTTACAACAATTTTTCCCAAAGATGGTTTCTGTCATTTTAGGTTGTTTTAATCATGCTGATGTGTTTTCTGAAGCTATAAAAAGAGGTTTTACATCATGATTGATAGCTGAGCCCTGCTAGCGATTGAGTCAGCTAGGTGTATAGGCAGGACTTCGATGCGGCCTCCATATTTGGAATATATGCAATTTTTGAACAGAGAGGAAGTGGAGACCCGACCGCCATCTTTCATATGTCAATGGTTAAATCTACCATCATATTTTTTTTGTACTAAAATTAAAAAATGTCACCATAGTCCTAGCCCTAATTCAGTGGTTTAAAACCCATTACTGGTACCAGGCTATGTACAATTCTATCGGGCTGTGAAGAAACAATATACCAATAAGAACAATAATATTCAATAACAGGAGACTGATTTCGAAAGTCGGTCATCAATACGCAACCTCAACACCTACATACCCATTTTATTTAGCAATTTTATCTTTTGCAAGTGCTGTGTTCCTATGACTGCTGCAACTAGCTAGCTAAATCAGTACAAAACAAAAACAGAGTTTGAAAGTTTCTTTAGGGAGATACCTAATCTGTTCTTTACTTTAAGTCGTCGAGGCTTTGGGTCGACTGGTCTGCAACAATGCTGTTGATGAACAAACTGTCTGGTTCTTAGAAGGTTGGAAACACCTGCCCTAAAGCCCTCAGTATGTTTCAACTCCTTTGCACAATGTGTCATCAAACACGTCTAAAAGCAAGAGTGTTTATACCTGTTCCCAATGGCTAAACTCAAAGGCCAACTCTCCTTAGCTACATCATGGTCATTTCCTGATTACTCTATTACACCTTACACCCTGTGTGTTAACACAATGAATTGTACAAATGGGTGCAGGGTACACTAAGGATAAGTTTAACCTCAGAATCATTAACGTGTTGTATTTGTACTTGCTCACAGAAAAATAAATGGAAGTAGCTTTACACCTATGCACCTCTGCACACTACATAAAGTGGGCTGTCAGATTGTTGTGTATAAAAGTTGATTGACCCAGGGACCATCTCTCACTGTTGGACTGGAGGTTTCAGATGCTGCTGGCACTTTCTTTGAACCATACTGAAGACTTAATTAAAATGCCATTCAACAACTAATGGAGAAGGTATATAAAGGTGTTATGCAGCAAACACACAGAATCCAGATCTGGATGTACTGGCTGGTAGGTGACAAAACTGTGAGTTGGGCAGTGCTTGGTTCTGGATCTGCCATGATCAATGTGGTGGCTGGCCCAGATAGGTTTACACATTAAGGCTAAACAGTTCACTAAAACATTTTTCTGAAAACACTTGTTTTGATGTAGTAACAGAATCTTTATTCGTATTTGATCAGATGACTTTTGTAAGCCTGCGGCATTACACAGGACGGACTTTATTTGCATAACCACGCTGCCAGATAATCCCCTGCTCTCCTTCAAAAAACAAATATGATCCATTAACTTGACATCAGTCAGATCTGGTGTGTCTTCAGCATTAATAAGGCTACTTCAGAGGCACAGTGTAGGGGCCAAGGCAGGATTATCCAGTTTAAAAGTTGCCTTAACCTTTGCCTCAATGCAATGCATCATCAGGCAAGGTGCTGTAGTGGCCAATCAAACACTTGGAAGCGCACATCCCTAGTAGATTAGTTTTAAACGTGAACAGTATATTTCTACTGCTTACCTTGCGATGGTCAGGATCAAAGACAAAATGATTGCTGCAGAGATAACTTTATGTCTGTGTAGTGTTTTAGTGTCTGATAAACCTTTAAACTCATCAACCCATTACTCCAACTGGATTCGTGTTTCATAGTCTGTTTTGAACGCAGGGTTGTTTTCCTTCAGAAAGCCCACTTACTTTCAATCGAGTTGACTATCCTTTAATGGAGTTCTCCCTGTATGCTTGTTGAACGTCAAAATTCTGATATTCAATCAATCTCAATCTCACTCAGTATCCACTGACAAACTCAACTGTATTTGTGCTGGAAATATGTGATGTGGAAGTGATTGGCAAAATAATCTTCAGGATAAAGAAAGAAAAGGACATAAAAAAACATTTCCAGTGTTTCAGGGTAGATTTTTCCTTTTGATATGCAAGAGTAAGATACTCCTTCCTTACAAAACTATATCTTCCAGTGGCTCTATGAGGGCATAAAAGAGAAATTAACAGGATAGCACTTGGGAGCTGGAGCTGGTTAAGACAGAATCACTGTAACAGGCTACATTAATGCTTGCTTTTGTTTTGCAAGAAAATGGTGGGAGGCAGTGCCAAACAGCTGTCTATACACAAAACACAGAAAGGGCTAAACACACATTCATTTGGGCATGAAAACATCAAAACAACTTATCAAGGCAAATGATCAGCATTAAATCACATCATCTTCATACACACAAACACGCACACATTAACCAATTAAATAAATGTTGGAGAATCTTAACATCATGAGAGCAGTAACATTCGTTCAGAGATCAATCAAAAAAAGTCAATTATGTGTCATTCTCACATTGCACCCATAAAAGTTCTGATCAAGACCAAAAAAACAAAAATTAATTAATTAACTATAAACCAGGACAATAACCTCCTTAAGAAAAATATGGGTAACATAGTCAGATGCATTTGGCCTAACCAATACAAACAAACAAAGCAAAAGAAAGAGGCAAATTACATATAAGATTCCACTAATAATGATGCAGCTGTTGAAATCCCAAAGAGCTTTGTGAGCAGGGAGAAAAACATCTAAAATATAATAGTTAAAAAAAAGTGCTCAAAAGAAAAGATATGTATTGCAGGGTCCGTAGACAAAGGAGTTCCACTGAGTGGATGTCTAAACCTGCTTTTCCCTAGCAGTATTCACACTGTTAAACTCAAATATTTCTCCTTCATATGGGCTTGTTACTCACAGCAAACAAATATTGAACAGTTCTTTTTCTTTTCCAAAGTTCAGATGTATCAGACTAGAAGACCACAGAAGTGACATAAGTCCTTACGTCAAAGCAGTTACGGACAAGAAAGCAAAGTAAAATAAATGCTTACAATGACATTTTGAAGCCACAGAAAAACAAAACTGGAGAATACACATGCAGCACTACTGAGGGCAGAGAATAGCGTAGCTCTCAAGCTTCCCTTTAAAAACCCAGAGCATAGAAACGGCATCACACTGTGCAAATAAAAACATCAATAACAGGTTTACCATGAATCCTTAGGGAGGAAATTCCTTTACCCATCTGTTCTTTTTCATGTAAAATAAAATCCCAATATCCCCCATATTTAAAACGCACTTCTGAAATTTCCCAATCTCAAATAACAAACTGGACATAAATTAGCTGGGAGGCCTGAGCCCAAAGCACTTGTTCCTCCTCTTTCTCTTTTCAAGTCTTATTTAGTGGAGTGCCTCGACACAGATCTGCTCCTCAGTAATGTCGTCCAGCAGCTGCACCTCCACAGGGCTGCATATGTCACTGTCATAGACCTCTGCCCCCATCAGGGCCTCTTCCTCCAGGGCTTCTCCTTTGCCTTTAAAGCCTTGTTGCTCTGAAGGAGAAGTGCTCTCCACTGACTCCAGGTCCTCAATGCCTGCTCGGTAGTGGATCATTAGCAGGGTGAGGGCCTGGAGTCTCTCCCCAGACTTGGCCAGGGCAGTACTAATTAGGACCTTGCGCCGGGCATCTGTGGCCTCTCTCTCCTCCAGCAGAAGTGCATTATTGTGCTCCAGCTCCTGGTCAATTTCTTGCTGCAGCTTGTCCAGCATCAACTCAAGCTTCTGGGAGCGTTCATCTGTGGGCAGCCCCCTGTAGAGGTCACGGCCTATCTCCTTCACAGCAATGAACACACTGTCATCCAACCCACCTTCTTTTCGTACAAGCTTACTGCTGCTACCACTGCCGGCAGGCTGCTTTGAGGGGCTGGCGCCACTGGTGTAGGTCTCAGTATCACTGCTCTCATTGTCTGAAGTATTGGGGGTATGCTTGGGCGAGGGTTCCACCACTCCAGGTACCACATCAGCCACCTGCTCAACCAGCCGAGTCTTGGGCACCTGGCGGAGGTTAAGCAGGCGGGAGCTGGTGTTGATGATATGGCGCGTTAGGCCAGTGGTTGCCCGGTTTATGGTAGATTTGGCTTCAGGGTCAGCTCCACGACGTTCAGTTGCTGCCACACAGAAGGGATTCTCAGTGAGGCACTTGTCCTGGCACTTCTTGTGGCAAACATAGGCGCAGATCATACACTGAGAGGCTGCCTTGGTCCAAACCTTCTTCTTGCAGTATTCACACCAGGTGGGGTTCTGGAACTGGGTGTCCTGGAAGTTGTGACGAACCTCCACCAACTGCATGGTGCCATAGGCCAAGTCATCACGTGGTGCTGAGGGGATATGCTCTCTCTCCCTCTCCCTTAGATCCTCATCATGGAGACTCCCCTCTCGCTCCCTTTCTGCTAGTCCCCCTGGATACTCTAGTTCACCCTCAGCTAAGTAACAGAAATTCAGAGTAACATCTCCGTAACACAGCCTCTCATTGAAGCCCTTGTGGGTACTGAGGCTGCGTAGTGCAGTGCGGCTGACGTTAGCTCTGGGCTCTGGAGGCCCCAACCTAAAGGTGCTCTGGTACTCGGCTGATGATGTGGCCATACATTCCAGGGCTAAATGCTCTAGCTGGAGGCTGACATGACCCAGGCACAACAAACTGCCCAGCTTAAAGGGATCTTTGCACCACAGGGCCACATTAAGGTACTTATGGTTGCTCTCCACCTCAAACACCACAGAGGCCTTGGGCCAGCGTGCTGTCTGGTTACGAAACATGGTTTCTGGGGATTCCCAGAGGGAGTGATCCTCTAGACTGTCCCTTGTGCTGCAGGAGCTTTCTGAAATTTTGTCCTTTGCTTGATCAATCTTGCTGCTGCTAGTCACAGCACAAGGGAGCTCATCACTGGACTCTGCTGGCCGGGTAGACTGTTTCACCTCAGCCTGTTTCACACATATCTTCTCAGTGCCAGCTTTATCCTCATTGGTTCCAGTGAGAGGAGCTTTTTCTGGAGATTTTTCAGTAGTGCTGATGGTGGTAGTCATGGTAGGACCAACAGTAGTATTTGTAGTTGTAACAGAATCAACACCTTCCAAAAGACTGGTTTCTGAGGAGGCTGATGTCAACCTTATCTGAGGTCTTGGCGGTACTGGGGGTCGAGAAGGTGGAGGTGGGGGAGGGATGGTTGGCCGTTGCAGACCTTCCCCAGGATCACTAGTGGTCTTATGTGGTGACGGCTTTGGTGATTCTTTGGGCTGGGGCTTTAATGGTGACTGGAGACCCACCAGGTTTAACTTGCGGTTGAGGATAGGTGATATCGTACCAAGGGGCTTAGAGGCCAAGTTGGCCACAGTCCTTTTGGGGCTTTGGTTTACTGTAAGTAAGGAATCCTCCTTAATGTCACTGGTATTAGTGGTACTGCTGTTAGGACCACCACTCTGGCTAGGTTTGGAGTCCACAATCAACTCTTCAAACTCAGAATCCATGTCTTTGTTGTCAGGTATGTCAGAAATGGTTGTGATTGGGGCAGGGTCTTCCTCATAACCCCCCGACTGAGAAATAAAACCTGTTTCCTCTAGCTGCCCAAACCCTTCCTGAAGAGTGCCCAGGCTTCCAAAAGAGTAAGTTTGGTGACGTACTGGTCTCTCATAAAGTACCACCACTCTGTCTCCAGCCTGCTTCAACAGTTTGGGCACTTGAACCGAGGATGTCACTTTGACACCTGTCAACAGAAACCAGAAGTTTTTCGTCAGTTGTGCACAGAACTAAAGTGAATGACAGTTTCATACATTTTCTTCTAATAATGGGTGCAGTAACACATCTCAGACCTCCGATGGCAATGAGGCGGTCACCCTTCTGCAGGTCTGCCGTGGCTGCAGGGGAGTTAGGCGTCACCGTCTCGATGCTGACGTGCACTGCATCCCCTTCACTGGCAGGGACATGCCTGAACGTCATCCCCACACTGCCACATGGCCCCTTGATAACCTCAGTCTGATGCACACATGTAACGAGAAAACTGAACAATGAGTACCAGCACTGATTTAGAGGTTACAGGCCACATGTTTATAACTCATCTATCTATTGTAGTGGTAGGACTGTAGTGTGCAAGAACATGACTGATTTATGATCAATGGTAAAATGTTTTATCCCCCTTTTTCAATATAAAGCAGAAACGTATGTACTCTTAACCTAATTTTTCAAATGTCCATGTGAATATTTATGGATATGTTTGTTTATTTTACACATTAAAAGATTGGAAAAATTTGAGTGTACTGTGTTTTATACTGTGACTATATTTCGTAAAGAGAAATTTTGTGGTTGATATATATGTATTTATGGTAATTTATATGTAGGAGGAGTGTGCAGTTTGTAAAAAAGTATTTTTAAAAGATTTTCATTGGAAACTTATTATCAATGATGACCTATATATTTAGTGAATAAAGTATGGTTTACTGGAGAAATGTTGTGCAACATGTTTTCATTTTGGATTATGAATTACTATGGCATTATTAGTAATATATAATTTACTTGAGACGTTATGAAGCGTCTGAGTGAGCATTGCATCAACCAACCAGAATGGATATTAAAATGATTGTTCTCCATTAATCGCCATGGTCCTATAAAATAACTACACTAATAGGAACAAAGATTCTAAAAGTGACAAACTATGGATAAAACTATGACAAAAAGACAGGTAGGAACATACACTGCTTCTTTAAATGCAATGAGAACAAAAAACCTATTACTATTCAATTTCAATTCAATTAAATTTTATTTGTATAGCGCCAATTCATAACAGAAGTTATCTCAGGACACTTTTCAAATAGAGCAGGTCTAGACCGAACTCCTATAACACATACTAAACAGATCTATTTTATGCAGTGCCTGACCAATTTGAATTTGATAAGACCAATAGCAATACCAATTTTTAGAGAAGAAAAAATTCACAGATGGCAGCCAATAAAGGGAAATATTGAGCTGGATTGAATATAGACCGATTTTTCACAAATGTAACTACGCAAAGGTACTCAGAAGGCTGCTTAAACTTTAGTAAAGAATATTAAAGTAAAAAATTCTTTAAGATGTTGAATAATTTAACATATAGGCTACATTGTCAACCAGTTCTAGAAAAAAACTGAAAAAATAAAGAATAAAAAAAAATGCTTAACATCAGTACAGTTAAAACTACAAGCTTTATATATACCAGAAAAAACTGTTTTTAAATTGGTGCATATCAGGTGACATAAGCCGATAACAATACGATACAGATACGTCTGCAATAGGCCAATATTGACTAATAATATTGACTGCCCGATATACTGGTGGGCTCTAACTTAATTAAAATTAAAGGTGAAATAATAGCTTAACCAGAAAAGATTTGATAACTTTATAGACATGCAACATGTCACTGAAAGACATCTGACATCTGCCTCCAGCACTTTGATGAGGGACTGAAAGTAGCAATACTGCGGCAGGAGAGAGAGTTGCAATTAAACCCCCACCCCCAGCTGCCTTAATAACAGCCACTGCACACTGTTCAAGACACATATCCCATAACACACCTGTTGTGATGCGGAGGTGACCTGCTTTATGCCTGACAGGTCGTCTATCAAATGAAAGTGCATGTACAGTAGCTAAACATCTGCGCCTCCTATGCTGATGATGGTGTACATAAATGCATGCAATTTTAACTGTGATTGGTAGAGACTGTCAGCTTACTGGAGACATATGTGGTGGGATCTTTCCGGTTACAGAGAAAGAGCTATGCGAGGTGGAGGAGGAGAAAGAGATAAAGAGGATGAAGACGGTACAGGTGTCCTGGTTTAAAAGACAGAAAAGGAGAGCTGACATTATGTGGGTAGACAGAGACGAATGACTGTAATTTTGCCTGCTGTCATTTGTTACGGATCTGGGGGAAGGAAGTGATTGAGTTAGGGCTAGCCATGAATAAGCAGATGATCTATATAAGCTGGCAAGGAAGTTGGAGGGCAGGTTCACTGAAGGCTGAGACAGTCCGGATCCTTTCTTATGGTAGCCTAGTTAGTAGACAACCAATCCACCAAGCTTGGCTAAAACTACACCTATATAAACAAATGCTGTACAGCTCACTCTTTCAGTATTGAGTACAGTGTACAGAGTACCGTCTAGACCTGCTCTATTTGACAAGTGTCCTGAGATAACTTGAGTTATGAATTGGCATAATACAAATAAAACTGAACTGAACTGAATTGGATACATTTAAGTGTAGGAAACAACAATATGGCTTGGCCACACAATGCATGTGTTTATATAGTGTTAATATACGTTTCTATTTGAAGTTACCAATAGGAGAACTCTTTTTTACATGAAGTTAGATACCTGAAATGGGGATGTGATAGCTATGGAGATGGATGAGGGAATATCATCACCTATTACAGGTCAAATCATACAGTGCATCAAAGGGCGATACTGGTAAGTGACTTTTATAAAGACCCAGAGGCAGTTTTCGGACAGAGAACTGCATGAGTTGCCAGTCCAAACTAACACTTACTCTCCAGATTAAAGCATTAGAATTCTTAAGTAAACATTTGTTTTTCCCCTGTAAAGAAAGGCAAAACTATTTGTATATGACTCAAAGTCCACTTATTAACTCCCAATAAGAGAAAATTGGTGACTATGTCAAGGGTTACTTTAGAATGAGCTGTTTTTATCTACACCTCGCCTTCCTTGGAGTACGCCATGTTGAACCAACATCTTTCTACAGTAGTCAAGAATGGACAAACACTGGCTCTAGATAGGGCTGTTCGCGTTTTTTGCATATTTTGTGGCCACTACACGATCTGCAACTACACTGCTATATGCCACAAGATCCTACACACTGGACCTTCAAGTTCCCATAAAAGACTAGTACATTTACAATAAATCTGGTCGTATTGAGTGGTTCTTGTGAGCCAATGACTTCAGTACATTATTCATTTTTAAGGCTTTATATGTTAAGCTTTATATAAGCTTTCCTTGCCGAAACCTTATGGCTCTTCATTTGATGTGTGTGTGTATGTTTGAATGTGTGTGAGTGTGTGAGTGTGTGTGTGTGTGTGTGTGTGTGTGTGTCTCGAGCTTTAATCTGATCTGGCCGTATTATAGCTCTTCAATGGATACTATAACAACATTGCAGAGGCAACAGGTTGCTGTGGGGGAGACTGTAGAGGCTAAAGGCCTATTCAGCACACAATGACCATCGCTTAGTGTGCAGGTAGGTTCTGTTGGCAAACACTCTCTCTCTCAAGGCTGTATACAACAACAGCTAAATCACAGGGATACGAACCAGGATACTGAAAGTGGAATAGAATATTTATCAGTCAATCTCAACCTCCTCCCCCAGAACAGCCTGAACTCTTGAGCATTCCTTTTGTTCCATGTTGACAAGATCACCATCACACACTTTCTGCTGGTTTGTACATCTACACATTCCTGCTGCTCCTGTTCCATCACATCAAAGATGCTCCATTGGACTGGGATCTGGTGACTGTGAGAACCACTAAAGTAACTGCTGCTAACTGGGTGTTTTATTGTTTTTTGCACCATTCTCTAGGGTTGTGCAATTTAAGGATAGACATTGTGTGATGACAACACAAACTAAAGTTAAAAATTCAAGCAGATCAGCCTTTTCTAAGATACTCAAAAAACCTGTCTGGAACCATAATCATTTCATAGACCATGCATTTACCGTAGATCAAATGTCTGCCCCATTCTGATGCTAGATTTTAACATTACAGTAGGTGTACAGGAGGACCTAATTAAGACCTAGTTAGTGGGTAAATAAAGTTGTTTTTGTTATGGAAAGCTTTTGTTTTTGACTAGATGTCAGGGGTTAGGTAAACATTTCCATTGTAACAGCTAGTTTTACCCTCAGAAACCTGACGTTGCTGTTAAACTTTAGGATTGTGGGAGTTTCACTTCTGGGACCTCATTGTTGAGCTCTATTTGTGATTTTGGGCTGTATCAACCCAATTGGCTGGACTTAAACTTTAATGTTTGGATAATATTAAATCATATTAAATAAAAAATACAAACACTATTTTTTCATGATGACATGAAGCTCAGTTGGATAATTATTATTTGCTTAACTTGTATATGTCTGGAGTGTGTCGCCATGCCAATTTTGCACCTTGTTACAGACACATTTCTGTTCAATTTAGTTTGACTTCTTTTACAAAAAAATAATTGACTCAAACCAAGAAAGAAACATACTAGTGGCTCTAGAATCAAATTGAGGTTAAGCAAGTGACTCAAACACCAAACCAAACTCCAGAACAATTGATGAGGTGCTGGAGTTAATGAAATAATTCCCCCTCACAATTTATGTTTACAGTGATGATTTAGTTTGGTGGAGAAAGGCAAATGTGCAAAATCCAAACACACTTCAATACAAAGGTGAGCTATGAATCTTTTCTCCCCTGATTCCTGACAGAAAGTAGCTGTTTGGTGTTTCTCCAAATTGGAGAGTTTAATTGTTGTGTAGTGGAGCCTTCTTTCGGGGCTGAGCAGCAGTGACTGGACTAACCTTGTTAACATCGACAAAGAAAACAAGTAGCTCTTTGTTCCTTGTCTCTAAGCAGAAAAGACAAACAAAGAATGTAGCAAACCCAGAGTTTGCCAGATGTAAATAGAGCAATTCACCATCCATTTCAACAAATCCAGCTTCTCTTTTATCTGCACTGCCACAGAGAACAAATAAAAGGTTAATATGTTCAAATAGCAGCTATCACTGCTTCAAACTTCTCTCCTTTACCTGCAGGACCAAACATCGACAAGTCTTCCTTTGATCCCCAGAATAAAACAATCACTGTGATAAAAACACATCTGTTCCACTTTCTGTTATTTAATATCATTGGCTTGCTCCCATAAGAATTGGAAAAAAATGTTCCACTATTGTTTTTTACAATTGCTAAATTCTGTAATTCCTCAAAATGGGACCCTTATTTTTAGCTGTACACAACGTAATGTTATTC